TCATATAAAATACTTATCACGCTACTTGGCATACAGTAAGTGTGCCAAGCTTATTATAAATAAATACTGTTTATTATAATTATTATTATTTACTGAGAAGGCTAAAAGAAAATCAGAATAACACCAATCCAGTGAATATCGCAACAAATTACATAGCTATAAAACTTAGAACCTACTGCCAAGGGATGATTTATCCATCTATCTTGGCAGAAGGAAGCCTGGTGTTAAGGTATTAGAAACAAGGCCAGAGGTTAAAAGACATAACCTAGTTTGACCATTGAAGTAAATACCCTCATTTATAAAATAAGGTAAAGTTTAAAGTCCTCGTTTCAAAACTTCAGAGTAAGTCAAAATGCACTTGTAGCGTTGAAACACAGTATGCCTCTTCCTGGATTTTAGACACAGAAGTTCTGGACCTAAGAATCAGTAAGGTGCCGTACCTTGCCTCGGAGAGTGCACAGACCCGCCAGCTGCTGGGGGGGACACAGCAAGATTTGTGACCTTAGAGGCCCAGCTTGACTTCACAGGCAGCGCGCTGGCTGGGACTGGGAGCCTGGTCTTTCCCCAGCAGGAGGGGCTGCACCCGAACCCAGCTTCCCCTAGGATTGGTGGCCGCCTTTCCCCAGCAGGAGGGGCTGTGACTTCGAACAAGCCCCGGAGGTCTCCAGGTGCTGATGCATCTGGCATTTCCCAGCTCGGACACTTAGGCGCCTGAGTTCACATTATTTGTAACCCAGAGATAAGGCCATGCTCATGCTTGCATTATAGGAAGGTTGTGTAGCCGGGGGTCAGGGTCCCTCCGGTGGAACACAAACACACTGTATGTCAGGCAGCTTCATGCTTATGCCCAACTCTGGGGAATGATGAGAGAATGGAGGACCACATATCCCCTCTTGCTGACCCTTTGTGTTGATGGGCCCCCAGTAAATATGTTCTCTAATCCACACCATAAACCATGGTATTCACCTTCACCCTCCCTCACTACACAAGAAGGACAAAAATGGAAAGGGTTGTAGATGCCCTGATGTACGTCTGTACGAGGTACTGGAAGGCTCAAAACCAGAGAAGCACCCATTCTTTTAAGTCACTAGAATAAGTTCAGCAATGAGAGCTGGACTTCCCTTTTAGAAGGTGTCACCTTTTGCTGACACCTCCCATTCCTAAGTCTAAAGGGCAAAAAGGGTCAGGCCTGCAATCACCTTGACCCTCTTCCAGGAGAATCATCAAGCTGGATGCAGGGGCTCTTAGAGAAGAAAACATCTGCCCTGTGAAAACACATACTTCGCTTGAATAATCCTTCTCCTATGGGAGGCGGAGCAGGTCACACAGATAAGATATGATTCTCAAGGTCTTATGGTGAAATACTGAAATATCTGCATTCCAGTAAATGTGGTTTTAAGTGACACACTGAATATCTCAAATTTAACCTCTGAACATGTCTCTGAATAGACTACCAAATAGTTTTAAATAAGTGTTTTTTCTTTGTTACCTATTGTACTATAATCTCCATGAAGGCCTATCTCCCAGAATTCCCCAAGCAATTTAATTTAGTATCTACTGCTATGCTCTATCAAGAAGAACATTTTTGACTACAAAGTAAAACAAACTGTCATATTTTATTATAGATGGGTGTTCTTTTAAGGAATGCCAGGCTACATTTCAGTAAATTTTTTTTCGCATAAGCTACCAATAAGGACTACGATGATTTCCCCAAATATATATTAGATTCCATAATTATGATTGCAGTACTAAGGGTGGCCTATGCCCTCACCACCCATACATGTAGACGCTCATAAGGAAGTGACTGCGTCCTGGCCACTAGAAGTTTTCTCTGGCAGAGGCTAGAAGGTCAGCTGAGGAGCGTTAGTTGGGTAGGCACAACATCAAAGAACTGAAAATGTCCAGATAATCCCCCAATTCTCACAGGGTTCAAACTCCTCCCTGAATAAACATTCTTTCAGAACTGCTGACAAATAGCCAAACCGACTTCCTCTCCTCCTCTGTGTTCCCCTTTCAGAAATGAAATCATCTAGCAGCAACATAACCACCCGAAGTGGAGCTACAGGAAGACAACTGAAGAGATGCCCTCTAGTTCGTTAAGCTTTTAAACAAGCAAATGGTTTTGTCCCTTGTTAAACAAAATGGCCTGACAAACCCTGATGCATTGGAATTGTGGTTTCTAAGGCATTCCTGGCCCTAACCACTACACCTCCACTTGAGGTATCATAATTGCAAATTATGATAAAGTCCTGAATAATCAGACTCTGCTCTTCTTGGCTTAAAGCCCCGATTACTGCCAAGTCAGCAAATGTTGAACGTGTAGACAAATGCATTGGCTCCAAGCCCAGCTTCTTAGCTTTCATGGACGCTTCTCAATGGGTTTAACTGGAGCTTCTCTCTTTTGTAGCCAACACAGGCATAAGAAAAAATCACAATTTTAAATCACAGTTTCTTGTCAGTACTTGAGGACAAAAGGTTTATTGCATTTGTACACACACCACCCATTCTGAAGAATAAAAGGCTAAACTCATGCAGTGTTCTCCAAGAATAAAACCATCAGAATAAATTGGGATTTATTCCTATTAGTTATCCTTATGGTAAGATGCGGTACAAAATCAATGCCAAAGTTGCTAGTGTAAAGTCAACGCAATGGTGCAATGAGATACCAGCTTAAATCTTACTAACAGTGGTGAAAAATCTGCCTTCTTGATAATCGAAGGTAGCTCCTATTTCCAATTTCTGCAGAGGGGAGGGAAAACATTGACAAAATATATTAAAACACATGACCTGAAAGACCTTTCTTAGTTATGTAAGTAAGGAACATTTTGAGACTTCCTCAGAAAGTCTGCATCTTAATGATTCCTAAAGCAGCCTGCTTAAACAAAGAGAGAACGTTTATACAGCTTTGGCTGGGAGTCTTTCTGGGTGGAGGTGTTACTTGGAAAGACATCAAAACCCAAGTGATGCAAAAATCATTCTTTGCAATTTGAACCTGAGCCACCTGCCATTTTAGTCATCTGTTGAGAGTTCTATTTTACTTCTATTACTGAGCAAACCCTGAACACCAGAGGCATCTCTTCCATTTCAGAGGGCAGTGAGGGGTGAAAGGTGAGGGAGGGAGCCTATGGATGGTGAACAGGTGATCGTCATGATGGGGAAGTTTACAGGGAAAATTACTTTGAAAGCACTAGGGTCCAGGATGTATGCCAATGTCTCCTAACCGCTCCCAAATTGTATCTTCTTTGTGGCTTTTCTGTGAGCACTTTCTTCTTCTCTGTATAAGCTCCCCACCCCTGCAACTTTAAGTTATTTCTCCTAAAATTTGGCCTTAATTACACCATACCCTGTACAATTGTTTTTCCACTGGTTTCTCATCATTGAGCCCAAATTATCATTTGTGGAGGACACTGGGCTTATCTCTGCAACACCCAATGAACCCTTCACCAGAGTATAGCAGCTATGATCCTACCTGTGCCCCTAAGGAGGAGGCAGCGGGCTCCTGCTTGACTTAAGGCAGTCAGGGTAATACCATCCTTCTTGCCACAGTATTGCAGATGGGTAAGCCTAGGGCAACCAGCAAAGGACTTTGTTCTGCTTTAATATCTTGTGAGTCTGTAAGTCAAGATGATCCAAAAACATGAATGCTCAAGACTGCTGTAGATGGTTGATGGCAGCCAGTCCTCTCTTTTCAGTCTGACTGGTGCTAGTGGCTGTCATATGACTGCAAAAGAAGCCTTCATGAAGGCAAAGTTAATGCACAGAGAAAAGTAGAATCAAGAGAACTTAAGAGAAATAGACCTGGAATCCTGATCAAACCTCATGTGAAGTCTACATATCTCTGAAATTTAACATTCCATAAGCCAAGAAATCCCCTTTATTGTTTAAACCACTCTACATGTTGCCCTTTATATACTGCCCCCATATATTATTTAAATGCGTATGTATTTTTCCCCTCTCTACCTGGCTTAGGCTGTGACCTGAAGGCAAGAAGGATGGGCCTTACTGCTTGCTCATTTGCAGAGTTATTTCCCTAGTTGTTTGCACCTAGTAGGAATTCTGAGAGGCCTGGCTTCAAAATCAAGCTCCCATACTTACTACTTATGTGACTTTGGTCAAACTGCTCATGCCTTAGTTTCTTCCAGTTAAAAATAGGGATGACAGAATTATTATCAGAATTCAATAAAACAATATACATGCAAGCTCACAGAACAGGACCTGACATTTTGCTATGATTATTGTTTAGCAAATGCCTGAACTGTCCAACTGTCCCTCACTTTACAATCCACATATAAAAACACAAACCTTGATCACCCTCCTCTACAATGATTATCATCATCTCTAACTCATTTGTACCAAATTTCCCTACAAGTTAGGAGAAGATCTTTGTACTGTACCAAACTACGGCCCCATGCTTGTTAGGGAAGCGTAGGACATTCAAGGCAACCCAGAACCTGAAGACCTGCTTCTGGCCAGGTTTCCCATGATATAAGCTGTTTATCACCTCTCAGACTCATGTCCTAGGTCTCTGGCCTATGTCTTTCTTTTGTCATTGATCCCTCTTGCCCTGCAGGAATTTCTGAGTCAGTGATCTCCCCTGTGCTAGAAGCATGGCTTCCGTTTCTAAGTGTCCTTCTCTGCCATAAATGCATCTTCGACACTCCCCCGTCCTTAGATTTTCAATAATTTCTTTTCCATTTCTCTCCATTATTATACTTACTGAATTATACTGCATCATTAACATATGAATTTATTAAATTATATTTATTATGTATCCATATTTTAAAACAAATTTATTATGCAAAGATATACGAGACAGGAAATTCATGTAATATACGTCACTTGCCCTTTCCCACCCCTGCATCCTTGTAGATTTCACTCCCCTAAGGTATCCACCCCTTCATGAAATTAATTTTGCTTCAGGACAAATATAAATGGAACAAAGGACTCTTGCCTTAAGCACGTCCAGAAATGTTATCTTAAGATTAATATTCTTTTTATTATTTTGCACTTGATTTATTTCACGATTTGGAAATCTTAAACCATAAAAGTGAAAATAAAGTTTCTGATCCACAATAGGCCAAAAGCAGGCTTGAAACTCTGAGAGATACAAGTGATGATGACAGAGGGAAGTCTGGAAAATGAAGGTCCTCCTCTTGTCCCCAGCACCTAACCCAGTGTCTGGCATCTAGATGGACTTTGGAAATTATTCATAGAACTAGTGATGAGACACTGAGAGGACTCCTGCCTGGACATGGCAGGACAGCAGAGCCCTTCATTCTGCTGTTGAAACAGGTGTTGGCTTCGAAAAGTAAAATCCAACCTTTCCTTCAGCTTTGTAACACTTCTGCTGAGTCCTGGAAAGGAAAGGGAGGTAAGAACTCCACAGATGACAATTCTATAGTAGAGTATCATAATTCTAAGGATACAGTATTATTTCAGAAGAAATATAATTACGTATGCACATGGTATCAGTTGGTCATTCACATCTCCTGGATTTCCAGTTACGGGGGTGAATACATTGTTTGAGTCGATTTTCTGTTTCTTGCAGCCAAAAGCATTCAAAGATATCCAGATAGGGGTTTGGGTTTCACAGATGTAGGTCTTAGTCAGTACTCATCAAATGGTGCATTTCATTATACATAAGTTTTATCTCTTAAAAAAAAAAAAGAAACTTGTAGCAACATGAATGGTCCTAGAGAATATCATAGTAAGTGAAGTCAGTCAGACAGAGAAAGACAAATAACATGTGATCTCACTTAGACGTAGAATCTAAAAACATGATACAAACAAACTTATTTACAAAACAGAAATAGACTCAGACATAGAAAAAAACATGGTTACCAAAGGGGAAAGTGGGGAAGAGCGATAAATTAGGAATTTGGGATTAACAGATACACGCTACTATATATAAAATAGATAATTAAGGACCTACTGTATAGCACAGGGAACTATAATCAGTATCTTGTATCACATGCTAAAGCAAGCACGGTGGAATGTTAATTGTGGAATCCAAGCAGGTGGAGAAAAGGACGTTCACTGTAGAATTCTTTACACTTTTCTGTATGTTTGAAAATTTTCGTAATAAAATGTTGGAGGAAAAAGCTCTAGTTCACTCTTGTTCCTTATATTTGAATGTCCTTAAATACTCTGTGATAACTTTTGGCTCTTGTAAGTATGGTAGCAGGATAAGTGTACTTTATCATGGCAACTAAGGTCTATTCATCCTCTCTCATGAAGACAGGTTATATCAGAGTCTACAAAACAGTCATTAATAAAGTAAATTCTTTTTTCCCCAATATTTATTTATTCATAAACATAACACTAATTGCCTGGCATAGTTATAAGTGCTATACAAATATCAACATATCATTCTAAGACCAATTTACTGAAGTGTATTTTCATCACCAGTTTACAGACTAAGAAACTAAGACACAGATTCATGAAATAAGTAACCCAAGGTCATCCAGCTGGTAAATAACAGAATCGGGGTTTAAGCTGAGGCATTCTGATTCCAGTCTATACACTCTTCAGCCCTGTACTTTCAATCCAATATAATCAACATGTGATCCTTTTCAGCAACTTCATCTGTGATCTCTGGTTATTTCAAGAAAACCTTAGAAACCACAAATAAGTCATGCTATTTGGTACAGACCAGTAATGAGCAAATTTTTAAAAATGTATTAATAGTTATCTTTTTATCACTTCATTTGTTGTATCTGTGTTGTGTATATGTGTGCTTCATTTATTGTTTTACTCTTTAATAAGCTTATTTTAGAACAGCTTCGGATTTAGAGAAAAATCGTAAAGATATACCACACACCACTAATATGGCAAATTTGATACAGCTGGTTAATACTGATACAATATTGTTTACTGAAGTTCATACTGTAGTCACTTTTCCTTAGTTTTCTTTTTTTTATTTTTAAAATGTCATTTTACCTTTCTTATTGGAGGATAATTGCTTTATAATGTTGTGTTACTTTCTGCTGTACAATGAAGTGAATCAGCTCTATGTATACCTATATCCCCTCCCTCTTGGACCTCCCTCTCACCCCCCTGCCATCCCACCCATCTAGGTGGTCACAGAGCACTGAGCTGAGCTTACTGTGTGTTATAGCATGTTCTCACTAGCTAGCTATCTTATGCATGGTAGTGTATATATGTCAGTCCTAATCTCCCAATTTGTCCCACCCTCCCCTTCCCCTCTCTGTGTCCACATGTCCATTCTCTACGTCTACGTCTCTATTCCTGCCCTGCTAATAGGTTCATGTGTACCATTTTTCTAGATTCCACATATATGTGTTAATACACGATATCTGTTTTTCTCTTTCTGGCCTACTTCACTTTGCATGACAGACTGCAGGTCCATCCACATCTCTACAAATGACCCAATTTCATTCCTTTTTATGGCTGAGGAATATTCCACTGTATATATGCACCACATCTTCTTTATCCATTCATCTGTCCTTGGACACTTAGGTTGTTTCCATGTCCTGGCTATTGTAAATAGTGCCGCAATGAACATTGGGGTACATGTGTCCTTCTGAATTATGGTTTTCTTAGAAAGTAAATTTTAACAAATGTGAAGGAAAATGAATCATGGTTATGCATCAGATAACTGCCTTAAAACCTCACCTCTAAACTGATTTTTGTTGTCTGTTTTTAAGAAGAAAATAGTACAAGTAGGAGCTCTGGTAAAGTCTTATTTTATCAACCTTCCTATAGCTTAACTAAAGATGATGTAAGAGGCACTTGGCACCTAGATGTAAAATACAGTCATATAGCACCACTGCTTTTTCCAGTGAATACATTCTGTGAAAGTCACTATCATTTATGGAAATGTTAATGACCAAAGGTAAGTAGAACTTTTATAAAAATATTCAGTGAAAACAGGGTGCAAGTTTACCCCATTCTCCTTTCCTCCTGGGGAAGAGGAAAGGAATCGGGAAGCAAAACAGTACTTCTACAATCCAAAAGTTCACGCTTTACTGGACTCAGTATATGTGTCTGAAAATAGTGTGTAAACCGTATAAAAAGAATTGCCTTTTTTTTTTTTGTGGTACGCAGGCCTCTCACTGTTGTGGCCTCTCCCGTTGCGGAGCACAGACTCCGGACGCGCAGGCCCAGTGGCCATGGCTCACAGGCCCAGCCGCTCCGCGGCATGTGGGATCTTCCCGGACTGGGGCACGAACCCGTGTCCCCTGCATCGGCAGGCAGACTCTCAACCACTGCGCCACCAGGGAAGCCCAAGAACTGCATTTTAAATAGAAAACTAACCCAGGATCCTCAACAGAAAATGTGCTAAAACCTTTTCTAGGATGGAAAAAAACAATCCTTTCTTAACGTATCCTTTTTGTAAATTTGCACATTTATACACTGGTTGTTCTTAAACCAGTACCTCATTATATATCTCTACACTAACCCCCTCCCAATCCCCCTTGTTTTTTGTTTGTTTGTTTGTTTTGTGGACACACCACTCATAGTGTATTCCTCCAGAATTTTACAACTTGTTAGAAAATGGCCAACTTCACACATAATGAAAGCACAGGGACTAACCTAACTGTAATGAAAATAGGATAGCATGAAATGAGGCTTTCTCTCTTAACGAGAGAATGTTCATTCTGATCTTTTGTTTCTCACACTTTAAGTCATGATCAGAGAAGCTACTGAGCACTCTGTACTAGGACTGGTCCTTCTGAAGCCTACCTGATCTGCCACAAAGCACAAGGTTCGGTTCTCTGGGGCTGTAACAGTTTCACCACCCAAAGGAGAGCCTCACAGAGCTGGATGATCAAAATAAGGCCAAGACCTAAGTGGGTGCTGAGCCACAGTTTACTTCAATGAAAGGAACCTCTGGGTAAATATCAGAATCAGAAATCTGTAGGTACAAGTGTTGCAGGGAGACCGTGTCATCAGGATTAAAACAAATAACAAACACATACCACCACCAATAACAAAATCACCAGAAGCAGCTAAAGGTTCCAAGTGGAAAGATTTGAGCCTTTCTCTGATGACACTAGCTGCTATCTACCTCCTCTGCAGCTGCCGTGGGCTTCCCCCAGCTGGAGGCCCTGGCATTTGTCCCCTCTTGCCACACCCTAGCAACAGCTGTTATCAGAAAACTGCACAGACAAAAGGATATCTTGTCCCCCACTCCCAGGTGTGTTTTCTTTCTCCATCTCGCCTCTCCTACTCAACCTTAAAAATATTTGGAAAGCTATAGAAAAGTGACTCTTTGTGCAGACGAGAGTAAATTCCTGCTCTCTCTGAACTCTTCCAGTTTGGGGCCATCCCAGCCCTGATGAAAATAGCTCCTGTTGCCCCTGCTGGCACTGCCACGGGAACAGCTGTTTACAAGCAGGCTGTCTGATCCGCTAAGCTCTCTCCCCGCACTCCGTCTCCACTGGTGTTCCCCCAGCATCTAATAATCCATAAAAACAGTCACTGCCATAGGCCTCCAAGTTTGGTTAAAGCTGATAATACGGGGACAAGGATCCCAGATCTGGGACCCATCTCTGCTTGGTAGATAATGAGGAAGAGAGAAAAGTGGGATGACTTACTAGGTAGAAGGAGGGTTGATGAGTGTTTCCTTTGTCTTTTCCTAATCACTAAACTCATAGACACCAACCATTTAAGAGCCGCCACCTAATAAAGGGACGTGAGTTCCTGATCCAAATAAATACAAGAAATTCTAGGAGAGGAGAACAGTCATCCGCCACCTCTCATTCGCTTCTTTTGAGGTGTGTTTATTTAATAACTTATTTTCCGGTTTATTGATTCCAAAGTCGACAGAAGCCAAAACCTAAATATCAGGATTGGCCTTTTAAAAAAGTAACCGCAAACATATTACTCAGAAACAACTAACACTGCACTCATTTCAAAAACAGGTGTACGTCAGGATAAGCGCATGAAGGTGTACAATAATTCCACAATCGTGTACTGAGCACTTACTCAGTGTCTTCCATTTGCATGAGGGTTTTGGCAAGTGACAAAGTACTTTCCCAGGCTCTCTCTCCAGGGAAGAAAGGAGTCTTTACTGAGTTTGCTATGTGCCAGGACTGTGCCTACTGTCCCCACACCCAATGTGTGAAGCAGAAAAGATGTTCGTAGGAACAGGGTCTGTATATGAGAAAAGCCTCTGGTGTAAAGGCAGTTCATCACTCTACACGAGGCTTGTCTGCACTGACTCCAAATACAGTCATTTGCCATTTCCTAAAGTTCTCCCTTTTTCATCTGAACAGGCGGTAATTTCCCAAGGCCAGGATATCCTCTCTGCTTATTAGAAGAATAAAAGCATATTCCTCCTGCTTGGATCCCTACATTTCAGTAGTAGCATCTGGGCAGTAGCTTTCCCTCTATTCCCTTTGGTTACAATGGTTACTTCCATATTAACGGACACCAGTAGGGGCTACCCCCTAAGACATTCTCTAAGCCAATTTTGAAGTTCCTTAAGTTCAAAGTGCAATAAAACAAACTACAGTTGACCCTTGAACAACTGGGATTTGAACTGCTCAGGTCCACTTATACTTGGAGGTTTTCAATATAACTACTACAGTACTACATATTTCATGATTGGTTGGATCTGTGGATGGGGAACCAGGGATGAAGAGAACGTCTGACTATAAAGTCATACTCGGATCTTCAACTGTGCAGAGGGCGGGTGCCGTGACCTGCGCATTGTTCAGGGGTCAGCTGTATTTCTCCTTGTTCTGTTCTGTATCTCTAAATTCCATATCTCATATTTACTTTATTGTAGATTGGCCTTTAGTTCCAGAAGCTGACTTGTACCTTCTATCTGCGTACTGCATTAACATTGGCAAAGCAAATTCAGAAAAGCAACTTAATATTGATTTAACATGTTTTTATGAAAAAGGCAATAGCAAGGCTGTAAGAGTCTGGAAAGGCAGTCTGGTGTAGCAAAAAGGCAATACATCAAACAATCTGAAAGAACGGCAATTTCCTACAACTTAGCTAAAACTCATTGCCTCGTAAATTGCTTTTAGGGACCCACCTTTAATGACTGGATAAGACTGTTGTAATTAGCATATTTAGTCTAGGTAGGTGAGCATAACTGAAAAGCTTGAGGTGTTTTCTCTCTTAATTAAGCATTCCTCATTACATTCTTAATTCTCCCCCTACCCCGCTCCCATCCTCACAGCTGGCAAAATAGTGAACTGTAATTTATCGTGCCATTAAAATGATTACAAATTCAGAATGAGTGGAGTTCAAATTAAGTTTTCAAAACCATATGGCAAGGGAGACCCACTTTAAAAGTTAACGAAGAAACTGACCATTCTATCTTGTAAAAACATAAACACCTCTAGAAATTAATTAGATTTTTCCCAACAGAAGCGAAAAATCATTTGTCTACTTGCTTGTTTGCAAAAGTTCTCATACCAGAATATCACAGTCTTATATATATGATTCAGTTTTACATTGGTCTTACCCTGACACTTCTTAATCCTCTAAATTGTAATCTAGCATTTTGCTTAAGAGCAAGAACTCTCAGCCCTAGCACTTTCTGGCTGAAAAATCTATGGCCAGTTAGCTTACATATTTCATTCCTCAGTTTTCCCATCTGTAAAATGAGGATAACAAGTATATGTTCTACACAGAGTAGCTTAGAAAGCTTAAAGGCATATATATGCTTTTGATAATATATATTTATATATATATTTCTAATAATATATATAAGCACTTGGAAGAGTCTTTGGCAGGTAATATATGCCATATAGGTATTATTGTTATTATTATCATGCCTACCATTACCACAGAGAGAACAGTGAGATTCACTGGTCTTCTTTATTTAAATGCTCTATTACAAACCACTTTCTTGCTAAGTATCTCTGGGATTAATCTATAGAAGAAACAGAAGGTGGATTTTGGATGCTGTAATTAGAATGTCAGTTATGATTGCATGACAAATCTCAAGATAAAAGATTTATATATAAAACATAAAAATAAATAATGATTTAAAAAGTCATCGTATGAAACCTCACTAATACGAAGGATTTTTATATGGTTAATTATCTTCAAATCAGGAATGTTCTGAGACAATTTTCTGGACTATTTACGGTATATTTTCTCTGTGCTGTATCAAGAATGATACCATAAAAAGATATATATAAAATATCAGTCCCATCTGGCGTGGTAGTCATGTGTTATCAAGTTAATGATAAAATTCATCACATTCTTTGGCCAATCCAAAAAGAAAGCATAAAGTTTATTTTAAAAGTTTTAATATTTTGTCTTTCATCACTCTAATGTGTCATCCAAATGCATTTTTGTAGTAGTTTTACTGAGATATAATTCACACACCACATAATTCACCCATTTGCTGTATATAATTCAATGGTTTTTAAGCATATCCACAGAGTTATGATATCATCACCACAATCAAGTTGAGAACATTTTCATCATCCCCAAAAGAAACTCTACACCCATCAGCAATCACCCTCCATTCCCCCTCCCCACTGCCACTGGCAACCACTTTCTGTCTCCACAGATTTGCCTATTCTGGACGTTTCATATAAATGGAGTCATATTGGGTTGGCCAAAAAGTTGTTCGGGTTTTTCCGTAACATGGAAAACCCGAACGAACTTTTTGGCCAACCTCCTAATATATGCCTTTTTGTGTCTGCCTTCTTTCACTTAGCATCATGTTTTTAAGGTGCATCCATGTTGTAGTATATATCAGTACTTTATTCCTTTTTATTGCTGAATAATACTCCCTTGTATGAATAGACCACACATTATTTACCCATTCATCAGTTGGTGGGCATTTGAGTTGGTTCTGGTTTTGGCTATTATATAAAATGCTGCTGTGAAAATTTGTGTACAAATTTTTATGTAGACATATGTTTTTGTTTCTCTTGAATACATACCTAGGAGTAAAACTGCTGGGTCGCATGGTAATTCTATGTTTAGTCTTTGAGGAAATACCAGAATGATTTCCAAAGTGGCTGCATCATTTTACCTTTCCACCAGCAGTGTATAAGGGTTCCAGTTTCCCTGCATCCTTGCCAACAGTTCTCATTATCTGTCTTTTTGATTATAGCCATCCTGGGGATGTGAAGTGGTATCCAAATGCAGTTTTAAGATACAAAGACACTCAGATACATTGAGCAAGGAAGTAAAATCTTTTACGACAAGGGAAAGCACAAAGAGATTAGGAAAAGGATCCTGCAGTCAGGCTGGAGAAGAAAGCAGGAGATGTTTTTAAATGTTACTCAATTTCATATCCTTATGCAACCAGCTGCCCTTACCAAAATGTCAGGATTATGGAGCCAACCCCCAATTTCACATCTGAAGTTTATAATAATCATAGCAACAACTACTCTTGACTTATTGATTTATTTTACAAAGTTCCTTCCCATGTTATACCCCATTTGCTCCAACACCACAGATCTTACATGGGAGGATATTATTATTCCCATTCTGCAGGCACAGTCGCTGAGGCCCAGAGTGGCTAACTGACTTGCCCAAGCAAAAGTAGTTCAAAACAAATACATACATCCATATATACATCCATAAATAAATATTAAATTAATAAAATTCACAGAGCTGGACCTGGAAGCCAAATTTTGTATTTCAAATCCCAATCCTGGTGTCTCCTTTCCTTACCACCTTCATTCACCTCATCTTTGATGACCCAGAAAGCAATGGAAAGGAAAGAGAAGGCAGAGAGGAGGAATTGTCTGTGTGTCTGTGAGTGTGTGAGTGTGTGTGTGTGTGTGTGTGTATAGCAATTAGAGGCAGGAGGCCTGCACATCACAAAGTCCCCACAATCCACCTGTGAGAAAGCAGTTAGGGATGTGAAATCATGTTGTGACAGTGACAGCCAGGAGGGCTGCATCCCTACTCCTTTAAGAGAGGTTCTTCCAGTAACCAAGAAGCTAGTGGCATACATGGCCACTTAACCCTAAATTCTGAATATTACATTATCTGTATTTACAACAGTATATTTAATTACATACACTAGTTATTCAAATATTCGAGTAATCACTATACACTCTGTACTCAGCACAGTGCAAAGATGGTAGAGGTTTTTAAGAAGCAATGATGACAGTTCCCCAAAGTAAAATTAAGTAACTAACATTTACTAAGCCTTTTACATGTAGCACCTCCTCATTTAATCCTCACAAAATTCCTGCAAGAGAAGCAAAACGGAGGCACAGAGAAGTTAAGTAAATTGTCCGCAAGTCACAGGGCTAATAAATGGTGGAGACAGAATAAGAACCCAGATAGCCTGTGTTCTTAACCACCAACCAATCCTTTCTGCTAGATCTTGCTCAGCTGGAAGTCACCTGTGGTGACACACAGAGACCAATAACACTCGTTAATTCCAACAACCATTTGTTGAATGCTCTTCAATACATGAAGCCCAGGGGAAAACTCTCACAACAACCTATGAAGTGCTATCTTCATTGCCTTTCTACAGATGAGGAAACAGGCTCAGAGAAGTGAATTAACTTGTCCAAAGTCACAGAACTATAATAACTAAGGCTGGCATGGTGCATACTATATCCCAGGCACTGATCTAAGCACTAACTCATCTAATTAATCTTCATCACAATACAGACGTAGGCTCCATTATTACCCATCATTCTTAGTTAAGTAACTTGTCCAAGGTCCCACACTAGTAAGTAGCAAACCCAGATTCACTCTGGTTTTAAAGTCCTCCTCAAAACAACTTAATGTTAACTCTTGGCAACAAAGTGGCTGAGCAGAAATTCAAACCCAGGTCTATATAACCCGAGTGCGAGACAGCCCTCTATCTTCTTACCGACACACTAAGCCTAGTCCTCAAACTTGCTGCCGTGCAGAGGGGTGCCTGGGAAGAGGAGAAGTGCTCTGGGGACTTCCCCAACCAAGGAAGGGGTATTTAAGCATCTCAAAGGAGAAAGTGCTTTCTGGACAAACAGAGGCACCCTGCAGTTTATCATTTTAAAGGAAGTGAAACGTACCCAATTGAAGAGCAGATAAATTATTAAAGTGTTTCAAGGTGAATCAGAAAAGCTTTGATTTTTTTCAGTTAGAAAATCTCTTGATGGAAAAGCTTTTATTCCCTTTAATTCTGACTATACATTAAAAAATCACCAAGGGATAGAAATGCGCAATTTGCCTCTTGTAACTTGTAACTAAATTAATTCTGACCTCCAATATTTACTTTCTCAACCTAAGGGCAGCAAGCAGGGTGGTTACCAAACCTTTAGGGATCGTTGCAAGAGTCTCTCTCCTTCGGGTCCTGAAACACAGCATTTTAGAAACCAAAACGAGCCTGGAGATTCAGGCCAAGAACTAGAAGTAAGAGGCAAGCGCACCGTTGCGATGGGACAGGGGCCGGCATGCAAGTTTTGGCTCAACCACTGTAAAGCCAAGGGGTTTTTCCCCCTGGCAAACTGATTAATGACCACAAGACGCAGCTGCGGAACCGGTCATACCATAAGGAGAATTCTCAAACATGAATCCAAGAAGGACCAGGATAGGATGGAAATGATAAAGTGGGCGGGAGGGGGTCCTGAATCTGGGGGTAACTGCCTGTCCTGGACGCAGTGACACACATCAAGTCCCAATTCTTGCAGCAGCCGGGGGCCAATGGACCCTGCTGCCTAAAATGTGCGCGCTGGGGGAGCTGGCAGCAGGGTGGCGGGACAAGGTGCCTCCACGCCCCCTTGCGGACCCAAATAATGACGGATGAGTATGTGCCAATTAAGTGATAGGTACAGTGTTCCAGAAATGTTCTCAGTTTAGCCCCCACCACAACCATTCAAGGAAGTTGCCGTGATCAGCCCCATTTTACAGATGAAAATACTGAGGCTCAGGGGAGTGAAGCCAGACTTGCAAGCCAAAAGTAAAACCTTAAGTGAAAGGGATTTGGTCTGGCTCCTTTCATCTAGGAGTAAAGGGGCTGGGGTTGGGGCCGGCGGGGGGCCCGGCGGGGGGCCCTTCACCCGCTCCTCTTGCTCTCTGAGCGGAGGAGGAGCTAGCTGTCAGCCAGGAGGCCTGGCAGCTCCCGGGTGCCCGGGCAAAAGGGCGCGCGCGGTCGGCAGCAACGCGTCTGCGGGGCGCACGGCTGCAGCAGCTGGGCGAGGGCGCAGCAAGCCCCGCGCGCCCGCCGGCGTCCGCCTCGGGAGCCCGGCGCCAGTCCGGAGTCCTCAGGGCGCCGGGCTGCAGCAGCTAAACGGCGGCGCGGCGCGGACGGTCGAGGCGTCCGCAGGCGTCCCGGAGCGCCGCGCGAGTCGCTAGCCACGAGCCACGGAGCGCGCGCGCGCGCGCGACTGCCACGGACACTGGCTGGCAGTGCCACCGCTAGCCTCCCCCGGCACTGCCCCTCATCTTACCGTAGCTGCTCTCCGGTGACCAGGACCTCAGCCATGCGCTCCAGCTCCCTTTGCTGCGCCCCGCCACTCCCGCTGGTGCTGCTGTCGCTGCCACCGCTGCCAGCGCTGTTGCCCTCCTCCATGGTCGGGGCTGCGCCGCTACCTCTGTCTTCGCGGTCCGCCGCGGGTTCGGGTATTAAATCACCCTGCCCTCACTGAGGCCTCCCCCGCCATCTTTGTTAGGGGCCGTCCCGTAGTTCAGACGCGATTGGCTGGAGAGGGAATCCCCTGTGGGTAGGCTGAGGCGCTCGGCGAGTCCGCCCCAGTAACTCCAGCTTGGGGGCGTGGCTGGAGCGCCGCGTGGTCGGGGGCGGGGCCGAGAGAGGAAAATATCAACATCTGGGCGGGGGGCGGTTCTGCGCTAATTGTGCTGTTTGAGGTCGAGTTCGTTGTGGACCTCTTCCATTACCCACAAAGCTCATGCTGTGGGATCCTGAGGAAGGGCGGGGAGGTTACTAGACAAGTGTGGAGGCGTTTTTATGATACTGTCCATGTCCCAAATTGCCAGAGAGTGAAAATAATAATTTAGCTAAATAGTGAACAATGAAGGCTGTACATGTCATTGCAGGGCTTTAAGAAATTAAAGCAACCTCCTCACCAAAGACAGCTTACTTACCTTACGGTGTAGTCGATAAAGAACGCTGGCCTGGGAATCAGACAGACCTGGGATCCAGCTCCACACCTATAATTTTGTAACTAAATGTGCTTAATCCCCAGTTTCTTCCATTACAAAATAAAAATAATTGTGGCTATCATCTGTTGACAATCTGCTGCATTAAAGACGCTTCAGGTAGCTGTTACCGTCTTTAACTGCAACAAATTATAAAATGAGTATTGTCCTCGTTTTACTCAGGAAGCAGGCCCGGAGAGATGGGGTAACTTGATCCAAATTCTGCATAAAGTAGGAAAATCGTTTAACAGAAGTAGAGGTCCCGGGGATAACGAGATTAACTGGCTGTTGCTCATGTTTTAATTCTGTAATCATTACATAGACTATCAAAAGTTTGCATGGGGGGGGCTTTCCTGGTGGCGCAGTGGTTGAGGGTCCGCCTGCCAATGCAGGGGACGCGGATTCGTGCCCCGGTCCGGGAGGATCCCGCGTGCCGCGTGGCGGCTGGGCCCGTGAGCCATGGCCGCTGAGCCTGCGCGTCCGGAGTCTGTGCTCCGCAACGGGAGGGGCCACAGCAGTGAGAGGCCCGCGTACCGCAAAAAAAAAAAAGTTTGCATGGGCTTCAAGCTCAAAAATGAAGTTTCTGTCCTGATTCTGTCCTTTACCAACTTTGCAAACTTAATGCTAGTTACTTAACTTTTCTGGGCCTCAATTTCCTATCGATAAAACAGGAATAATTCCTACTTTATAGGGATGTTGTGTGGCTTAAATGAAATAACATTACGAAAAATTTCCAAGTACATGCTATGTATTCAGTAGATGTTCTCTTTAATATCATTACTGCTTTTAATACGAAGAAAAAGAGAAAGAAGGAAGAAAAGAAATTCTTGCCAGATACTTTCCATTATGAGTTTTTGATGCTAGACAAAACACTTTTCCTCAAGTTATCTCTAATGAATTTTTTATTATTAATAGGCCTTCAGAATGAAGAAAAGAGAAGTGCAGACCTAGCCCCACTAAATCTTTGATTTAATGGTTTTAAGCTTTTTGAAAGTGCAAAATGAAAAAAAATTTTTACCTATTCCTAATTATCCATTGTTCAAGCAACATTTAGTTTTATCCAAAAGCTCTATCTACATATTGTAAATCGTATCACTATTATGATTGTCTTCTGGTTTTTCTCCCTTTAAATCTAGTGATGTGTGGTTTGAATTCAGACAGATTCCTTTACCTGAAAAATAAAAATGAAAAATGTTTTCTTTTGTAAAATACTTTCTTGTTTAATAGTTTCTGATAAAAAGCTCAAGGTCAAAAACTTTTATCATACAAGTTTATGATAAAAAAAACTATTAAAAAAAGCACCTTAACATAAGGGGGAAAAAAATCAAGTCACTAACATACCTGATACCACTACTCCAGTGAGAGATAGTGCAGAATTTATTTTTCATGCTTGATGAGAAGGTTGTGTGTGTGTGTGTGTGTATGTGTGTGTATAGATGTGAACAGGAAATGGGGAATTGGCATGCTATTATTTTTTAACCTTTCTTTTGACATATGAGACACACCATGTTCCATTGGGTTAGAAGACAGCCCCTTTTTCCTAACTTAGGGGAACGTTAGTGAACTGACTCTTGAGGACATGTGAGCATAAATGCCAGGACTCTGAGCTCTGGAGCAACTGGCCCCAGAATAAAGTGGGATCTATAGGTATTGCTAGATGAGAGAAGGCTGCTGAAATGGCAAGTAATCCAAGATCTTCAAAGGGCTAAAAATTCCAGCAGATCTTGGTTTGACTCCTGGCTCCATTAGAGAAAGTTCATTATCTTTTCTATGTTTTTTCCCTTCTTTGTAAGGTCAGGATCATACCACCAATCCCATTGGGTTGTTGCGAGGATTAAATAAAATTGAATAAGCCCACTTATCATAGGTAGAAACTATTAAATGTGAGGCTTCTCCTCCAGCGCACCCTACTCACCTGCTTCACGCCTTCTGGCCATTTTGGTGTTCTGGAGCCAGTGCTTCTCAAACTCTTGGTAGATAAGGATCAAATGTATGTGCGTGTGTGCTTGCACAGGTGTGTGCCTATGTGTGTTTTCAATCCACTGAAGACTGACACTTTGGTAAAATACAGTAAAAAAGAAATTTAAAAAACGTACAAAGCACAAGCCCCAATTTTTCATTGTTGTGGTCAACAGACAGAAAATTGTCAAATTTCTATAAACCTTTATAAATGATTTCTCTCAATATTTGTATGTCTCAGTGTCTCTCAGTACAGGTAATGGTTACCAGCTGGCCGACCACGCTTTGAATAGTTCTGGAAAAGGGTGAGCAGCAATGTGAGAAGGTGAACTTGATTAAAACCTGTGAAAGAATACTGTTAACTACGAAGCTTAATAGCATGTTAACTATCACTGTTATTGCCTCTCCGTATATACCTGTATTATTCCCACCTGATCTTAAAGACAACTCAAACCCCACCTTCTCTGTGCTATCTCCTTGCACTCCCCAAAGTGGTGTGTTGCTCTTGTCTACACATTTTCATAGTATTCAAAGACGTACATTATTCTTAACCATTAAAGGAAATCTGGAATCTCCAGCTGCCATAATTTTTATTCTCCTTTTGTGAATGGAAGCAAATTGATGGTTTAGCAACATCCTGTCCAGATATATCTGTTGATCATTTAAGAAGGGAACTTGTCTTTAAAAATTAAATATAAAGATAGAGAAAAATTAAGTATTCATGTGTTCATTACTTGCACCCATTTTCAATATTTTTGTCACCTTTTTGTAGCGATAGAAATAAAACATTACAAATAAATTTGAGGTCCTCCAGTCCCAGCCCTGCTCACTCCCAAGTTCTTAATGCTGTAGTGTCAAAAATACTTAATCTTTGGTATATGCTACCACCTAGTGGTCCATTTTGCAATGACACTAAATGATACTGGGTCTCCTGCAGGAAAAGGGCCACGCTCAGGAAGGCTTCGGGGAAATTTGGATGGGGTTGGGGAGGAGGGTGTAGTTTGTCTCCTTATTGGGCGTGTTCCTGGCTTTTAGTGAGCATGGACTAGGGATACTAGGTATTCTCATTTTCTTGAGACAACACCTCACAAAGAAGAAATGAATTGTCCTAAATCCTGAATGTTTTTCCTATGTCCTGTGGGATCTTCAAGTGTAAGAAAAACCTGTTTGCAGTTAACTGAGCTTTAACCTAATTTGGTTTTACATAGAAACACAAGATATTTTTAAATTTTAAAAATGTAATCTTGAATTGTCCATGGATGCAATTATTGTGTACATCAAGAAAAATTTGTACTTTGTTCTGTTCAGAACTTTACCAAAAAAGGTTCATCATTGTATAACATTGCTTCACCCACCATTTGTGTGGTACCGTGAGAACAACACACCTTTTTCAGTGCATTTGTTAGATATTGCATGCCTGTGTGTGTATTTGCATAGGAATATATTAAGCCAAATTGTAAAATACCAAATATAAAAAAGAAGTGATGGCAATATTCAGTTAAATATTGTCTTAATTCTGTTATTCTAAAGTTATTCATTAGTTATAAATATCTGATGACCACACTAGGCCTTCTACTAGAGTCATTTGAATATTAAAATAAAAATTATTTTGTTATATGTGATTTTCCTTTTCTATTTCTTCCCTATATTTCAGCATAAGGGCATCATATTGATTTTCTTTTAAATAATGCACCTAGAAAGCTTATGTTCTCTATGAATTTAATGACAAGAAAATAAAGTGAGCATCACATACTATCTATTATTTTTAAAGGGGACATTGAGTTAGATGGGATTGAGAATTTTTTAATGGAATAATAATGTTATATTTATTGAGCTCTTTCTCTGTGACTGGCCATGTTCAAAGAGTTATACATGTGTTAAACAAGTATTCCTCAAAATAACCTTGTGAGTTGGCCACTTTTTCTTTCTTTCTTTCTTTCTTTTTTGTTTCTTTCTTTTTTGTTGTTGTTGAAGTATTGTTAATTTACAATATTGTGTTAGTTTCTGGTGTACAGCAAAGTGATTCAGTTATACATGTGTATATTCTTTTTCCTATTCTTTTCCATTATAGTTTGTTACAAGATATTGAATATAGCTCCCTGTGCTATACAGTAGGACCTTGTTGTTTTTCTATTTTGTGTATAGTACCAGTAGTTTGTGTCTGCTAATCCCAAACTCCTAATTTATCCCTCCCCCCATTCCCCTTTGGTAACCATAAATTCTTATTCTCTGTCTGTGATCTGTTTCTTTTTTGTAAACAAATTCATTTGTATCACTTTTGGGTTTTTGGCTGTGCCATGCAGCTTGTGGGATCTCAGTTCCCCAACCAGGGATCTAACCAGGGCCCTCAGCAGTGAGAGCGCAGTCCTAACCACTGAACCACCAGGGAATTCCCTGTAACACCTTTTAGGTTCCACATATAAGTGATATCATATGATATTTGTCTTTCTCTATCTGACTTACTTCACTTAGTATGATAATCTCTAGGTCCATCCATGTTGCTGCAAATGGCATTACTTCATTCTTTCTTATGGCTGAGTAGTATTCCATTGTATATATATATATATATATACACCATGTCTTCTTTACCCATGGTTGCTTCCATGTCTTGGCTATTGTAAATAGTGCTGCTATGAACATTTGGGTGCATGTATTGTTTTGAATTAGAGTTTTCTCTGGATATATATTGTACTTTGTATCTGCTAATCCCAAACTCCTAATTTATCCCTCCCCCCACTTCCCTTTTGGTAATAATAAGTTTGTTTTCTATGTCTATGAGTCTGTTTCTGTTTTGTAAATAAGCTCATTTGTAAACTTTTTAAATTGCGGAGTAATATTTCATTGTATATATACACCACATCTTCTTTATTCATTCATCTGTTGATGGACGCTTAGGTTGCTTCCAAGTCTTGGCAATTATAAATAATGCTGCTATGAACATTGGGGTGCATTTATCTTTTTGAATTATGTTTTTCTCCAGATATATGCCCAAGAGTGGGATTGCTGGATCATATGGTAAGTCTATTTTTAGTTTTTTAAGGAACCTCCATATTGATTTCCACAGCAGCTGCACCAACTTACATTCCCACCAACAGTGTAGGAGGGTTCCTTTTTCAAGGATGTATATTTTAATCCCTATGATAATTACTAAAAAATTGCAAAGAGAAAGGGCTAAAAGATCAATTGATAAATTATAATGACATTGTTTTTTAAAAATTCAAGTAATCCACAGGAGGGAAGAAAATGAAGGAAAGATTAAAAAAGGTGAGGAAAAACCCCAAATAAAAAAGTGGCAATTTCACTAGGAAAGACCAGGTGCTAGGCCACAAAACTAGTCTCAATAAAATTAAAATAACTGAAATCGTATGGAGTATGTTCTCCATGTAGAAGCCATACCATAATGACATTAAGTTAAAAATTAATAAATATCTAGGAAATCACAAATATCTGGAAGTACAGTCTACTCCTAAACAATTCATGGGTCAAAGAAGTAATCACAAAGAAAATTAGAAAATATTTCAAACTGTGATAATGAAAGATAACTTTTCAAAATTTGTGTGATACAGCTAAAGCAGAGCTTTGAGAAAAATTTATAAACACATTTTTAACTGTTTATATTAGAAAAAAGAAAGTCTAAAATCAATGATAAGAACCTAGAAAAAGAAGAGTAAAGCAAACCCCAAGTAAATAGAAGTTAATATTTCATGAATATTCCTTCTCCTTTTTCCAGTGGGCATAAGGAAACTTTTGGGGGTACAGAGAATGTTCTGCATTCTGATTGTGGTGGTGGTGTCACCAGTGTATAAATTTGTTAAATCCTTAAATTGTACGATTTAAATGCATGCAATTTATTTTACTTAAATCGTATCTCAATAAAGTTGATTTAAAAACAAAGGAGTCCTGAGGCAGCAGTGCCTCCTGTAAATTAAGGGAATAGCAGGGGCACCTGGGTGAGGGGGTGGGGAGGGGATGAAGATTGTATAAGGTCTTATGGGCCTTGATAAGGACTTTGAGGCTGTGGACACAGAAAAATTAAGATCAATAAGACAAAGAGCATTGCTCACCACCCAGCTCTATAAGGGTAAAGTCATAACCCACTGCCATTGACCACCGCCAGTGCACCCTGAAAGGAATTCAGGATGCAAAACAAGATGAGGCATTCTATGCTTTGGATGAGCAGGCCCTTAGATAGATGCATATCTCAGTAAGAATTTCAATGATGCTAGCTTATTGCATCTTCCCATACACAGAAAAGCAGTAAAATCATTAACTAGAGATATCAGCAGTCATCTTTTACCAAGATGTATGATTGACTGCACGTATTTCCTAGCCAAAAATCGTGTATAAACTGGTTTTTCCCCTACCTCTTCAGAGTTGTGTGGTTGTCTCCCAGGCTCTAGTTCTCATTAAGATCCTGAATAAAACTGAAATTCACAACTCTTTCATTGTGTATTTTTCTTTAAGTTGTCAGAATTTATTCTGAAAGTGATCAGAATCCTTTGGTGGATTTTGAACAGAGGAATGCTGTGATCTGACTTACGTTATTGCAAGGACTGCAGAAGATAATGTATACAGGATACACACCTGAGTGCTTGACTCAGTAAATATTTAATAGATATGTCTTCTCTTTTCTAAGGCAATGGAGAACAAAACGGCGAAGCAGGCTACTCTGTGAAACATGAAACACTAGCACCATCTAGTGGGGAAAATCCTGTTCTACAAGCAAAGCCTAAAAAGTTTAATTAATAAAGGATATGAAGTTAAAATCTAAACTACTGTATTTCCCACAGAATGAAATAAATCTTGCTGTGAATCAGCACTTCCTTACCTGAAGTGATTTTAAGTAAATACAAGGTAATGTGGTTTCCAAGACACTATTCTGTTTTTCCTACCATGTGCAATTCTTTCCTCCAGGGAGGTATTTCTTTCAAGGCTTCCACCTCCACTGTTCGGTGAGATTTCATCTTTAGTCCAGTTTTCAGTTGTACATAACACTCTTGCTGGGTGATCTTGTTACCACACCAAACTTGGGTCTGCTTGCCTGATGTGCAGCAAAGCCAATCTACTGACACCAGGTTGTGGTGAAGAAAAGTGAAACCAAGCAGGACCCTGTGGGACTCCTGGGCACAGAAGCCTTTCAAACAGTTGGTAATCAGGGAAGGGAAGGGATGCAGAGACAAGGGAGGAGAGCCAAGAAACAATAGTGCAGCTTTGGGGCAGGGTCCTGGCTCCCCTTCAAGGGAATACACACAACAATATCTTTGAGCTCTTTTACAGAACTAAAACCCCCAACAAACGGAAGATGTTAGCATTCTTCATTCCAGAGAAGGTCACAGTTTGGTATCCTCCAGAAGCTCATCAGGAGAACAACTGAGGCCAGATTAAAGGAGTGCAGGCCCTGCACACACCCTGATCCTTATCAGCAACCCAGCCCTGGAGCCACTGCTATAAAACTCCTCACCAAATCCTCCCTGACACGGGGTCTCAGCCCCTCACCTGCCACCCAGCCCAGACTAGGTACTCAACGAATGGATGGATCTAGTCCGAGCCATAGATTCCCAGATATAATGAGTGGTCCCCAGACCCAAAGAAGTGAGATGTCCGGTGCAATTCTACCAGGACCTCACTCCCGGTCCAAGGTGTTTGCACAAACTCGGTGCGGTATTTTTCGAGCCGTAATAGGCGAGACTGGAATCAGACTTTACTACCTCCTGGCTGTGCCACCTAGGGTAAGGAGTTTGCTTCCTCATTTGCAGAACGGTATTTAAAAGGGTCCACTTCACAGGGCTGTGGTGAAGGATTCATGAAATTTTGCATGCAAAGTGCTTACTGCAAGACCTGCCACTGGCGGAAGACGCGACTATTTTGATGGCGAGGAAATGGGGGTATTGTCAGGAAACAGGGCGGGGAGGAGGGCAGCGGAAGCGGTGGAGGAAGGTTCCACGTGGCGCCCCGCGGGGTCGCAGCTCAGCTCCCGCCAGCTTCCGCCGAGAGCTCCCCGCGGAGGCCGGGTTTCCTTCCAGCAGCCGCTGCTCGGCCTGGGGTGACCCGGCAGTCCTCGGCGGACCACGAGTCCGGAAGCTTTCGGACTCTCTCGGGGACGCCCCCGCGGCACGCTCCGCCCCGGAAACACGCCCCCAGCCGCCTAGGCGCGCTTTTAAAACAGGCACTGTTCTATTTCTTGTTTCGCCGGGTCGCGGCCGCCCGGGGAGCTTTGTTCTCCTGTCTTAAACCTGCTGCCCTTCGCGCACCGCGGGACCCCCCCCCGCGACCCCGCGCAGCGATGAGGAGGACCCGCGACGAGGTGGACGCGACCCTGCAGATCGCCAAGCTGAACGCGGCCGAGCTGCTGCCCACCGTGCACTGCCTGGCCTTCGGCCCCGGGGCCAGCGCAGCCGCCGGCGACTTCTGCCTGCTCGAGTTGGAGCCCGCGCTGTGCCAGCAGCTTGAGGCAGGACATAGGTGAGCCGGGCCCGGGACCTGCCGCCTCCAGCCTCGTGCCATCCACCTTCTGATTTTCCTGCGGGGAAACACAGGATGGGGAAACTGGGCCAGAGAGGTGCACTGATTTGACCAGGTCCCTCGCAGCAGGTCGGTGACCTGATCCCCAGCTGGCTGCCTTTTCCCGAGGAGTCCGCGCCACTTTTAATCCGTCCAGTTAGCTGGACTAGTCCGGCTGGTCTTGGAGGCCTCTGTCAGCGAAAACAAGTCCGGAAATAGAACCTCGGGGAAGTTTTGGAGATGTTAACAGTGAGGCCAGGCACTGCACAGAACGCTTTGCCATTCTAAAAGTCCAATGGTAATATCCAGTATTTATGGAGTCCCTCTTGCCTGCTACTTATATGTATTTTACTCAGTAGATAGGACTTGGGGGGAATGAGTGTAAAGCTGTTTTTACAGACTTGGTAATTGTGGAAGGCCCTCAAAAAAACAGACTTGCTTGGGGTCACTCAGTGGGGATCGGAAGCTGTTTTCTAATTCTAGGTCAGCTACACATTTGCTGCAAGACCATGGGTTGAAAAACAGAGGAGGGCTTCCCTGGTGGCGCAGTGGTTGAGGGTCCGCCTGCCGATGCAGGGGACGCGGGTTCGTTCCTCGTCGGGGAGGATCCCACATGCCGCGGAGCGGCTGGGCCTGTGAGCCATGGCCGCTGGGCCTGCGCGTCCGGAGCTTGTGCTCTGCAACGGGGGAGGCCACGGCAGTGAGAGGCCCGCGTACCGCAAAAACAAAACAAAACAAAGCAAAAACAGGAGAAGTCCGTTCTCTCAACTTTGTGCAGTCCCTGGAAATGAGGAGTTAGGGGCTCTGGTTTAATTCTGTTCTGCTTTGTTGTTCCTTCCACACCTGTATTTTATTAGGTATCGTTTGTTCTCTTTTATGTTTTTTTAATTGACTCCTTCAGGCTTTCACTTTGCCTACTTCACTCATCTAGCCGTGTTAATAGTTAACTGGCCAGTCTTCAGATGCTAGCAATAACGTATCTTTAAGGGAACTGAAGGAGAACGTCACTCATGGGTTTTCATCCCAGCTGAGTTGGCAGGAATTTGAGAAAAGACTTCAGGTGCGAGGACCTTCTTTGTCCAGTTATAGTTAATCTAGCTGACAAAAACCAGAATGAAAATGTGTGTTTTAATTTTTTTTTTTTTTTTTTGTAGAGGGAAGGGGTAGTTGTTTTAAACGAAATATTTGAAAGCAGGGATAGTGCCACGTGGAAATAAACGTTAAGAGTAGGTACTTGGGACTATTAAATGTTGTTAGCACCAAGAAGCATTAAAAAACCTTTTATTTTCACTTAAGGATTAGTTTTTTTTTTTTAAGTTTTTTTTTTTGCGGTACGTGGGCCTCTCACTGTTGCGGCCTCTCCCGTTGCGGAGCACAGGCTCTGGACGCGCAGGCCCAGCGGCCATGGCTCACGGGCCCAGCCGCTCCGTGGCATGTGGGATCTTCCCGGACCGGGGCACGAACCTGTGTCCCCTGCATTGGCAGGCAGACTCTCAACCATTGCGCCACCAGGGAAGCCCCAAAGGATTGGTTTTAAAAAAATATTTTCAGTCTTCTATTTCAGGTTTTTTATTATTTATTTAAAAGAAATGAATTGCGTACAGGAGGTTTAAATACTTTATAGACAAGGAAAACTACTAGAATCAGCTCCTTTTTTGTCATCTCCATTATCTTTATCATTTTTCTTCTTCCACCTCCTCACTTTTGTCCTTCCCCTCTTCCTTCTTCTTGCTTTTTTCCACCTGTGACCCTTTGTCAGAGACATCATTTAGTCTAGTTTGTAAACATACCATTTTCATATTTTTCATTCAACATTGCAGCTTTCTTTTCTCAGGGTCCCGATTTCTTTGCAGCATAGGTGACGATTAGGCCAGGTTGTGCTCCTTTGATTGTTAGGGGATACTCAGGCCAAAACAAGGACAACTCTTGGGTGGGTACCAGGACCAGCAGCATGGTCATCATCTGGGAGCTTATTAGTAATGCAGAGTCCTAGGTCCCATCCCAGGCATACTGCATCCTGATCTGCTTTTTAACAGGGTTCCCTAACGTGCCTACACATAAGTTTGAGAAGCATTGCTTCAGTAATTTTAGAAAGTTGTGAAATCTTGATTGAAGCTTTTGGAAGCTTTTCCCAGCAGTTTGCACAAAGATTCCACGTGGTAACATTTGGCCTCTTGGCCTCCTTGGATCTTTTTTGCCCATGTGGAATTATTTTTCCTTAGTGAGGGCACCGGCTGCCCCTCTGGATCTCAATTGGCCCAGGCCTTCCTATGTGGAGCTCATGGGAGGGCTGTGAGAGCAGGGGCCAGACACAGCCTTAAGACTTAGCTTTAAATTCTAGAAGCCTAGGCGATTTTGGAACTGTTTATAATGAAGATGTCCATTGGTGTCTCAGTAAACCAAGTATTTTCTTTTCCCACTTTCCTGCAGTCTTGTGATTCGTGGTGATAAGGATGAGAAGGCCGTTCTGTGCAGTAAAGACAAAACATATGACTTGAAAATAGCAGACACTTCCAATATGTTGCTTTTTATTCCTGGTTGTAAAACTCCAGACCAGATGAAGATGGAAGAGACACACTGTAACATTATTCACACTGAGGTACTGTCTCCTGATTTATGTGAGAATGACAACACATGTGCCAATCTTGCATTTAATTAAAAACTCGAGGTGTAGGACTTCCCTGGCGGACCAGTGGTTAAAATTCCGTGCTCCCAATACAGGGGGCAAGGGTTGGATCCCTGGTTGGGGGAACTAAGATCCTGCATGCCGCACAGCATGGCCAAAACAAACAAACAAACAAACTTGAGGTGTGAAATGTACAATCATAGAGAATCTGAAAAGTTCCCTAATGAAATTTGAAATTTCTCAGCATTATTTTTGTTTGTTCAGAGTCATGTAAAGTTGTCTTTCTTATCCCAGTCTGATTTTTAAGTCCCAGATAAGCTGACCATTTTCTGTAATATAGAAAATCTACTATTAGGTGACTCATTTTAAAAGTTTTACCATGGGGCTTCCCTGGTGGCGCAGTGGTTGAGAGTCCGCCTGCCGATGCAGGGGACACGGGTTCGTGCCCCGGTCCGGGAAGATCCCACATGCCGTGGAGCCTGCGCGTCCGGAGTCTGTGCTCCGCAACGGGAGAGGCCACAACAGTGAGAGGCCTGCGTACGGCAAAAAAAAAAAAGTTTTACCATGGATAGGTTTTGAAAGGACTCCCTCAAACCATAACTAGTGCATTAGATGAGGTAGAGAAACGAAGAAATTTGTTTTTGAGGGAAGTGTGTTTTTCACCTTTGAAATTAGTTTAGTTCATTACTATTCATACCCATGTATAACAAATTTTTAATTATTTTGGAGACTGCCGTTGGCAGATACCAAACCAAAGTCTCCATCCTGGCTAGATTGTTACATATATACAATCAAAGCACAGCCCTTAAATCTATTAAACTTTAGGCCAGCTACTTCCTAAAAACAGAATTGGAATAGAAATAAGGGAAAATACTCGGGCATTTCAGTGATTCATATATGTTGCTAGAACAGAAGAGCTGCCAGTAAATATTGTATTTTGGTTTTTGTAGGGTTGTGTCTTTCATTGTAATTAACTAGAAATATTGACAGTTCATCCTTTTGGAAAAGGTGTTATTTTTCTTATCATGTAGCTGTTTTGTAGGTGTTTTGGTGGAGGGCATAACACCACCTGTGAGTATCTTTGAGCTCTTATGGGAATTCTGTGTTCTGAGACTGAGTAAAACTTAACAAAGCTCTACTAACCAGAGTTTTTAAACCTGTGGTTACACTTTAGATGCCTAAAAAGGCTGGGTAAGGAATGCACGTGAGCAAAGCAGACTGGTGTTGATAAATGGGAGTGGATACCCAGTCTCAGGAGTAATAGGGAATGGGGGCTCTATGGCAGATTGCAGCACACAAGCCCCAAGTAAGTGCATGGGCACTTCTTGGCCTTGTGGGAAAGCAGGCCCAGCATTGCCAGATCTTCTGATTCCCTTTGTCCAAGTGAAGCTTAAAATTTAGATTTTGGGGGGCAACATCTTATTTTTCAATGTTGGCAACTAATGAAAACTCTATACTAAACCTCCCTTTTTCCCCAACACAAAGGTACACAGCAACATCTGTGCGTTGGATACAACCAGCAGGCTGCCCATTTGTGAACTGTGGATGAAATCAACCTTTGTGTTTTGGTCCTTAAACTTTTCTTAGATCCAGCAGCATCTCCATTAGGCTCTGGGCCTTGTCTTGTCAATCAAGGCTTCTACTAGTTTTAGAGTAGATGCATTCCCTGACCTTCCATGTTAGAGCTGGAAGGAGACAATCCATTTCTGCCTTTTTCCCTTCTTTCATGTGAAACAGTTATTGGGCACCTACTAAGTGCTAGACATTGGGCAAATCCTGGAGATACAGAGAGAGATAAGAAATATTTATCCATCATTTAGCCACTGTCACCTGGATTTCTTTAAGTGAGAAGCCTCTCACTGTTTCCCAAGTCCATAAGGAATTAGTTGCAATTCTAACTAGTGGGAAGTTCTTGTATTGAATAGGAGTCTTTCTTCCTTAACATAATGAGCAACACAGAACAAGGGTTCCCCCCCTTCCCTTTATCATATATTAATTGTTTGAAGACAGTGGTAATGCTTTTTCTTTATTTTCTGTTTGTCAGCCTAAAGATATTCTTCTTCTGTGTTTCTACCTGGTTTGCAGAATTCTCAGCATCCTGGTCATTCTTTTCTGGGCATACTCTAGTTTCCAGCGTATACTTGAGATATGGAACTTAATTATCCATTCTCACTATGTTGGCAGTCTCTTCTTAACTGGGGATTGAAAAGATGTTACCTGAAGATACCCATCCATCTGCTTGAGATGGCTGGACGGGGGCCTTCTCAACAGAAAGAATACTTTGGCTCCCTTTTCTTGCTTCTTGTGGAGGGCAGATGGGTTGGTTGAAATTTTATATGAAGATTTCTTTTAGAATGGCCCCTAAATGATTATGATGTATTTGTAATTTCTAGATCTTTGGTTTTTCTAATAATTACTGGGAATTAAGAAGATGTAGACCTAAATTAAAGAAGCTAAAGAAACTTTTGATGGAAAATACCTATGAAGGACCTGACAGTCAAAAAGAAAAGGATTCAAATCACTCAAAAGTAAGACTAGTATTTTCATTTTTTAATTTGGAATTTAAAAAATAGAGCTATAGAGACACTTAATGCTGACTTTTTTTTAAAGTTCATATTCTGAAAATTTCAAACATACCCCAAAACAGAAAGATCTCCATATATTCATCACTCTCTTGAACATCTGTCAATATTTTGTCAATCTCATTTATTCTCCACCTGCTGCCTTCCACCTTTTTTGTTTTTTGTCTTTTTCTGGAGTATTTTAAAGCAAGTCCTAGATATCATGGTGACATTTATGTAGCTGAAAGCTTCTCATGTTCCTAACTAAGAAATAATAGTTTTTTAGAGGTTAAGATAATTTATTTAATTAAAAGTTATAATTAGGGACTCTTGAGAAAAGACATTATGAAAATGGAAAGTCAGAATGGACTAATTCCTGGAAGTATGGAAAAATATTTATAAACCAGGTAAAAAAAATTTAAGTTTTAAATGTAATTCAAAGTTATAGAACTCTCCTGGTATTCTGAAGACCATATTTGTATTAGAAGTTTGACTGATTGAATTTTTTTCTTTGTAACAGCTTTATTGAGATATAATTCATATACCAAGCAATCTACTCATTTTAAACTATATAATTCAACGGTTTTTAGTACATTAACAGAGTTGTGCAATCATCACAACAATGAAGTTTAGAATATTTTCACCACCCCCAAAAGAAACCCTGTACCCCTTAGCTGTTAATTTCTAATCCTACCTTTCCCTCCTTCTCTCTCCCACCTCAACCCTAGGCAGCCACTAATCTACTTTCTACCTCTATTGATTTGCCTCTTCTGGACCTTTCATATGAATAGAATCAATAAGTGGCCTTTTCCAACAGGCTTCTTTGACTTAGCATGCTGTTTTCAAGGTTCGTTCATGTTGTAGCATGCATCAGTAGTTCATTCCTTTTTACTGCTGAATAGTACCCCATCTTATGGATATACCATAGTTTATTCATCCATTCATCAGTTGATGGACATTTGGGTAGTTTCTACTTTTTGAATATTATTGATTATTTGATAATTATGGATAACACTGTTGTGAACGTTCATGTACAAGTTTCTAGGGAACCTATGTTTTCATTATTCTTGGCTCTCTCCCTCTCTCTCTCTCTCTCTCTCTCTCTCTCTCTCTCTCTCTCTATACACACACACACATACACATACATACATACATACCTAAGGGTGAAACTGATGGGCCCTGTGCTTACTCTGTATAACCTTTTGGGGAGCTCTCGGACTGTTTTCCAAAGTGGCTGCACTATTTGACATTTCCATGGTATGAGGGTTCCAGTTTCTCCACATCCTAGACAGCAATTGTTTCTATCTGTCTTTTCTGTATCCATCCTAATGGGTCTGAAGTGGTATCACTGTGGTTTTGATGTGCACTTCCCTGATGACTAATGATGTTGAGCATCTTTTCATGTGCTTGTTGACTATTTCTGTATCTTTGGAGAATGCCTATACAGAAACCCCTTTGCCCAATTTTTAATTGGGTTAATTATCTATTTATTACTAAATTGTAGGAGAGTTCTTTATATAATCTAAATACAAGCTCCTTGACAGATACATGATATGCAAATATTTTCTCCTATTTTATGAGTCATCTTTTCTTGATTTTTTAAAATTGAGGTAAATAAACAGAACATAAAATTTACCACTTTAACCATTTTGACCTGTACAGCTCTGTGGCATTACATACACTCACATTGCTCTGCAGCCATCACCAGTATCCATCTACAGAAAATTTTCATCTTCCCAACCTGAAACTCTGTACCTATTAAACACTAACTCCCCAGTTTCCCCTGCCTCTCACCCTCCGGCAACCACTATTCCACTTCATGTCTCTGTGAATTTGTCTATGCCAAATCTCCCATGTAAGTGGAATCATACAGTATTTGTCCTTTTGTGTTGATGATGTTTTGAAATACACAAGTTTTCATTTTGATGAAGTCCACATTATCTGTCTTTTCTTTTGTTGCTTGTGTTTTTGGCATCATATCTAAAACCATTGCCACGTCCAACATCACAAAGAGTTATCCTCTGTTTTCTTCTAAGAATCCACTGATTTTATGTAGTAATAATCAATACAGATTAATAAAAGAAATTAAACTAGGGTACCTTGCCTTAATCTCTTCTATGTACTTATCCAATAAGTCTAAAAAAATTCTTTGGCCTTAAAATGTGCTTGCTTTTTTTTTTTTTCCTGTTTTCTTGTTTCAGTATACAACTGAAGATTTGCTTGATCAAATTCAGGCAAGTGAGGAAGAAATAATGGCCCAGTTACAAGTTCTAAATGCCTGTGAGATTGGAGGTAGCATGACTTACTATTATTAATAATGATGGAATTGGGCATCATATGAGAGACATTTTTGGACATCTTCACCTGTTTATTGCTGTTCCATGCTATTTATTTAACCTTCTTTCGGGCTCAGAGATGATATTTGTATTTTGGGGTGTGGGGTAGAGACTACGTGTGATCACCTTTACAGTCTCTGACCAGTGACTTTTTCTACTCCTTACAGGCCTTTTTCTTTGGACTGAGTGGTAATAGAAGAACCACATTAGATCAGGAAAGGTCTTAGATATCAGGTAGTCTAATCCCTTCATTGTTTTCAATAGGTGAGGGAAACTAAGGCCTAGGAAGGGAAACGGACCTGTCCAGGGTTCCATGTTGAGTTAGTGACAGGATAAGGCATAAAACCCAGGTACTTGAACTCCTGGTTCAGAATTAACTCACTGTATTTCCAAGTTGCTTGGAAGATGTGTTTCTTCTTGTGATAACTCAACATACTTCTAAATGTGTTAAGCAGTTTATGTAAGAAACCTGTATAAAAGTTGTAGTGGTATGTGTTGGTCTCAGGGGTTGATGGAGAAGCCCAGTACTATCTTGTATTTTGATTATCTCCTGGTCTGGAGTGGTAGAGTAGGAGCTATTTTTTTTTCTGGCATCTGGGCCTGCAGTAATACTTGAGTAGATGTTTGTGTGCATTTATCAGCCCTCTTTTTTTTTTTTTTTTTTGTGGTACAGGGGCCTCTCACTGTTGTGGCCTCTCCGGTTGCGGAGCACAGGCTCCAGATGCACAGGCCCAGCGGCCATGGCTCACGGGCCCAGCCGCTCCGCGGCACGTGGGATCTTCCCGGACCTGGGCACGAACCCGTGTCCCCTGCATCGGCAGGCGGACTCTCAACCACTGTGCCACCAGGGAAGCCCTTTTTCAGCCCTCTTAAGCTTGCCCAGAGAAGCAGCTTAATTCTGCACCCATGTGTTGGAAAGGAGGAAATTGGCATGGTTTGGTGGATGCACTCCTAAATCTTTTAAGCAAGATTAGCTTTTGTGAGACTGTAACTCTCAAATGTGGTGAATTCTGCTGAGTGAAGCAGCTGCAGATGACTTTATAACTAACTGGAAACACTTAGCTCTTTGTTGTGGTTCCTTGAGACACATTTGGTCCTAATCATCGGGCATAAAGTTTCTAATTGTGGATGCCTGCTGCTAATTACTATGGTATAGGGGGTACCATGAATGTTAAGGTTAAAAAAAAAAAAAAGAAGAACCAATGGGCTTAATGCAGCCCTCTGTATTATTCACTTATTGCATGGGAATGGATAACATTTTGGGGGGTATGTGTGTGTGGGGATGCAAAGATTATTTTTTCCTAGTTTTCTTTTTCAGTTTTACATCACGCATTCCATTTTTTAACATTGCCTTTATTTTTTCAGAGTAAGAATAGGAACATTCTCCCTTGGTGTGAGTGTACTTGAATTGGTGGGTGTGTATGTGATTTGTTTCTCCAGGGGTGGTGGTAGTGCCTTTGGTTATAAGATGGCATTTCATAGTCTTTCACAGGAATAGGGAAATGTGTCTTGAGGCTCAGCTTTTATTTTGCCGCTGGTCCACATTGTACTTCTGAGTCTGTTATCTCTTAAATGAGCTGGACTTCTTTATGAGCATGAGAACACCTCTCCAAGATTGCTGAGATGAGGCTTGTAACCATGGCAGTGCCCCATAGCAGAGATCACTGTGTGGGATATCCAACCTATGACCTTCACCTCATTTGTATGACGTTCTAGTGAAATGACTGTACCAGCTACAGGTTTCCACATTTCCATTTAGAACAACAAGATTATTGTGAGATAATTGAGTATTAAAGCACTTGAAAAAAAATTAAAATGTTAGTCATATGAAAAGTACTCTTTAAAAACCATCTGATCTCCCATAAGACACAATTTGTAATGATCAGGAGACAAGCATAAACAGAAGCATTGTTTATAAAGAAAGCTAAGGCTTTTCATGTCTCTTTTTTGCAGTGGGCAAGAGTTTACTGCTGCTTTATCGGTCTATCAGCCAATTCATTTGTTTAAAATGTCCTTTGGTAAATATAACTTTTGGAATTTGTAGGTTATTGGAGGATTCTTGAATTTGATTATGAGATGAAACTTCTGAATCACATAACTCAGCTTGTGGATTCTGAATCTTGGTCTTTTAGTAAAGTTCCCTTGAATACATGCCTTCAGGAACTTGGACCATTAGAGACAGAGTAAGTATGTTATTCATTGTCCTTCCAGATTTCCTTAAGGGGAAGAAAATTATTTTCAGGGTAGTACTAAACCCAGGGCATAGACTATTTATATTTTGATATCTTACAGAAATCTAAAGAATATACAACCAAGAAGGACTTGGGAATTTTGGTCATTCTGGTGAATAAATGTGTATCTTTTTTTTCTCTGCCATAAAAAATATAAAGGAATAATTTAAGCTATTTTATAATAAAGGTATGCTCATATAATTTGTGTAAAAATATTTAGCGTGGGACCTGGTATATAGTAACTGTCCAGTGTATTTTAGTTAGTTTCTAATGTAAAGTTTTATACTTGGCAACCAAAATCCTTTAGTTATTTCAAATTTATATCTTAGTTTCTAGTTAGCAATGGTGTTTAAAAGATAACGTATAAATATGTGAAAAACTTTTCAAATAAGTGTTTAAAATTTTTCAGGGAAATGATCGGACACTGTCTTAAATGTTATGGAAAGAGATATACAGAGGAAGGTAAGATTGGGAAAGTATTTTAATGGGTATTTTAACTCTTATGTGTTAAAATTGGTATGCCTTTTTCAAGTGTCTTCCTGTTAAAAATAAGAACTCCCTAGGGTGATGGGAGATGAGTTGTGTATAAAAATGAGTAGTATAATTAATTGTCAGAGGACCATATGAAACTCTCTTTGATACGTTTTCCTTAGGTGAAGTTTATTTTGAATTGAGCGCAGATAAAATCTGCAGAGCTACAGCAGAAATGCTACTTCAGAATGCAGTGAAATTCAATCTCGCTGAGTTTCAAGAAGTGTGGCAACAGAGTGTTCCTGAAGGAGTGATAACTAGGCTCGATCAGCTTAAGGTAAGGTAGCGATGGTGATTACCTCCATAACTCAGCAGGTGAAACGAAGCCTGTATTGGAACTGAATTTGGAGCCTGTTTATTCTCCTAGCCCCCCATTAGGAGTGCATTCTACATCACAGAAATCCTTAAAAAAAAACCCCCAAATCCCACTTTATTGAAGGGTAATTTACATATCACAGTTCACCCTTTTGAAAAGGGTGATTTGTAGTAAATTTAATGAGTTACCAGCCACCACAGTCTAGTTTTAGAACATTTGTCAACTCAGTGAGATCACTCAGGCCCATTTACAGTTTATCCTGGTTCCCACCTGGTGTATCTCATTTTGTTCCTTTTCTCTCCATTTCCATCAGCATTGTCTTAGCTGAAACTGTCATGTTTGGCTCACAATAGCATCCCGAAGTGGGCCTTCTGTACTTTTAACTGCCCACCTCCAATCCATTCTCTGTGGAGCTACTAAAATGATCTTTCAAAAATGTCCATCAGATTAGATGAACTTCTTGTTTAAATCACTTTAATGATTTCCCATTGCATTTAAGATATAAAATCCAGAGTATTATAATATAAAATAATATTTTACAATAAAACATGTAAAATCTTGGTCTACAAGGCTCTTCATACCATCCCCTGTAAGCTTCATCTCTTGATACTTTCTCTCCTGTCTACTGCATACCAGCCTTCTTTCAGATTTTTAAGATCATCAAGCTCTTTCCTACCTTTGGACTTTTACACAAAGCTTTTTGTTCTAGAATAAACTTCTCCCCAGTTTCACCTGGCCACCTCCTACACATCTTTGAGTCACTTCATCAAGGAGGCCTTCCTTTACTCTAAAAAAAAATACTTCCTGTTTTACTCTCCATGGCAGCCCGGATTTCTCCTTCATGGTACTCTCACTTAGCTTCAGAAAAATGTTTCATTATGTGGTTCCCTGCTCTCCACTTTAATAGAATTTTTTTCACTGTTGCTTGCCAATATATAGCATACTGCCTGGCATGTAGTATATGCTCAATGAGAATTTATTAAATAAGTGAAAGTATTTGCTCAATATTTACAGAGTTCCTTTTATGTCTAAACACCTTGCTAGATGCTGAGCAGAAAACGTCACACAAGGTGCCATCTAGGTCCTCAGCCTGGGGTCCGGCAGTGGGGGGTGCACGTTACACGTATATATCTCTTCTGACAATGTAGAGTGATCTGTGCCATGGGCAAAGCATGCACAAGGTGTTATGGGAGCACATGAAGGGGCTTGTCCATCTGACTGGTCAATCAGGGATGATTTTCTGAAGGAATGAATGTTCTAGCTGCCGAGTATGAAAGGATCATGTGTTACTCTAGACGGAAGGGCAGAGACAAGGTTCCAGGAGAGCATGGAGGGATTAAAAATTGGGACACACAGTAGGGATGCATGACTTGAGAGAAGGGTGCTGGTGAGTTGGTGAAGGACACTATGGACTGTGCTAAGGAATTTCAACTCTATCTAGAAAGCTCTTTGGGGCCATTGAGTGGCATCAGTTAGAAATGCTACCTGATGAGTTTTGCCTTTTGGAAAGAACACTGTGACAGTAATGAGGATGGATTGATGGAAAGTTGGCTAGATTATGAAAAATTTAGGTTTCCAACAGTTTACTCCTAACTAAGAGAGTATTGGCCAAAGAAATAGGTGATGGGGAAAGGATAGAGAAATGTTAAGGCCTTAAAATCTGTATGATTTAGTGACCACTTACACGTGGGGTTTGAATAATGGAATCTAGGATGATGCCTTGGTTTCCTAGGATTAGCAGGATGAGAACAGGTTTGGATGACAAACACAGTGAGTGCATATATAGGTTTGGATATAGAGGTCTGGTGCTTGGAAGAGGGATTTGAGTTGAAGATACTTGCTGATGACTGTAATATTTGTAAGTAAGTGGTGGTTGAAGTCATGGGTTTAGAGAGGTTACCTAGGACAGTGACGGTGAAACAAGTAGCGGGATGGAGTAGGGGGCCAGGGAACTACAACATCAAGTTAGGAGAAAAATAATGAGATCGTGATGCAGGCTTAAAGGCTTAGAGGAAGGAGTGATCAACACTAACAAAATAAACGGGTCTAGAGAGATGAATCCAAGAAAAGGGCCCACTGGATTTGGCAACGACAGGTCATCAGTGACCTTTAGAACTAGAGCCATCTCAAGATATTGGTGGTAGTAAAAGCCAGATTACAAGTAAGTCACTGCTTAGAGGAGCTCTTTTATGAAAACGGCTAGTGTAAGTTTCTGGGTAGTTTGTGTAAGTTTCATGTGGATGATGTTTTAAATACCTTGGGCTAAGCTAAATGTAAGGTAAATGAGTCATTTTTAAACATCAGACCATTACTTGAACTGTCCTTTTTCTCATTTCTTATAGGGTTTAGCCTTGGTGGATAGACACTCAAGACCAGAAATCATATTTTTGCTGAAAGTAGATGATTTGCCTGAGGATAATCAGGAACGTTTTAATAGTCTCTTCTCTCTGAGGGAGAAGTGGACAGAAGAAGATATTGCTCCATATATTGAGTAAGTAATTTCTTACAAATTGATTTTTTTTTTTTTTTTTAACGGTACGCGGGCCTCTCACCGATGTGGCCCCTCCCGCTGGCAGGGCACAGACTCTGGACGCGCAGGCTCAGCGGCCACGGCTCACGGGCTCAGCCGCTCCGCAGCATGTGGGATCCTCCCAGACCGGGGCACGAACCTGTGTCCCCTGCATTGGCAGGCAGACTGTCAACCACTGTGCCACCAGGGAAGCCCACAAGTGGATTTTGACTGTTCTTCTTATGATGAGTGGCATAGGGTTTTAGATTATCAGAATTTTTTTTTTTTTTTTTTTGAGTATTCCTGGAAGACACTGCTTCCTTCCAAACTTTCTCCAGTGGTGGCTGTCTTCTCTATCATTCTTCACAACTGCTGATCTGGGGAGGTGGGGTATGTGTCATCTCTCTTCCTTACTACTTCTAGAATCACTTCGTTGCTCTTCTCCTTTCAAACTGCAGCTTATAGAGGGACAGTCAACTGTATACCCTCCTATGACTCTAAGGCAAGCACCCCTCTCTGATGGCCACCTTCTTTCTTTCCCACTCCCTTACTTTAACATTCTGGTAGAAGCCAGACTGTGGAAGAACAAGTTAGCCCTGAAGCCACTGCTTGTAGAACCAATCTCAAAGCCACTAATAAACACTACCACTTCCTCACTGCATCTCCCACCTCTCAGGGTCTCTCTCTTCTCTTTCCCCGGCTTGCTTTCCAGGGTCAGCCTTTCTAACTCTTACTGTACCCGCGCTACTCCTTGCACCCTATCTCTGTGTCTTGTCATACCTCATTGGCAAAAATCTGCAAAGATTAAACCCAACTTTCTGTTTACTCTGTACCTGCACCAGGGCAGCTGAAATTTCCTGGAGAGAAATGACACAGTGTGGCTTGCTAGTCTCACTTAAAAATTTAAGTGGTAATTAGCAGGGCCCCTGGCAAGGCACCATTTCCTCATGAAACTTTTCAACCATTGGAACTTACTTTACATCTTTTTTTCTCTTTTCATAGCAGCAATACCCCGTTTCCTCTTCATCCTCAGCTTATGACCGTATTTTCTTTTTTGGCTGCATTGGGTCTTCATTGCCGTGCATGGGCTTTCTCTAGTTGAGGCGATCAGGGTCTCCTCTTAATTGCAGTGCGCGGGCTTCTCATTGCAGTGTCTTCCCTTGTTGCAGTTGCAGAGCACGGGCTATAGGCACGCGGGCTTTAGTAGTTGTGGCGCATGGTCTCAGTAGTTGTGGCTCGCGCTCTAGAACGCAGGCTCAGTAGTTGTGGCACATGGCTTAGTTGCTCCGCGGCATGTGGCATCTTCCTAGACCAGAGCTCGAACCTGTGTCCCCTGCATTGGCAGGCAGATTCTTAACCACTCTACCACCAGGGAAGCCCACGACCATATTTCTTGAGAAAACAGAAGCAGACAAGACAAGACAACTACCTCCTTTCCCATGGCCTAGTCTGCCGGCCTCCTGTGTGGGCACACACCTGCTCTGCCGTCCATCCTGTGTGATGCATGAACTGTCCTTGCTCCTAAGGCCAACCCTCCTTCTGCACTAGATCCATCCCCTCTGGCCTTATTAAAAGGATCCTCTAGTTGTCCCTTCCCGTGTTGTGTTATCAACGTCTCCCACCAACTGGATTATGGCCAGCAACACATGTATCACTATGAACAGTATTCTGTAGTACTGTTCATCTTAAAAAAAAAAAAAAAAACAGTCTATGGTACCCCACGTCCTCTGCTCTCCTTCACAACAAAGCTCCCTTTAAAAGTTTGTGTACTCAGTCTCTGCTTCTTTGTCTCCCATGCTTTCCTTAACCCAATGACAGATCCTTAACCTAATGGCATCTATCTTTTTTACATTCAGTGGTCAATTGTCCTTGTTTACTTGGCCTCTTAACACTATTTGACGCAGTGGACCACTTCCTGCTTGAAACACACCAGCCTTCTCCCTTCTCCCACAAGGCAGCTCCTTTTCCATCTCTTGCTGATGTCTCCTTGTTTTCCCATTCTTTAAATGTCGGAGTGCTCTAGCATTCTATTATTGGCTATCTTCTCTTCATTTTGTATTTTTTCTTTTGGTGCCCTCATGTAAGCCCAGTGACTTCCTAATTTTATCTTCATACTTGACCTTTTTCCTGAGCTCCAGATTCTTACATCTAGTTACCTAATCTAAATTTCTGCTTGGATATCTAATAGGAATTTCAAACATGCTCATAATGCAACTGTTGATTCCCCCTGTCCTAACCCCATCACCCTCATCTCAGCTACCAGCACTACCATTAATCCAGTCACCCAAGCAAAATGTCTAGAAATCTTCCTTGTCTTTTTTTCTCTTGCCTCCTGTTTCAAACTTTGAGCAAATCCTGATGGATCATCTCATACCTGCCTCTGATTGGTCTCCCTATTTTAGTTTTTGCTCCCTTCTCCTCTCCCCCCTTTTAAACTTCTGGAAAATTTTAAACATTCAAAAGTAACAGTAAAATATAAGGAACCGGACTCCATGTACTTACTACCTAGCTTCCATAATCATCAACTCATTGCCTCCATTATTTAAAACTTAGATCACATTATGCTTTTCTATGAAATAAAACCCTCCACTGGCTTCCCATTATATGTACAATTAAATTACAACTCCCTCTCATGTTCTTCAAGGCCCTGTGTGATCTTCCCTTGATCCCTTCTCCAGCTCAGGTCCTCCCATATCTTCCCTTCCCTCATGATGTTCCAGTCAAAGTCTTCTCTCCTTTGAGGTACAGAAGAGGAAGCTAAAATTCAGGTAGGGTAGGTAACCTAGATAAGCTCACACAGGTAACCGGGTATCCAGGTTCTCTGAGTCTAGACCCCACTGTATCACATTGCTTTTATGTCTGATTTGGAAGCCTGTGTGATATAATGGAAAAAACCCAGACTTTGGAGACCTACAGAGCCGGCTGCAAAACTTGGCTCCATCCTTTACCACCTGAACCTCAGTTTCCTTATATCTAACGTGGGGTTAAATAATACATTACTCTTACCGTGCAGGTTGGAGATCATACATGCATGTGATGTACTTCGTTCAGTTATGGCTTAGTAATCTCTCCCTACCCTCTCTCCCACAAATACACACCCTTATGTTTGTTGGAAAGATGGATTTGGGGGAGAGAGATATAAATAGCTAGTGCTGTGAAAATTGTGCTATGTTCCCTAGAATATTTATGATGTTGATTAATTTCTTTACTGTTCCCACAGAGATTTGTGTGGAGAGAAGCAAACCATTGGTGCATTACTCACTAAATATTCTCGATCTTCGATTCAAAACGGGGTTAAAGTTTATAACTCAAGAAGACCCATTTCTTAAAAAGAACAACAGTCTTGTCTTTGCAACTAAAGTTGCTTTGTAAAGTTGCTGGTTATAAGAAAATTTTTTATGTATTTGTGTTCCAGACTTTTAAAAACCTAATTCTTTGAGGCTTTTTTTTTTTTTTTTTTTTTTTGGCAGTACGCGGGCCTCTCACTGTTGTGGCCTCTCCCGTTGCAGAGCACAGGCTCTGGACGCGCAGGCTCAGCGGCCATGGCTCACGGGCCCAGCCGCTCCGCGGCATGTGGGATCCTCCTGGACCAAGGCACGAACCCGTGTCCCCTGCATCGGCAGGCGGACTCTCAACCACTGCGCCACCAGGGAAGCCCTTTTGAGGCATTTTTCTCCTCATCTTAAGCATTTAAAAACTACTGCTCTTTTTTTCCTTAAATGTAATAGGGTATTTTATATCTTTCAGGTTATATTTGTATTATGTACACAGTGAAAACAACGACAAAAGAAAGTTATTTCCTATATTTAGTGTCTCTTAGTAGTTTTTGTGGGTTTATTTATAGAATAACAGTTTTGCTTTTTTTATATTTAAAATTGCATTTCTTTAATTAGGATTTGACATTCTAATTATTAATACATTTAAAAGTTTTCAGAGAGCTAAATAGTTTCCTAGAATTATTTATTCACTTAAATGTCATTTCTCAAGTCAGTTCCCCTCTACTTTTGACTTTCTACCCAAACAGGAGGTCACCTGATACTATATCATTTATCTAAATTAGTTGTTTATATTGATGAAATTGGCTTGACCGCTGCTTCTGTTCACCTGGCTGATGTAGATATGATTTCAGAGAGACAGCAGTGAGAGGTTTTAAAGAGAGATCTTAGTTCCCTGCCCAGGAATTGAACCTGGGTACCTGGATGAAAACCAGGGATCCTAGCCACTAGTCCACCAGGGGCTAGAGGCGAGAAGCAAAGTTCCCCTGGCTCTTGCCCGGTTTGAAAGCAAGAATGTTTCTAGAAGGCAAAAACTGTAAAAACAGGTACAAAGTTTATTATTAGAGACATGGCGCAAGTGGGAGAGCACACAGAGAAACAGATTGTTTAAGACAAAAGCAAGGCAGAAATACACACTCAGAGAGAGAGGGTGTGGGTGTCCTCCCTACTGAGGAGCGCAGGAAAGAGGTGATTTAAATCACTTACATAAGACAGTTTTTCTGGGTCTTTGTTTATCTTTGGCCAATTGTTTCTTTTCCCACATCTAACCTGTCCTAGGACACTCCCTAACATGCGTGCCCAACTTTTTGCTAAGGTGGATTCCACCGCAGAGGCTTGTGGGGATGTGTCCACACGTATCATGGGTGGCACCCCTCTCTTTTTTGAACTCCAAGGAGCCTTCCTGTGCCTGTGCAGTCAGGGAAATTTTCTTGACCTCAGGAGTGGTCACCTCATCTCTTTACATCAGCAGAGGTCAGCTTCTGCCACTAGCTTTATCCTTGGCGTATGGGGGGGAAAACAAAGCTTCAATTTTACTTCACTTGACAGACACCAGGTGTCCAGCCCAGGGACCCATCTACTTCCCACCTCAGATAAGCACTCTGGGATGAAAGTTTGCGTACTCCCTCTCTGCTTCTTTGTCTCCCATTCTTTCCTTAATCCAGTGACCTCTCTTTAAACCAATTGCATCTATCTCCCTAAATATCCCCCCCCCATCTTCCATGGCAAATGGTGTTAAAGTTTATAATTCAAGAAGACCCATTTCAATACTAATCCTAAATGAAGAATGCTAACAGTAGTTTATAATCCTATAATAAAGGATACTGACACAGGTAATACTTGAAAACTACAAGTAATCTCTGGCTGGTTTTGGAATGCTTGATAAAGTTCCTTTACGTCTTTACTTTCCTAGTGTGTTTTCGTTTAGACCAAAGTTCAAATTTTAACTTAGCTAATGAACTTGTCACCAAGACAGTTGGAAGGGGTAGGCCAAGGTTAAATCTGGTCCGAAGTTAATTTTTTTTTTAACTGCATAATCCACAATTAACCAAGATTTAACTTATTGGAATTGACAACTTTTATTCTCATGCATAAAATGCAAATACGATGGCTTTAAAATATTTGTCCGGTTTTTCAATAAATTCTGCATCTATATAATCCACTAATTTTATGTTTTTCTCAATAAACACTGAGGCAGCAGTGCCTAGTGAGGACTCCGGAATTCGATTTAGACTCCTTGAGGTCTAATCACGTATTTTACAGCCTAAATCACTGAGCTCCAGTGAGTTTATGGTGCTTTTTCACACAGCGGACCAGAGGCACACCTCTCCTGGTTTCCTATTTCCCGGCTTCCTAGTCGCCAGACCCTGGCTCTTCGAAAACCTTTTCCCCATACTGTTCAATATGTTTGCGCTAGATCTTTAGTCCTCTAAAATTTAGTGTTTCCTTTTTTCCTTCTCGCTGTGTTCGCCTCACCCACAAAATATCTCTGGCTGCTTTCCGAAATTTTAATAGTTCTCACCCACCGTCCGTATACGAATAGACGAAAACAAAAACTCCGGCGCTCGGGCAAGCCCCGCCCACCTACACGTAACTTCCGACTCCTGCCCTCACGGCTGTCCCACTTCCGCTGACGTCGCAGGTCAGAGGTGACCGGCAAGATGTCGGCTGGCTAGCGCTGTCGGTGCTTGGTGTGAGGAGCATCTCCGTGACAGAAGCTCGGCGGAGACAGCCGACGGAGCCGAATCGCGGGAGAGAGTTGGAGGCGTTGGCGGCGGCAGATCGGGCAGGGCCGGGAGTGGGTGCCGAGGGAGCCCCGGCCGCGGGGTGTGACTGTTGGGTGCGCGGGGGAGCGGGGAGTGTCAGGTGCCGGAGACCGGTAATGCCCCGCCGCCCCTCGGAAAGCCGGGAAGCCGAGCTCCGCGGGGTCTCTTCATGCCGCCGACTGGTTTAGAGCCCGCCAGAATGAACAGGAAGAAAGGAGACAAGGGCTTTGAAAGCCCAAGGCCCTATAAATTATAAGTATTTTTTCATCTCCCTTTCTTCTACGTTTGGTTTTCATTAATTATATTTTGTGATTGCTTGAAACTGATATCGTGGGCCTGGGAGGCCTAGTGAGAAACTGGGAGCCACTCACGGTGATGGGAATGGTGTTTGTAGGGCGAAACTGGTTTGAATGACAGTGTGATTCAGCAGATCTGCTTCTTGCAGGTTAATAAACCTTTTTCTTAAAGTACTAAGTTGCATTTTTGCCCAAAGAAATTTATTTTCGTGGCTGTTGCTAAATTTAAAATGAGCAAGTTACCCTAATTTGTAGGGTTTTAGCATGAAAGATAAGTGTGATTCTGAGCTGCCTAGAACACAGTTCTTGTTTGTACTTGGATAGAGTTACGCATTATTTAATAACTGAAACATTTTCTTTATTCTTTAATGTACAACTCATCAGGTCGTCTGCATCAACAACATAAACTTCCAGAGAAAATCCGTTGTGGTAAGTATATCCTCAGCGGTTATAAGCAATAACAGTCCATCCTTTACAGTACTTAGAAACATTTCTGTTCAGGTAACTGGTTTCGAGAATAGGTAATAATTAGAACTCAGAAGTCTATATGACTCCAAGGGCCATGGCTGTGCTGTATTGGCTGCCACCTCAGTTCTCTCTTTTCTTTTTCTTCCTGTTTCCTGATTAAAGTTTTATTTCTTTTAATCTGTTGCGGAATATGAAAGTCCGTATTACCAAACATTTTAGAATCGCGTATGAAAGAAGAATAAGTCCATAGCGAGATTTTTTCTATGAAAAAAGTTAAGGTTGGTACGTGCACTGACTTTTTAACTTGGCTGTTAAGAGGCCACTTGTGTTTTCTGATTCTCGGCTGACCTTGTTGAGGTGGCAGTGCTTTACACTGAAGCTCTAGATAAGGTGTTTAAAACCTAGTAAACTGCCCGCCCCGCCCCAGTTTAGATGTATGGATTGTTGATATATCTGTTCTAGGAAAAGTCCTTGATAACCCAAATAATTTATTCTTTCAGGGAGATCTGTATTAACTAGATCAAAATCTCAGTGAGAGCCGGTTTTCTTTGAGTGAGGACATCAACTTCCCTCTCAAACTTGTTTACTTAAGATGAGCTGTTTAAAAATGTAACCTTTTCATTAGAATCACAGAATCTTAGATTTATAAGGATCCTTAAAGGTTTATTAAGTCCCATATCCTCATTTAAGGAACTTCTCTTTCAAAATCCCTTACATATGATTATTTACCTTATACTTCATGGAATGATACTTTAGGTATGTTGGGTTGTGTGAACTGGGTATGGAAGTTATGAGGATTAAAGAGTCTCATTAAAAGGTTACTGTAATAATCTAGGGTAGAAATGATTTAGCCCTGAATGGAGGTATCATTAGTAGAATGGCATAGAAATAGAGTTGACATGATTGACTGATAGTGAACATTTATTATATACATACTACATGTAAGACCATCTTCTAAGGTTTTGTGTGTATGACCTCACTTAATCTTCACAGTAACCCCATGAGGTAGATGCTATTTTTTTTTTTAGATGGATACTATTTTCATCCTTATTTTTATAAGTAAAGCAGCTGAAAGAATGGAGGATAAGTAAATTTCTTAAGGGCATGAAGATAGCAAGTGATTGAGCCATTTTTAATCAGACATTCCCCTTTCCACATCCTCTACCCCTGGCACAATGATAGGTAGAAAGGAATTGCAGATGACTCTTAACTAGGAATGCTAGAAAGGAGTTGTAGATGATTTTTACATCTCCCGTTGGAAAGATTGGTTAGATGGCCTATGGGCTAGGGTCCCAGAAGGCACATTCTACAGATTAATTGAGGGAAGTAATGAAGGGACTACTTAGGGTTAAGAGAAACCAACAAAAGTTGGAGGAGCACCCTAGGTTAGCAATGACAAATAGTTATCACTTCTAAACCTGAAAGAACAAAGGAAGAGAGAGGTTACAAGAACCTACTGTACCTGTAGGAAAGACTTAGCTTACAGGAGCTATGGTCTTTGATAGAAGAGTGGGGCTACTGCCTCCTTCAGCCTGGCAGGGAGGATCCTGGGGGAATAAATATACGGAGCTCGATTTTCTGCTTTCAGTTTTCTCTTTGTGCCTCCCAGTTGATCACCCCAACAGGCAGCCAGAGGGCTAGTGCCTAGTTAATGCTACTCCTGGGGCACAGAATAAAGCAGAGAGGGCAGATTAGGAGGGGCAAAAGGAGAATATCTAGAACAGTCTACCCCTTTTGCCCCAGATCATCCTCTCTTGTCTTTTGTTATGACGAAAGTGTTCCCAACTTAATGAAGCCCTATCAGCTATTGTAGGCGTTGGCATTAGCTAATTTCCCGTTTTTGTGAGTCAAGTTTTATTTGATCACAGCCACAGCCACTTATTTATACACTGTCTATGGTTGCTTTGGAGCTACAATGGCAAAGTGGAATAGCTGCGACAGAAACTGTGTGGCCCGTTATGTCTGTTTACTATCTGGCCCTTTAAGAAAAAGTTTGCTGATCCCTGGACTAATCTATTGGTGTGAAGAAATGGCAGTTCAGCATTATTCCCATCTAAGATATTAGCTATCACCAATATCTTTCATATAAGACAGTAGAAGAAAAGTGGTTGAAAGGATGTGAAAATTAATTGCTACAGCCTCTGCTTTCTTTAGCTGGTGTCAAGGTCAGGGTTGATATACACAGCTTCCTTATTCCTCCACCCATTCATTTTTCTCTTTCCTTTTGACAGCATTTCTTTTGGTCTGCCCTAGACGTTCATTCCTGTAGGATCTACATCCTTGCTTGTTTTGACTTCATTGAGTTGTTGCAGTTTTCCATTGGTTAGGACTGTTGGTCAAGTGGACCTAAGAGGCATTCCAGTGAATCCCCTGGATTGCAGATGGAATTCTTGCTTTTATTGTGTAGTAGAATCTCAGCTGCTGCTAGTCATTCCAGCCAGTACAGTGACCCCTTTCTCTGCCTGTTAGTTCAGGCATGAGGAGCCCAAAGTGGTCAAGTCTCAGCTTCCAGTTTAATAGAACCATGACTCTGTGCCCAGGTGGATGCATTCCTCCCTTAGCTACTAAGACCTCCAAACATACTGACCCTGAGGTCATGAAGACAAGAAGCAAAAATTGTTCAGTGGCTTTTTGAAGGAATGGTGAACATAGTCACTCCAACTTTTGTCCCTTGGTTCCCAGATCTATTTTGGCTATGAAGAGATGACCTGATATATTGTCCACTAGTTTAAGATGGCATCCTGTTGGAGGTCTCAATTGGTGCTGTAACTGAGCCTTCAGTAGTTGATCGTGTCAGCTGCTCTGGATGATAGGACAAAAGGTAAAACGAGTAAATTTTGTGTGTAAGAGCCCACTGCCACACTTTTCTATACACATGGAGGCATGTATGGGATAGCATGTTGACATGTATGGCTTTTTGCACGTATATTATAGGGAAGGAAAATCTAGAATATGTGTCTATTTTTATATAAGGACAAATTACTGTCTCCCTCCATGATACCAGCTGTCTAATGTAGTCATTTTACTACTGAGTGACTAACTGATCCTTCCTGGGAAGGTCCTGTATTAGAAGCTCATTTTGACCCTCTGCTGTTGGGAGGTGAGCACTCAGCACTGGTGGTAGCCAGATCAAGCTTCGTTGGGGGAAGACCTTGTTGCTGGGTTCATGCATAGCCTTGGGGTCTTGTCCCAATGACCACTTTGTATATTGAGCAGGGTGGCTAGGGAAAGAGTCTGGACATCTACTGGATAGATAATCTTGCCAGTTGATTTTTGAGGGCTCCCTCTGCAGTCTCTGAGGATGCCTCTGTTGGTCATTCATGTGATGATATAAATATTTTCATATTATAGCTACTCTGAGAAATTCATTTTTACATTTACTTCTCCCACCGTCCTCTTGTTTTCAGTTTTCTTGTCTTGTTCTTTCCATATTCCTAACCAGCTGGCTAACCCAGCAGTTGCCATGGATCAGTGTAGATGTATACTTCAGGTCATTTCTACTTCTATAAACAGTGTACAGTCAGTTGTATTCAACGTTCTGCCCACAGTAGGCTTTTCTTCCGTTGTCTTTCAGGACCACACTTCAGTGGGTTCTGATGGTAGCTACCATCCACTTCCAACTGCGCTGGCATGCTGTGCAGACTTATTCATAATTCAGGCTTGTGCTTTGTCCTATTCTTTTAAGTGAGCATGGGGACCTCTCCATGAGGCCATGGGTATGGATTGAGGGAGCGGTGGAGATGCAATGGGAACAAGTCCCGTTGGATTCTGAGTCACCTGCTCATGCTGTTTGCTCTTTGTGCCTGTGAACTTGCTTGGGCCTGGTCCAGAGGTGTTGTTTCCATTTAAAAATGGAAAGCTACTGCACATACTGAGTTCGTAATGGCCATTTTAGGTAACAAAAATTACATGAAATTTTGGGGAGTCCCGTGATCATGTGTGCAGTCTCTACTGCAGGGTCTTGTAGCAAACCAGTAGTTGCTTTGCAAATGGAAAACAGTTGTTGGCAGAAGAAGTCTTGGGTTTCCTCTGAAACCCCAGGAATGACGGTGTACTGTCATTCTGTTGAAGAAAGCCAGAGTCAGTAAAGTATCTTTGTCTGCTGTGGACGTTCCCAATACCGTTGGATATGCTGAGTCATAATGCCCAAGTGGCAGGGCAGCTTGAACCACAGCCTGGACCTACTGCAGAACCCTTCCTTGCTCTGGACCCCTCTCAAAGCTGATAGCCTTATAGGTTGCTTAGTAAGTAGTATGCCTAAATGTGTATATTGCTTTCAGGATCCAAAGAAGCCTACCAATTTTTGTGCCTCCTTTTTTCCCCCCTCTTGGTGGGCAGTGCAAAGTGAAGCAATTTGTCTTTCACTTTAGAAGGTTTATTTTTATGTGCCTCAGACCACTGGAACCTTAGAAGCTTTATTGATGTGACAGGCCCCTGAACTTTCATGGGATTTAACTCGCAGCCTCTGCTATCCACGTGTTTTCTACTAAGGCATTTAGAGAACTTACTCTTCCTTTCTTACCAGGTCCAGATAGCATAATGTTGTCAATATAACATGCCAGTGTAATTCTCTGGGCTGTCCTGTCCTCTGGGCTATCAGGGGACTTTTGGACTATGTCTTGACTGAGCAGGAGAGTTGATAGAGTTATTAGTTACTAGATGACAGTGAGGGGTTTCTGACATCTGGAAGACAACCTGCTTCTGATTGATTTTTTTTTTTTTTTCTGATAGGAATTGGGGGAAAAAAATTTGCCTGATAATTAGTCGCAATATTAGCTACCAAGAACTGTGTTGATTTGCTGCGGTCAAAGTACTGCATCTGCAAACATGGTTGTGATTGGCAAGTTTGCGATAAATCACTATCATTCTCGAAAACCTACTTGACTTTTGCACTCGCCAAATAATTGAGTTAAATGAAGACGTAGTAGGCATCATTCAAGTCTCTGTGGTGGCACTAATCTCTGCAATTCCCCAAAGATGTCTAGTTGCATTGATTTACTACCTTGGAGAAGGGGGGTGGGTGTTCCAGTTGTGTCCACTTAGTCCTTCCACTGTAGTCTTCACTCAGAGAGTGAGGTCAGAGAATGAATATGGGGATTTGCCAATTACTAAAATGTTCTGGACTGGGGAGATGATCTCCAGTCCTACTCTGCGTTAGACGTGGGAACCCCTTTATTACTTGACCTCCAAAGGCCGCCAGTCTGGGGAATACCCTGGCAGTCCAGTGGTTAGGACTTCACTCTTTCACTGCCAAGGGCCCGGGTTCAGTCCCTGGTTGGGGAACTAAGATCCCACAAGCCGCACTGCACAGGCAAAAACAAACAAACAAACAAAAAAGACCCCAAAGACTTCCAGTCTGACTAGTGGACTACTGTAAGGTTTTGGGACTCCAGGGATTAGTGTCAGTTCAGAACCAAGATATAGTAACCCCAGGAAAAGGGCAAAAATTAATTTATTTGAGGTGACATAAATGTCAAGATTTTAAAAGAAAGGTAAGTGAGAGTCGAACATGTTTGTAGGCATGGAAAAAAGTCCTATAAAGAGGAGAGATTGTAATTATAGGAGAGGGTAATTAATAGAGCAGGATTTCTGAGAATACTACAGAGGATGGCCTCTAGTGCAGTAGTGGAAGGATCATTCCTAAACAGGAGGGAAAGATAGGTACGTGCAGCAGAAGGGCAAGAGAATTGATAGTTGGCAGTTGAGTGGTTCAAGTTAAGGATCTTGGGTGGATGAGGAAGAATGTAGCGCTAAAAATACCAGGGAGGATTGTAGTGAGAAACTGGAGGAGGCCAAGGGACAGGAGAATTTCATGTGGTTGAACAGGAGGACTGGCAGAGAAGTACGGGCATTGTGGACGTTCCAGTTTAAAATGTCAACGTCAGAGCAGTCCTGAGGAGTGATGAGGTGTCTTTCAGAGTGTGGTCTTGATTGCTATCTTGGAATGGCAGTGAAGATTGTAGGAATTGAAATCAAGGAACTTTGAAGCAGTGATACTGCATGGATCAGCTATATCTGCATTCATGTCATGTAGAGTGATGGCTGAGATGGGTTGGAAAGGTAAAGAATGAACCTTCAATGAGTATTGGGGAGTTTGGGCAACATTAATGAAAGGAACAGAGGATGGTGTACCTGTATGGCTTGAACACATAGGAAAAGAAGTAGAAAAGGACAATAATAAAAACATTTACTGATGCCAGCTATGATTTTAAGTGCATTCCTTGTATTAAATTGCTCAATTATAATAACACCAATAGGTAGGTAGTGTCAATATTCTTGTTTTACAGATGAGGAAACTGAGGTACAGAGAGCTAGAGTAACTTAGCTCAAGATCATATACTTACTGAGTAGTGGAGCTGGACTTGAATGTGGGCAGTCTACCTCAAGAAGACAGTGACACTATTCTGCCCTTGCTCTTATAGCATATGCTGTATAAAAGCCTATAAATGATCTAGAAATAGTGGAAAGTAGGAGGTTTCCTGTTTTCCCTTCTTCTCATTTATAGTGAGTGAAAGAATAAGTAGCTTCTTTTCAAAGGGGATTCAAGAGATGTTTCATCTAAGGCTGACAGGTAGAGGAGTTTTTGAAAGGGCTGAATAGCACAGGGGAGTTACTTCAAATGGGGTAGGGACTCTAGGAGGATGGTCCGCTGTCAGGTGGTGGGGAGAGAGCAGGAGCAAGAAGAGAGAGTAAGTGAGAGGTTAGGTGACGTGGTGGCTTGCAGTTATGCTAGTAGCCAAGGTTGACAGGGATTGGAGGCCAGTCAGTGGGTCTGTATGTTGCAGGCAGGTGTAGGTTAGGGCTGTAGGTGGTGTCAGAGACCTGATGATTCAAGGAGACTGGGCTTTCCCTATCTTCATGAAGTATACTCCGTTCACTGTTTTATTATTGTTAAACTTAGTTTAGAAAGCAAAAGCCTATTCTTATGCCTCACTCCTGTAACCACTTCATGACAGCACTTTACATAATCTTTTCTAGTTCACTTTTGACATTATCTTGGTTCTCCTTGCTGTCTTTCAGCTGATCCTAGCTCATTTATGTAGATTGGTCATTGGATTGCTGGTATGCTAATTAAGGGAATTTGGATCTTCATACAATTGCTCACAGTTTAACACCTTTCAACTCAGAGACTTCATCAGCAGTATTTTTGCTTCTGCTTTTTTCTGTTCTTATTTGCTTCCACATAAATCTGTCCAGATGGTCTAATTTAAGGATGTATGACTCTCTTATTTGGGAATTGGGGGAAAAAGGGCTGTAGAATCAATAGGCTTTTGAGCAGTTGGGCTGAATGTTCTCTAAAAAATATTCTTATGTTCTTGCATGTTATTTAAAAGCATTGTACTGAGAGACATTATGGCATAATGGGAATCAGTTGGGATCATTTAGATGTGGGTTTGAATCTCAGTTCTCCACTTATTAATGGTATGATTTTCTTTTTTTTTCTTTTTTTTTTTGGTATGATTTTCTTAACTCTTAATCTGTACAAAGTATAAAGTAGTACTTGTCTCTTAAAGTTGTTAATGGGATTAGAACATATGAAAGTAGTGTAATGTCTGGCATATAGTAGGGCTCATTAAATAGTAGCCATTGCAGTTGTTATAATCTACTTCTGTACGGTTATTGCCTGAATTTCATCTTAGATATTCCTGTTGCAGCCCCTGAAATGTTACTATTTCATGTCCTCCATATTTTATGTTTCCAACCCAGAATATTAAACTCACTGGACATACATTCATTGTTTCAATGGTCCATCTTTCCCATTTGATTCAATGCAAGAGGGTGGTGGACAGTCGGTATATATAGCTGTCTCTCATGTCTTATGTACCTGCTTCAGATAGATGGCTTGCCACATATCTAAGGTGGTAGAACTGTATATGGCCTTGGGACTGCTTGGTAGGAAATCATGCAGCGCTTTGAAGTGTCTGCTGCTCTTGGAGGTGGCAGTAGATTTTTCCCTACTTGCCTAAATGTTTCTTGTAACTCTTGCCACCTCACATCCTGATTTACCTCCCATGAGCAGAGGCTCATACTTGTTAGCTTTGGTGGTATGGTTTTTTTACCCTATTTTGAGGGGCCTTGTTCTTTTACTCACTGAAGTGGTTTTGATTCTCTTTTTGCTCTGTTGTTTTTTTTTTTTCCCTTCCTCTCTGTTTGGATTCCAGTCTGTCTATAAATTCTTATATTTGTGAGTAGTCCTTTTATTTTCTTTTCTAGCAGATGGTCTACTTTTCACTGATAGTGAATATGAACCACCAGGATGATAAAGTAACATAATTCAGACCCATTCAGTCACTAGGACAGCCATACTTGAAGTGAGGATCCTTGGAGAGATTGTATGTGTGTAGCTATTTGGGATTCTGTCTCTGGATTGTAGTATGTGTATAAGAAGTAGAAATCAAAGAAATATGTTCTAAAACATACCTGTGTTCATTTTAATGAAATTATTATTCTTTATCTTTACAGGGATTTGTGGAACTGACTATATTTCCCACAGTTGCAAACTTAAATAGAATCAAGTTGAACAGCAAACAGTGTAGAATATACCGAGTAAGGATCAACGATTTAGAAGCTGCTTTTATTTATAATGATCCAACCTTGGAAGTTTGTCACAATGAATCAAAACAGTAAGTTACATACTTTAAAAGTCGATATTTCTAACAGTTTTTTTTTTCATTGATTGGATTAATTTTTTTCAACAGATTTTTCTTAGATTATTATTAGATTTTGGTTCCCAATTTATTTTTTCTAATTATAATTTCTGTTGCTTCTACCACTACACACATTTGGTTCAAAAAATTTTACTAGCTCTGGCGAACATAGTAAGTTATTAAGTTTCCTTTCTTCAGACTGCAGTTTTAAAGAAGTACTATCAGAGAACTTTAAATACATTTTCTTAGCCATTTTTCTACTTTTAAAGTTTTAAAAAAATATTAGTTTCATAGATATTAATGTAATCTTCAGTGAATTAGATGATACTGTAATCTGTAGATCAGAAACTACTTTAAAATATTCTATAAAATATTTGACAGCTTTCGAATATCATATAAAAATAGTCTGAAATATCTCATTCCTTCACCTTAAATATTGCATCTGTTGAGGCTACTTCTGATTTTTATCAGTAAACTTATATCTTTGTGATCAGCTTTATGTTCTGCATTTTTCATTTAAATACTTTGTTTTCACTTTTCCACGTATAATATGATAGGCTTCGTTTTTTTATTGTTTTTATGGTCAGGTAATATTCCATTTATTCAGTATACTGTGGATTACATGATTATTTTCTAGATCTTTTTTTTTTCTTTTACTTTGAATTATTTCCTTAGGAAAATAGGATTACTTATTATTCTTTTATGGCTCTTTTTAGCATTTCACTTGATTGTGCCCTGGGAAGATTTGTACTGATTTAAATACTGTCAACTACATTTGGAGGCACTTGTTTTTTCTGTTTTGATAACATTGCATTATATCATTTCTGTGATTCTTAGTATTTTGGGTTAGAATGCCCCAAACTGTAAACTCTGTTTAGTCAAGGTGATATTTTAACTAGTCTGTATGTATAATATTTGACTATGGCAGCAGTTCTCAAAGTGTAACACCTAGACAAGCAGCATCAGCATCACCTGGGAACTTGTTAGAAATGCAGATTTCCAAGCAGTACCCCACACCTACTGGTTCAGAAACTGGGGATAGGGTCTTGCAATTTGTGTTTCAACTAGCCTGCCAGGTGATTCTGATAAAAGGTAAAGCTTGAGCAGGAACCACTGCTTTAAGGGATTGGGAGGGTTGAGAAAGGACACTTATCAATAGACATATTTATCATCCCGATAATCATTGGTTTAAAATCTTTGAAACTCAGAAGAGAAAACGGTGTTGGGAAAATTCAGGGAGTCTCTGAATTGCTCATGTGACTTCCCATTCTATAAAGGTGAGTGGTTGAAATTACATGCTTTTACAGCCACACTTGTGGAACTGACATGAAAAGACTTATTACAAAATCATCTGCATCCTCTTTCCCCCAGAAAAAAGCAATCATTTGCCTTTGGAGCAGTAAGTATGTACCACTAATGGATGGAAAAGTCATGTGTAAAAGAGCAGGTAGGGGAGCCATTACCTTGCCAGAGGCCAAAATAGCCACCCTGTCGAGCCTAGAACTCTGCATTGATGACAGGGTAAGAAGCTTCTCCATCTGCCAGTCACAAAACAGTGTTTGCACAGCTGCTTTACCAGTTGTTGCCGCTCAGGTCTCAAAGAAGATGATCTGTGACAGTGCAATGACAGCAACAGTGGACTTCAAATCTGTTGAGAAAGCAAGCTTTGCTATGTTAATTTTGAGGTGATGATATCCCCTAAAACTTTTCTCTAGTGATAGGGAAGATACCTCATCACTTTTAGTATTATAAAGAAAGAAAAGGAAGTCATAAAGGAGAATAGTGTCAAAGGTTAGGTTAGGAAATTGGGAACAATAGAATATATTTAAACTTTTCAGGTAGCACCAGAGCTCTCTTAGCCATGGTCACTTAGTATTTTCTGCCTGGCTCTAGAATCCTGATTACTTTTTAAGAGAGATGACAGTTATTTTTGCCGGTGTTTGTTTATTCTCTGACTTGTTCAAAAGAGGATTTGAGAGTGGTTTTAGAATTTTATTAGACAACAGTTTTTTAAAGTAGCTAATGAAATTAGCACAAAGGGTAAAAAAGTATAGGATGGTGGGTACCACACTGTTAAGTTACTAGAGGAAAACTGTAGATTTGGTTTTGATATTTCTGGTTGCCATACGAAAGAGGGAAACACTATTGTTTATAAGATTTGTAAGGCAAAAGACAGAAACCTACCAGTTATTCAGAAGAAATGCTGCTTAGCAGTTAGATGTGAAAGGTATCTCGTGTGAATGATGTTATTTATTTTTAAAGAGAACTTTGGCAAAGGCAGATAGTTAAGGTCTTTAGCATGTCCCTAGATACTTCTGTTACTTTTCTTGTTTCTAAAGTAACTTTCTTTCTCTAATGAAGCAGTAAAATTTCTGCTAAAGCTGAAACAAATTAAATGTAGCAGATTTGATTTGAAAGTTAAACTTAAAACTCAGTGGTTAAATTTGGTCTTGAATATGTACAAGAATGTCCTAACATTCAAAGAAGTAATATGCTACTTCATCACATTTTCTCCTTATTTGTTTTAAAGTTAAGGTGCCAGGCCTTCCTATTTTTAATGGCAAGAGTGTGCTTACCTTGGTTGAGATTCAGCACCTTTAAACTGCAGGGGGAATGTAAGGAAGGGAAACATTAAGATAAGGGACTAAGAGGCATTTCTACCTATTTGATCTAACTAAACGTTAGCTGAGTTGTTAAATTACCTGTACTAGCAAATAAAATACCTGTTGGTTATGTAACATCTATAAGGCTTCTCTTTCTCTCCATGTCTCTGTCTCTGTCTCTCTGTCTCTCTCTCTAGCTTATTGTCTGCCAGGAAAATAATTTAAGCACTTGAAGTTTCTCTAAATATATTTTCTGTTTGAATCTACATATTGTAGGTATAGTTTGCCTCCATAGAAGCTATGTCTCTTTGGTGGTTTTTCTGTTTTTCTTTTTTCTTTTTTTTTTTTTTTTTTGCTATAGTTCTCTCTTCTTAGAGTAAAGTAAATGTAGATTTTACCAGAGAGACTGTTTCTGTGCATGAGTAGCCTACAGTGGCTGACATATCTTTCCTCCTTGTTTCTTTTCCTTCCCTGGATAGGCTTTGCTGCTTTGAGAAGACCTTTTTTATTTTACTTGAAAAGTCTCCACTTTCCTGAGTTTCAAGAATCAGTTTAATTCCTGTCTCCTGTCTTCATTTCCATCAAGGAGTGGCAGTAGAAATGAAGCTAACTTAAGATATAAATGAAGTAACTTTGAGTGATTGGAGCAATTTTTAGAGTGATTAGAATTGATTTTTTAAATTGCTTCTTTTAGAAAAAGATTTTCTAGGTCCTTTATTTTAATACAGACGTCTACAAAGGGATTTTAAATGTTATTTTACTGATATCATATGGTAGAAGTGGTTGATTCCTTTTTTGATTATGGTTAAGTAATATGGATACTAGTTTTATATTTTAACTCAGCCCACAGTGCCTCACTGGCAGTTGTTTTAGTAGTATTGTTTGGAATTGAGTTGTCATAATTGGAAGAACTTTGGGGTTTGTTTAGTCAAAACTTCAGCAGGAATTTTTCCTATATTATTCTACCTTCTGCTTGAATATGTCCAGCTCAGGAGAGCTTATTATATTTTAAAGCACCCCTTTCATTTCTGAATGCTAGGAAGTTCTTTATTACATCGAGCCACAGTCTGTTTTGCTATAATGTTCACAAACTTATGCTAGTTAAAAATTGTTTTCCTGTAAGTTTTCTTTTCCAGTCTGTAGTATCTCAATACTTTCAACTATTCCTCATTTAAAACTCTTTCCAAATTTGTTAACCTTTCTCTTTGCCCTGCTCTGAATACTCTCTGGTTTGGCATTGTGTTTTCTTGAATGTGGTAACCCTAGAACTAGATAGGGTTCTTCTTATTTGGACTTGTAATCACACATGCATAGCAGTAAAGCCATTTTGTTCTTATCTATACTCATTGTTTCTAGTGGCTTGAAATTCATTAGCTTTTCACAAATAGCTACTTTAAAGTAATTGATTCACGTTTGAGCTTGTTATCAGTGAAATACCATAGGCTTTTTCATAGAAAAACTTGTTAAGGTAGAATTTTCTCAAAGCAACCTTATTTCATGGCATCATTATCAAATGTTGTTTCAATTATTTTTGAAAAGTCATTTTTATTAATTTTGATATTGGTTCCATTTCTGGAAAATGGATTTTTCTGTTGGCTTTTACTTACTTATTTATTTATTTTATTCTGTATGTGAATTATAAGACAGAAGAAAAAACTGAGTGTGACAAGGATATAGAGCAGAACTCTCAAACACAGCTAATAGAAATGTAAATTGAGATCGAAAGTATACATAGTCTATGATTGGTGGTCTCACTCCTACGTGTATATCCAATATGTTCACCAAGAAAAAAGTGCAGAACTGTTCACAGCAGCATTTGTAATAGTCAAAACTGTAAATTACCTGAAAACCCATCAATGGTAGAATGGTAGATTGTGGTATATTCTTACACTGTTGGAATTCTAAAAGTAATGAGACTGAATGACCAACAGCTAGATGCAATGATATGGATGGATTTCACAAACTTAATGTTGAATAAAACAAGTCAGACACAAAAGAATGTGTATTAAGTTGTTAATCTATCTCATTAGATGTCAGAATAATAGGTTACCCTTGGTGGTAGGAAGCAGGGCTAGGTTAGTGATTACAAGAGGGCTTCTGGGAGGCTGGTAAAGTTCTGTTCTTGCTCTGCATGCTGGTTACTTTGGTTTTGTGAAAATTCATCGAACTGTATACTTAGAGTGTATATATATATTTCTGATGTATATTGTGCTTCCATGAAATGTTTTTAAACGGAGAAAAAGTTTACAAATAATTAAATCTTAAGTTTTGCAAAATCTGCACACACAGTTTTAAGAAGCACACGTTCTTTATCTGATAAAGAATTAACAGATTATTTTAATTTAATACAGATGTTTATAATAGGTTCTTGGAGAAAATTCTTTTGATTACCTTAATTTACTAGTTTTTAAGTATCCCCTACAACATTACTCATCTTTAAGCTTTGTTTCCTTAAGGAAGAATGGGTGGTGGTTATAGGGCAGGGGCATATTAATATTTTGCAATCATTATTCTGAAAATTGAAAACATTTATAATCTTGTCTTGTAATTTTTGGCTTTTATTAGGTTATTATGAAAGGAAACATTTTTGATTCATATTATGAAAGGAAACACTGAAATCCAAGCCATGAGAAGATTGTTCCTCATAACTGACTTTCCAATAGATTCCATTTATAATGACTCACCATTTTATTTGGACCACTTTACCTTTTCTCAGGAAATAAGGAGATTGAGAATAATTTTCCATTAAAAAAAAATGAGTGGTTTAATATGTAATGTTTAAATTTGGCCTTTTGTGTAACAAAGATTTTTTTATTTTTGAATTTCACAGATAACTGGGGGATATTACAAGTTCTTCAGCTACCTTTCAGATTTCATGTTTTTGAAACCTTACTGAAAAGAAATTGCAACCTGTAAATGTACAAAGTAGTTTTTAAAATTAGATAGTATGTTAACTAAGTACTGGTAAGGATGCAGAGCAACTGGTATGTTCATATATTGCTGATGAGAATGCAGAATGGTATAGCTATTCTGGAAAACAGTTTAGCAGATTCTTATAAAGCTAAACTTATGTTTACCATATGACTCAGCAGTCCCACTCTTGGGTGTTTGTACTACAGAAATGAACATTAAATTCACATAAAAACTGTTACACAGTTATTTGTAGCAGCTTTATTCCTGATAGCCAAAAGCTGGAAGCAACCCAGATGTCTTTCAGTGGACGAATGAATAAACAATCTGTGGTACAGTCTATTCAATGTAATAATATTCATTATAAAAAGGGACAAACAATAGATACATGTAACACCTTAGATGAATTTCAAAGACATACTGAGTGAGATAAGCCAGCCTCAAAAGGTTGCATTCTGTATGATTCCATTTATTTGACACAGGGCATTGCACAAGGGGCTTTGTGGATGGCAGAACTGTTCTATATCCTGATTGTGGTGATGGTTGCACATGTTAAAATTTATAGAATTATATACCAAAGGAAAAAAGTTACTTTTACTGTATGATAATTAAAAAAAAAAAAAAGATGGTATGTGAAAAAACAGTCATTTGTTTTTTTATTGTGGTCCTGGAGTTTTTAATACCTTTATTTTACATATTTATCTAAGAGAAAGAAAGTGTTAAAATTATTGAGAAGTCTGCTTAACTACTTTTAGAACCTTGTGTTTTGTAGTTGTTAAAAGTCATAGTTAATATTACATCCTTACTAGTTAGGAGAGAGTTGGAGATGGGGGAGGAATGGCCTCCATCATATTGAGAGTGTGTAAGTTTAATGTTTTCTTTCATGGCTTTTCCTCTTTTATTTTCCCTATAATTACTCTGTAGAGTATATGAAACTTGTCTTTTAACCAGGTTAAAAATTTATTAAGCTAGTGAAATATCACTGACTTGACTTTATGGAGTTATCTAATGGCAAGATGATAGACATAAAGGTGCACAGCAAGAATATGGCTCACAGTATTGTGTCTAATCTTGTTTTCTCGCTCTTGCCATTCCTTGTCTTTTTTCTTTCTTCCACTTCTTCCATATTACTTTAACTGATTTCAGTGAGGAAATGCGATATGTGTGTGTATGTATATACATATATATATATGAGTTATTTTTATGGAATAAAATTAGAAAATCAGATGAGAACAGTATTTTCATATTTTCATAAGGCTTCTGTGTATTGTTTTCATTCAGTAGGAGATAAGGCCAAGTACCTATTGAACAAATATTTTTTGAGTGTCCCCTGGCATTTAGGGGATATAACAGTGAACCATCCGAAAGTTCCTCTCCTTCATTAAGGTTACATTGTCATGTACTGGGGAGTGGAGGGGAGCAGTATTAAATTTTGAGGAATTAATTCCCATTCTGATTTGTTTTAAACACCTTAATTTCTATCAGATTATAAAGCTTGTTGAATCCATTCAAATTTTTGCCAGATTGATAAAGAATAATTATTTTTTCAATTCTACGTATATTCTTTACATTTGTATTAGGAAAGTGTAGTGGCTTTGGCATTCTAAAATTAATGAAGGATGTGATAGTCATAATGATCACATAGCATTGGCGAGTAGACTATATATGCCATTGCATTTATAGTTTTTTTTTTGTTTTTCTTTTCTTTTTTTGCAGTATGTGGGCATCTCACTGTTGTGGTCTCTCCTGTTGCGGAGCACAGGCTCTGGGCGTGCAGGCTCAGCGGCCATGGCTCATGGGCCCAGCCGCTCCGCGGCATGTGGGATCTTCCCGGACCGGGGCACGAACCCGTGTCTCCTGCATTGGCAGGCGGACTCTCAACCACTGCGCCACCAGGGAAGCCCGCATTTATAGTTTAATAGTTTTAGTCTTGGGAAATAGAGCAACAGTTACTTGGCTAAAGAGCATTCCTATGAGTTATGTAAGATGATATAATGGTTACAAACAAATGGTGCCAAGTATTTAAGAAAATGCTTGGTGAAATATATGGCTTATTGTTAAAGCTGGCTTTCTCTTTTTTTTTCCCCCCAGGAGAAATCTCAATTATTTTTCCAATGCTTACGCAGCTGCGGTTAGTGCTGTGGATCCTGATGCAGGAAATGGAGAACTTTGCATTAAGGTTCCATCAGAATTATGGAAGCACGTTGATGGTAAAATACCAAGAACATGTTGAGTATACAGTAAAATCATGTTGGATTCAGTGACTAGAAACTTTTCATGAAAATTAATGGTACCTAAATTATAAATTAATCAGTTGAAATATACAGGAGTTGGAAGCTCTTTTTTTCCTTAAAGATAATTGGCTAACAGGAAAATAGCAATCAAGGGCTATGACAAAAAGCAACTCATTTCACTGTTGCTTTTAAAGCGAAAGTTATAAAACAAAAATTAGATGGTTGGAACAATTTGTCAAGATTTGAGAACCCACACAGTATTAACTCAGTTTAGAATTATAGCATTTTATAAAAGGAAGGATCCTAAAAAGTCATCTGATTCAATTCTTTCCTTTTATGGAAGATTAATCTGAGGTTTAAAGAGAGTAAGTGACCTGCTGGATGTCACTAATTAGTAGTAGAGCCAAGGCTAGAATGTAGGGCTGCTAACACCCACTCTGCATACTTTTACTTTGTCTTATTATTTCTGAATCTTCTTTATTTCCTTGTATAAAGTTACAGCCATTATAATTATCATACATAACCTTCTGCCTACCTTTATTTTGCTTTATAAAATTAATCAAGATAAGGAGGTAAAAGACTTTGTTTTGTTTTTGCTCTTTTTGGATAGTTTGTATGTGTATATGGTGGGGGGAGGGGTTTACCTTGCAGGGGGGTTGCCTAGTTTAGGGTGCAGGCGTGGAAGGTCATCGCTACATGTTCACGGGTTGGAGAAAGTCCATATGGTTTAATGTTTTGAGGGAAATTAAAAGGAACATCTTTCTTTAATCTTACGGAAGCAACACGTATTTATTACTTAGAAATCAAACATAGTAAATAATGCTGCATGATGTAAATTTTCGGGTAGTCCTTCCCTCCTACCCCACTCTGTACTCCTTAAAGTCACAAGTAGGGTTAACAATCTGTGCGAGAATGTACTAAGAGAACAAACTTGAAAAGTAAGTTTTGAATTGGATCTGGAAGGCCTTAGCTATGCGGTAGTTTTAAACTCTTTTCTTTAGGCAGTATAGCATTGTCAGAAATGTTGAGAGGGGGATGTGGTCTGACCAGTATTTTGGGAGAACACAAGTAGCAGTGACTAGAATTGAGTGGAGGTAAGAACACCAGTGGAAGCAGACTGTTGAGTTCCTTATAGGCAAAGAGATGGTAAAAGCCTAAACTAGGTTAAGTAGTGTGATCTTTTATGTAAAGCTCAGCCTTTGATTCCCACTTTATGTTCAGTGCAAGTCTTTGCCCTTATTATATCGACCACTGTTACCTAATTATATTTTTATATATCAATGTATGTATGTATTTATTTGTTGCAGAATTAAAGGTGCTAAAGATACACATCAATTTTTCTTTGGATCAGCCAAAAGGAGGTCTTCATTTTGTGGTACCCAGTGTAGAGGGAAGTATGGCAGAGAGAGGTGCTCATGTTTTCTCTTGTGGGTATCAAAATTCCACAAGGTAGATTACTAATTCTTACGTATTTCAGTTGATTTCATTTTTTCAATTGCATTTTTTTCTATGAATATGCAATACATGTATTTAGTGTAAAATGAGAAGTATGAGCTTGATCCCCAACTACTTGAACCTCTTCTGAATCTTGTTCCTCTTCAATCCTGTCTTCCCTCCTTTCCTTTTCAAGTCTACTGTTCTAAAGTTGTCTCAATTCTTTCATTTTGTAGACTTTCGTATTGAAGTAAAACATACAGAAAATTACACAAATTGTAAATAGAAAGCTCAATACATTTTCACAAGTGAACAAACTCGTGTAATTCACACTCACATCAAGAAAAAGAACATTAACATTACCAGCATCGCAGAGTACCCCTTCTACCCACCTCCATTCACTCTTGCCCACCTGATAGCCTCCTGCCCTAGGGCAACCACCATCCTGATATCTAAAATACTGTAGATTGATTACACCTATCTTTGAACTTTATTAAATGGAAGCATATGCCTTATGCTCTTTATATCTGCCTTTCTTGTGTAATATTGTGCTAGTGAGATGTACCTTTATTGTTGCATGTAATTGTAGTTCATTCTCATAGTTCTGCAGTTAACCATGTTATTGAAATATTATGTTATGTGTAGTCTCCTCAGATTATTAACTCCTCCAAGCCAGGGATGATGTCTTATGTTTCTCTGTGTTTCAGTAACAAATACAGACCCTGGCACATAGTAAAACCTGATCTGAATAGAACATTGAATAGAAATTTTATGTCTGGCTTTACCAGCACTGTTTGAATTTATGCAATGCATCACATACTCCAGAAAAGCAGTTTCCTGACATTATGGAATAGATTCTGAATATTGTACTTTTAAAAACTTTTTTGTAAGCATTTTTAGTTTCCAAAAATGAATGCTACGTAAAAACTGACTATGAATATACAAGTAAAAATTATTTTTAATTAAAAAATTGGAAACTAAGAATTGCTTACCTCTTTTCAGGGTTTAAACTGGAGGTACTGCATGATATATTTTATTAATATTGCCAATAATATTTGGAGACAGAACTTTATCTTTAATCACATTCTTTCAGGTTGCTCAGTAAAAAACATCAGTGGGCAAATAGCTAAAATTTCTTCTTGTGCATGTTCTGTAAATGTTAAAATAACTTATATGTGGCAGAAACAATGTAGGTTATACTTTCAACATGTTTTCTGCACTGTTGATCTTTTTTCTAGATTTTGGTTCCCATGTGTTGATTCATACTCTGAATTATGTACATGGAAATTAGAATTTACAGTGGATGCTGCAATGGTGGCTGTTTCCAATGGAGATTTGGTGGAGACAGTGTATACCCATGATATGAGGAAGAAAACCTTCCATTACATGCTTACCATTCCAACAGCTGCGTCGAATATCTCCTTGGCCATTGGACCTTTTGAAATACTTGTAGATCCATATATGCATGAGGTAAATCATAGCTTCTTGCTTCTTTCCCTCCCACTCTTTCATGCCTAATCAGAAGAATATTAATTAAATACTAAGTTTTTCTTAATTCTTCTTTCAACTGTTAGAACTATCACTAGAGAGAAAAGGTTTCTTTATCTGAAATATATAATGACATGCAGTTTGGGCCCTGACCACTAATGTTAAATAAATGCTCACCGTTCACTTATGGTAGTCTCTAATATGTTCTTTTATAATGTTGTCAGAAGAATAGTTTTTTTATTGTATATTAAAAACTTTCCTTGCCTCCATATCCTGCAGTAATCAAATTTCTTTAGCATGGCTTTCAAGAGCTTCTAGAATTTGACCCTAATATTCCTTTCTAGCTTTTTCCTCATTACTTTTCTATTTATGGTTGTTATATTCAATATAGTTTACTTAGATTATTTTCTGACCAGACCATATTTTTTCCCGTCTTTGACTGTTTGGGATGTCCTCTTTTCCTCCTCTCCTTACCTATGAAACTTTTGTTCAATTCATAAAGATTAGCACAAATGTAGTCTTCATGAAACCTTGCTGAGTCATTCTAGTCAGAGTGATATGTCATTATTGATGTTGTTCATTTGGCACAGAATCATAATAAGAGACAGTGAGACAGTATGTGATATTTGAGTGTCTGTGTCCAAAGTGGGATGTAATGTAAGATGTAATTATTTCTGTTGCTGATATTTCTTATCTCCTCACTACCAGTAAGCTTCCCTGCAGTTTTCATATTGTTTTTTATATGTACTGAAGATAGTATAATGACTGTTAATTATTTAAGATAGTACTATGATGTGCAGTATTCACTAGGTTAGATATTTATGAATCAAAGGCAGGTTTACAATAAACCTTGGAAATTTAGATTGTTTTGTATGCATATGCAAAAGAAACTTTAATTTGGAACCAAAGTTATTATTTTCATTGGATCTAAGCATTTCAGACTTATAATCCATCATGAATTTAAGTCTTAAGTGTAATGAATATTTTGTAAGCATAGTAAATAGTCACTAATTTCATACCAGTATTTTCTCTCAGTGCCATGGATTTGTTAAAAAAAAAAAAAAGCGGGGGGGAGGGATTTATATGCAGCTTCATTTATAACTGAGATATTTAGGAAATTTAAGATTTCAGTTAACTCTTTTATTTAATGATCTTGTTCCCTGCTTTTTATTTTTAGGTTACTCATTTTTGTTTACCTCAGCTTCTTCCATTGCTTAAACATACCACGTCGTATCTTCATGAAGTTTTTGAATTTTATGAAGAAATTCTTACATGTCGATACCCATATTCTTGTTTTAAGACTGTATTCATCGATGAGGCTTATGTTGAAGTGGCTGCTTATGCTTCCATGAGCATTTTTAGGTTTGTATCCAAATTCAAAAGGCCTAAATTAGGTTAATGATGTGAAGATAGGTTATTTATTTTGTGATCAATTTTTAAAATTATTTATTTATTTAATTTATTTATTTTTGGCTGCGTTGGGTCTTTGTTGCTGTGCGCGGGCTTTCTCTAGTTGTGGGAGCGGAGGCTACTCTTCGTTGTGGTGTGCAGGCTTCTCATTGTGGTGGCTTCTCTTGTTGCAGAGCACGAGCTCTAGGTGCACGGGCTTCAGTAGTTGTGGCTCGCGGGCTCTAGAGCGTAGGCTCAGTAGTTGTGGCACACAGGCTTAGTTGCTCCACGACATGTAGGATCTTCCCAGACCAGGGCTTGAACCCGGGTCCCCTGCATTGGCAGGCAGATCCTTAACCACTGCACCACCAGGGAAGCCCCTGTGATCAATTTTAAGATGCAGTTTGAACCTTTTCCCTTCAATTTAGTTATGGTTGGCTTTGTAGAAAATCCAGTGTTTTCAAAATTGAAAAATGTAGAAAAGCATAAAGAGGAACATTTCAAAATAACCCAAAAGATTCATAGTATCTTTATCCAGAATTAACTGGTACTAATTTTTTACATATGTGTTTTAGTCTCTTTTTGGCTTATGCATTAAAAACAAAAATGATGCAAGTCACTATATGGGTATCTAGTGAGGTTTTTGTCCTAGCACTATTTAAAAATTTATTGATATCATCAGAAATTTGTATGCAAAAAAAAAAAAAGAAAGTTTTATTTCTTTTTTCTTTTACCCTCTTTACCTCCCTCCCTTCTTTCATTCCTTGAAAAGTGCCAAATTTAGAAGTTATATGTCTCAGGGTCAGTCATTTTTTTGGGGGGGTCTATTTTCTCTTCTGTAAAATGGACATAATAATAGTGTTCTTGCATTCTTCCGAGTTGTTTAGACAATCTGATGGGTCAGTGCATTTGAAAATAAATAATATAGCACAAAACATTAAAGTATTATTAGGAAAAGATTTTTGAAATTAGAAGAACCCTTCATAAAAAGATTAGTCTCTGCTTAACATATCAGTTTCTGATTGATGCTACAACCCCCTACCCTCCTAAAAGAGTATTTATATTTTTCATGGAAATAAGTGGGAAACATTACAGTCCTTGCTTTAAACAAAAGTTATTAAGATTATGAATTTCAACTAAAATTGTAAAAGCTGTTGGGGACAGTATTCTGGTTTTTCTCTTTTATGTGTTAATTGAATTCTGTTATTTTAAAAGTGTGATTATTTTATTTTGATTGAATAATTATTTATTTCTTGGTTATAATGAGCTGTCTCTTCTTTTAAATTCCAGCACAAATCTGTTACACAGTGCCATGATTATAGATGAGACACCTTTGACTAGAAGGTGTTTAGCCCAGTCCTTGGCCCAGCAGTTTTTTGGATGTTTCATATCCAGAATGTCTTGGTGAGTAATTTCAAAGTTTACAACTACTGAGAAGAATCAGGAAAGTTTATTTTTATTTTCTTTTCCTGCAGTGTAAGTTGAACTTTGTCCTAACTGCAGATAATTAACAGACACTATTATATATATTTAAAGAAAAGTAATCAATATAAATTTCATCCTAAATTTTTGGCCGTGTCCTCAGTATATCAATAGAGTTAATTTTGTAATATGCAATAAGAATAAGGTAAGAATTTTGATAACATCAGTTTCTTAAAGAACTAAATAAATACTGTAGATACAAGGACTTCAGTGTACAGAGAACTATAGTTAGAATTCTGATGTCAGTATTCAGTGCAGTTGGTAATACTTAAGGTAAAATAATGGTCCTCTACAATAGTGATGATGCTATAGGGATTTTCCTGTTAGTTCCTAGATTTGTACTAATTTACTTGAAAGATGTGAGAAATACAACACTTTATTTTCTTTTTTAAACTTGAGGTGAATTTGAAGAAATAGACAAAATTCCCTTAAGACTATAACTTATGATTATAATATACAGTATGTAAGTCTTGGTGTCTTTTTCTTTCTTTCTGGAGGGGAAAGGGTGGAGGGTAAGGCCTCTTGATTTGTAATTTTCCTAAGACATAGTTTCATTAAAGGATAGTATCTGGAACATGATAGACAAAATGTTTTAATGAACGAATGAATGAATGGATAAACATACGAATAAATGAATGAAAGGTGTCATTGCCTTTCCACTTAAGAAACTAAAAAATAAGTAATTAAACTTGAGGTCTTAGAATCTCACTGATAATTATGCATGGGATTGGTAATAAAAGAATGTGGACTTTTAAGAATTGAGCAGTATTGGGACTTCCCTGGTGGCACAGTGGTTAAGGATCCGCCTGCCAATGCAGGGGACCCGGGTTTGAGCCCTGTTCCGGGAAGATCCCACATGCTGCAGAGAAGCTGAGCCCGTGCGCAACAACTTCTGAGCCTGCGCTCTAGAGCCCGCAAGCCACAACTGCTGAAGCCTGCGTGCCTAGAGCCCGTGCTCTGCAGCAAGAGAAGCCACCACAATGAGAAGCCCAGGCATTGCAATGAAGAGTAGCCCTCGGTCGCTGCAACTAGAGAAAGCCCGCGCACAGCAACGAAGACCCAACGCAGCCATAAATCAATCAATCAAATCAATCAATCAAAAAAAAAAGAGAAAGAATTGAGCAGTATGGTCCTGGCTATGGGCACCTCTTTCCTTAGAGGCAGACAGTATGGGCAGACTTGGGTATAAGGGAAGCAGCACTGCCAGAGCAAAGCACAAACATAGGTACCTTGAACCAAGAGTATAAAGTGGTCTTATAATTAAGTTGATGCCAGATGTGAAGAAGGTACAATGAATGGATAGGCAGAATTCAGTCAGAGGAAGTGGGAAAACCAAATGGTTTGATAACTTTCATTTTCTTTAAGAAGGCAGAGAAGTACATGCTAATGCTTGTTCTGTTACCCTCTTTGGCCTTTGGCCAAAAAAATCTGAAGAATTTTTATTATTAAAATAATAAAATTTATTATATTTTATTTATATTAAAAATATATAAAATAATGTATTATTATTTGACTTTTTGCTTAGGTCTGATGAATGGGTATTGAAGGGAATTTCAGGCTATATTTATGGTCTCTGGATGAAAAAAACTTTTGGTGTTAATGAATATCGCCATTGGATTAAAGAGGTAAAAGCAACTAGATCCATTTTCCACTTAGAAGTCAGTAAGACATGTTAGTGTTCTCCAGATTTTCAAGTCATGTGTCCTTTATTTTTTAGTAACTATAAAATACTTACTGTCATTTGAAAGTCCTTGAGTTTTTCCAGCAAAATGAGAATCATTTTACAGAGAAAGACTAATGGTCTATTTTATCTGCTTTCCATTGTCAGTGTTGGCCTCCAAAGACTTTTTTGCTAAGGACGAGAATATTTAAGCTCCTTAAACATCAAGTTAGTTGTTAGATATATTCCAGCTCCTCATAGTAGTCATTTTTAATGTAATTTTGTGCTTTCTAAATTTGTTTAGGCTGAGAACCTAGATTCTGGAGTCAGTTTGCTTTTCATTTTGCTTCAGACATTCACAAGCTTTATTTATGATTTTGCTTAATCTTTCCAAGCGTCTTTTGTATAAGGAGAGTAAGTAGTAGTAGTATCTACTACTACTAGTAGTATCTACTGCTACTACTAGTATGGACAGGGATTGTGAGACGTTATACGTGTAATGTGCATAGTGCCTACGTCATAATAAGTACTTATTGTATGTTGGCTAGTCCTTCAGTGTATTTATGTTCTCTGTCATTTTCACATCTTTTCCCATTATTTAAAGATTTGGCCAAAAAGAGAAAGTCAGTTGTATTTTGCCTAGCCCATTCTGTTCATATACATTTTAATCATATCATGTTTGTCTTCTCACCTCTCAGGGGGAAAAATTTCAGCCTTTAATAGCCTCATTAAATAGACCCCCTCTATCCTCCTTTTCTCATTTTATATACCTTCACCATCTAAACCTAAACTTAAGTAAGCCAAAAAGTAATTGCAAAAGATTTCAAATATCAAGAACTATGAAAGATTCATACATCTAGAACTGAAGAGTCCATTTTTAATTTCAAAAACTTAAAGTGTTTCAGGCACTGTTACAAACATTTTATAAATAGTAACTATCTTAATCCTCCTAACTACTCTTATTATTTGCATTTTACAGATAAGGAAACTGAGGCACAGAGAGGTTAAGTTATTTGGCTAAAGTTACACAGCTAGTAAGTAGTAGAGCCAGGATTCAAACCCGGCTTTTAACCACTTCATTATGATTTTTCCCACTTCTCTGTACTGCTTGTATGTTACCTAAACTAGTCATGAATTTCCAGCACAGTTGTGTTGTCTTTTTCCACTTAAACTTTTATTTTTTCATTTTGATCTGTCATATTAAAGAAAACTAGAGAAGTTTTAAAATTATAGATCCTGTCATAATTTTATCCCTATTTGTTTTTACTTGCTGAAATCCTCCACCAGAAGCAAAATACAGAGAAAGAAGAAATAAACTTGGAAAACAGGTCAGAGAGGTTGGGGAGAGCCATTAGGAAAACTTGCCAGGCTACTGGCCAGCCCTAAAGTCACAAAGTAGAGAAGGTTTTTTGGCTCTATCATTCGGCCAGTTGTGTAGTCTGCTTTGTTTATAACATAAACTACCCTTCAAATACATTTCATTTATTTTCAGAAATTTACATTCTGATTCCAGGAAATTGGAAACCACAGTTGAATTCTAAAATTTGATATGTAAAATAATTTTCACTGACCCCTATTTTTATGTCTTTTTAAGGAGCTGGACAAAATAGTGGCGTATGAACTAAAAACTGGTGGAGTTTTATTACATCCCATATTTGGTGGAGGAAAAGAGAAGGATAAGTATGTTTATTGTTCAGAGATACTACAAACCTTGTTTCATGGGATTAGTCTTTTAGGATCACTTGTATGTGTATCGAGGCCCACACAGGCCAAAGAAGTGTTAATAATGGTCTGTAATAATACTGAGCCCATAGACATCGGTAGTATTCTAATTACTCCTTTCATTACTATTGCATGTGATGACTGTAAATGGATTTAAGCATTAAAAAGAGACTAAAAATAATAAAGCTTTTTTCTTTTTTCATGTTAATTTCCTAATGCTAATATATTGTACTATTCTCATAAATGTTTAAAAATAATAGAAAAGGCTAAGTAGATGATTTCAGCATCAACACATCCTACCTATACCTGTTTATCTGAATGGTCAGCTACCTAGACACTTATTTACTCTTTCCTTTTCTTTTTTTTTTTTTTTTTTTTTTTGGCGGTACACGGGCCTCTTACTGTTGTGGCCTCTCCCGTTGCGGAGCACAGGCTCCGGACGCGCAGGCTCAGCGGCCATGGCTCACCGGCCCAGCCACTCCGCGGCATGTGGGATCTTCCCAGACCGGGGCACGAACCCGTGTCCCCTGCATTGGCAGGCGGACTCAACCACTGCGCCACCAGGGAAGCCCCCCCCCCTTTCCTTTTATTTCCCTTTTTCTCACTTTCCTTCTTTTCTTTCCCTTTCTATTTTTTAGCAAGTCATTGAGACAACCACTTATAACAACATAATGGTACTAGCAGGGATTCTTATTTGTTCTAGGGTCCATTAATTCCCTAAGGGAATATGGATTGAATTGGATGGGAAAGTTTTTCTGTATTTTTTACTCACCATTAACTGAAATTTTATATTTCTTTTAATTATGACTGTAGGTAACAGACAGTGCTGTGACTTTGTCAACAGTAGAAATCGTGGATGTTTTCTTGTCACATTTTAATTGTTAGCAAGTATCTTGAAATATTCTTTGCACTCATTACCTTAAAATTAGTACAGTAGACCACTGCTAGGTCTTGTTATTTAATGCATTAATAAACTAGCACATATGTTGGTAATGTCATAGTTTTAAAAAATATTTTGATAACTGTATTTCATTATAATTGGTTTACTTTGTAAACCTGTGTATTTTATTGTGCACATTTAAAAGCAGTTTTTTCTGTGGTCCGTAGGATTAACCAGACTACCCAAGTGTCTAAAAGTACAACAAAGGTTAAGAAACTGCAAGTTGTATAATCAGTAGTCTTTTCTTTGGTGGAAGTATGGTCACTGAGACAAGATTAGGTCAGTGGCAAGGCATAGGAATTTGGAGTTAGACAGACTTGGATTTTTGTAGTTACTGATTTTTGTGAGCCTAGAAAATTGTATAACCTTTGTGAGTGTGTGCGTTTTAATGTGTAAAACAACGATTATCCATCTTAACCATGTTGGTTGCCAGGATTACTTGAGGTAAAGCTTTATACATAGTATGCACTCATTAAAATGTTAGTTCCTTTCACTTTCTTCTCTTGACTGCCTGCTATATGGCAGTTTCCCAGCATATAATTAGAGCATTCCCATTGTGTGTAAATAATTATTTACACTAAATGCTTTTACCTTTGTTCTGTCCATTTATTTAGTTCCTTTTGTATGTTTGATTTTCAAAATTTATGTATAAAAGCAACACATGAACGCATGCTCTTTGAAGAGATTCAAAACAAGACAGTTCAGAAGCATGTGGAGTAAAAAGTAAAAGATCTTTTTTAGCCCTCTTACCACTTCTCACTCCCATCACTTCCTCTCCTTGGAGATAACCTGATTATAAATTTGGTATATTCCAGACCTCTTTTTTTTTCTGGTCTTTATTTATGTGTATATGGCAGTTACAAAATACAATTTAGTCATGCGTGTTACTGTGTACTTCTCTTTTTTTTAAAAATTAACCGTATCTGTATTTTGGCAAGCATTCTGTGTGACTGTATGTGAATTTACTTTGTTCTATTTATATGCTATATAGTATTCCATTATACCTTGGAATTTATTTAACCTTTTTCATATTGCTGTCCATAAGCCCGGAAGTAATAGTGGAGTATAAAAGTAATTTTTCGGGCTTCCCTGGTGGTGCAGTGGTTGAGAGTCCGCCTGCCGATGCAGGGGACACAGGTTCGTGCCCCAGTCCGGGAAGATCCCACATGCCGCGGAGCGGCTGGGCCCTTGAGCCATGGCCGCTGAGCCTGCACGTCCGGAGCCTGTGCTCCACAACGGGAGAGGCCACAACAGTGAGAGGCCCGTGTACTGCAAAAAAAAAAAAAAAAAAGTAATTTTTCAAATATCAAATTACAAAATTTTATATTTCAGTATGCCATGCTTTTTTAAGGAAGTGTAATGACTATTCTTACACGTTGATTGTGAGAGTATAATTTGGTACACTGATTTTGAAGAGTAATTTGTTAGTACCAATCAGAATTTTAAAATGGGTAATTTTTAGATTCAGCAATTCAACTTCTGAGTATGTTATCATATAGAAATTATTCTCCTAGATATTTGCCATACAGAAATACTGCACATGTATGAAAAGATAATCACTGTAGCATTATTTGAAATAATAAAGTATAAACACCTTAAATGTTCATGTATGTTGTAAATATTTTCTACAGACTGTACCTATCTTTTAATTTACTGATGATCTCATGTCAGAATTTTTAATTTTTACATAGTCTGGTCTATATGTCCTCTGGATTTTATATTTTTCCTTGTGAAGATTTTTCCCACCCCAAAATTATGAAAGAAATTTTTTTCCTTTATTTTCTTCTAGTACTTTTATAGTTGTTTTTGTTTAAGATATGTAATCCATCTTGAATGTTTTTTGTATATGCTTTAACCTGGGGCTGTTGATTGGAATTGCATTGATTGTATGGATGAATTTGGAAAGCATTGAAATATTTACACTATTGTGTCTTCCTACCAGGAGGCTGGCATGTGTTTCTGTTCATTCAGATTTTCCTTTATGTCTAGTTAAGTTATTTTTAGATGTTTCCTAGTCTTCGTTGCTCTCATATTAAGGAAACTGCTAAGGTATTCCCATGAGGTTTTTGATTTATTGTCTTGATGTAGCTATGAACTTTATTGTTTATTTAATTCAAATTTGTTATATTAAACAAATCTGTTTATTTTTTTAGTCCAGCATCCCATCTACACTTTTCCATAAAGCATCCACATACGCTTTCCTGGGAATACTACACTATGTTTCAGTGTAAAGCTCACCTTGTGATGAGATTGATTGAAAACAGAATCAGTATGGAATTTATGTTACAAGTAAGTATTAAAGAACTTAACAATTGTAAAGAAAGATCTGTTCTATATGTATATAATCTGAATACTATTCTGTAGAATAGGAGTCAGGGCATCCAATTAGCCGTTTGCCCAGTAAGTAACCTGTTCTTTTTGTTTGTGTTTCCTCAGATGTAGAGTGGGTATGAATACTTGACCCACTTAATGCAGGATTTTTATGAAGATAAAACTAAAATGTGAGGTTAAAAGTAAAACCTGTTTATGCTATGATTTTGTGTTTGGCATTATTTAGAATATTAAGGATGAAGTGCCATTTACAAATATTTTCAATAGAAAAAAGCACATTTATCTAAAAGATGGTTATTTTTGCTATCACTAAATTCTGCCATATGTCTTAAGCAAGTTTTGGCGGAAATAGTTGATATGTACTAGTTGAGGTAATAGAAAGCCAGTTGTATTATAAATGTTCAGCTATTCTTTTTCCATTGATAATATTCTTAGAGGTAAGTGGAAAATAACTTTTTAGTAATCTTTTTTTAAAAAGCATTTTAAATTTGCCTTAAAGTTAAGTTTCTTGAATCCTTCTGTCCTTTATCTTGCCTTTAAAGAACAGAAATATTAAATGAGATGTGGTCTGTAAAGAGCCGGTTCACTTCTTAGAGTGGTATAAATGCAAATGAGTGTTCTCAACTTCTTAAAGAACGTATAGTTCCTATGTAAAGCTCGTAGCACAATATGTTATAGGTGTTGTATAGTATTATAGCTCTTAAAAACACAGTATTCATTGTCTGGCCAGGATGTCATTAAAATTCAATTATATTTAGAGGAAGAATGATTTTATAGTCTGGCTGTTTAAATCTTTTCATGCTTCCACTGCTAATAGTCTTTAATTAAAACAATCAATGAAGTAAATGTGAAATTGTCTTCTGTAATTGTCTGTAATAAAGTTATAATGCAAAGTGGGAATAGTACAGAATTGGAAGCAATGTATATTATCTTATACAAACTAAATGATACTTTGATTCTTCCAGGTTTTCAATAAACTGCTAAGTTTGGCTAGTACTGCTTCATCTCAGAAGTTCCAGTCACATATGTGGAGTCAGATGTTGGTTTCCACATCTGGATTTTTGAAATCCATCTCGAATGTCTCTGGCAAAGACATCCAGCCTTTAATAAAGCAGTGGGTGTATCCTTTTCAACAGCAGTTCAGCAAAGGAGGGAAGGTTATGTGTATAAGGGGAAGGAGGAAGAAAAGGCTTTGCGGGATGAAAGGAGGTAAGTAATAGTAGAAATAACCAGGAACTGTAAATCATTTCCTCTAAGGTGCCTACTAAGTATTGAGACACACATACATACACATCTGTATTTGTAAAATTTGGCATAATTTTAAAGTACCTTTTAGTGTGTGAGTATAGCAATAGGTTTGATGGTGAGGGAGGTAAATAATCCACCAGACAGGCCTGTAGGATTACTTGTAAGATGCAGTGGTCTGGTGACTTCTAGATGTGGTTAGAGGTTGGCACAATTTGAGTGGTATCTTGGAACTTTTCAATTGTTACATTTTTTTCATTTCAAGGCACTATATTAATAACTCAGTAGAGTGGTTTTGCTTCTTTCAAAAAAACTAATTTCTTAATGTTTCAGAATTTCTTTTTAAATCTGGGGAAACATTTTTCACAAGAATTTTGAATACTTTGCCACCTGGTTTAGAATGGAGTACGCTCTTAAGCTTTGAACCGGGGGGGAATGCATTTGAAAATTATTACTACCCTAATGAATAATTTATTTTGTTTAGTACGTATTTATTTTAGTATGCAAAAATTCCTTTACAATTCTTCAGAGACCAGAGCGGAGTGGTAAAATTTTATGGAAGTTTTGCCTTTAATAGAAAACGAAATGTCTTGGAATTGGAAATAAAACAAGATTATACATCTCCTGGAACTCAGAAATATGTGGTAAGGTTTTTTTCCAAAATGGCCTCCTGCACTGCTTTCTCGCCAGTTTAAATAAAGGAAGGGTTTATGGTTGGGGAGCTGGTTGGAAGTTTCATAGTGAGATTTTGTTTGCAAAGAATGAAATTGAGAAAACACCGTCAGGGAAGGGAGAAGAGGGTTGCTGATACAGATCTTGGAGGAAACAAATTCTCCCAATTATCCCCAGCTCTGGTACCAGCTGCCTTTCTGTGTCTCCACATGGAGGTCTTGTATAGTGTTATATTATATCTTGATATATATACCTGTACACATAAGAACACACATTGGTTTTTTTTCTAGTACTATCTTTGAACAGTATGTTTCTTTTTAAAGGGACCACTTAAAGTGACAGTACAGGAGTTAGATGGATCCTTCAATCATACATTGCAAATTGAAGAAAACAGTCTTAAACATGATATACCCTGCCATTCCAAAAGCAGAAGGTAGGCATTGGATCATAACTATAAACTTCAGTCTCACAGATTAAAATGCCAAAATAAAAACCCTAATGTATACCTAATTTTTAAGTAGAGAACATGTTATCTAGTATTTTCCCCCTCTTTTACTTCAAGTTAGTATTACCAAACGTTCTTTTTTTTTTTTTTTTTAATTTATTAATTTTTGGCTGCGTTGGGTCTTCGTTGCTGTGCGTGGGCTTCTCATTGCAGTGGCTTCTCTTGTTGCGGAGCGTGGACTCTAGGTGTGCAGGCTTCATTAGTTGTAGCACACGGGCTCAGAAGTTGTGGCTTGTGGGCTCTAGAGCACAGGCTCAATAGTTGTGGTGCACGGGCTTAGTTGCTCTGCGGCATGTGGGATCTTCCCGGACCAGGGCTTAAACCCGTGTCCCCTGCATTGGCAGGCAGATTCTTAACCGCTGTGCCACCAGGGAAGTCCCCAAACATTCTTTATTTGCTTTCTGTTCTTGACAACATTTGTATCCTTAGAATTAAATAATTAATTTTAAAATTTAGGTTTGGGAATCCTTATTTTGTAGGGACAGGGGGAAGTGGAATGGAAGTTCGAGTTTTTGGAGCCAGGAAAACTTCAAGACAAATCTCTTAGGTTCATTCTTATTAGTCTCATTTGATTAATGTCTATAGAAAATATTGGGGAAATGGTCATTGACTATAAGGAGAGTAGCTGAATACATATGTCACGAAAAGCCCCTGCATCTTCTTTACTACGTCTCCTTTACTCTCCCTTTTCTCTGTATCACCATGCCCTGAAAGAACATTCTTGATGTCTTTCAAAGGCACGTTACCAGTTTACTTAAAAAATGTCCAATGGTTCATCTTTTGTTTAATATATTTTTTCTTTACCACTTTTTTTGTTTTTTAATTCAGCTATTAGCATATGCTCTGAATAGTGAAAGGAATGTGTAGTAATATCAAAATTTCAGGGACAGAAGTCTTATACTTATGACTATACTTAGGTTATCTCACACAGACAAGAATGTCAGTTGATTTTGAAGGCGTTTAGAGAACTTGATTCTGAAATCTCTGTAATCATTCTCTGTGAAAATTCTTTCTTAGTTCAAAGTGAAATTCTTCTTCTTTTTGTCCTGTGCACCTTTGAAATTGAGAACATCTGATTGCTACCCTTTTCATAATATTTCCTTTGTTTTGTTTTCTCTGTAGTAATAGCACATCATTTATGTATCCTTTGGTGTGAGAAACATAAAAAGACTGTGCTCTCTTTTCCTATTTTGTCCTCATGTGACCATGCATTTAGTGTAGTGTCCAGTAGATTTTATGATTCAGGAGTAATTTGCATGGAAGCAGTTGCTTTTGTTTTGGCTTATCTTAAATCTTGTGCATATTAATTAATTATACATATTAATTAGTACTGTTAAGATGTTTTGTGGTTTACCACTTGCTTTATTTCATATAGGACAGCACCTTGCATGTACATAACATGTTCAGAATTATTCATTTCTCATTTCAGGCCTGGTTATTTTTTCGTTTTTTTATAAAGGATTTCCTTATTTGGTAGATCTCTTATCTTTCTGTATAAAACTTCCAGGTACCAGTTTTTGGGAATATATATGTGTTTTAAGTTAACATTTAGTTGTATATTTCTGATTTTTGTTAAGCTTTGATCAGGAAGACATTTTAATATCATTTACTTCATTCCCTTCAGTTTCAAAATAGACAGGTTTTGTGGTGTTTAAATTCCATTACATTTTCTATCTCTTCCTCCTTAGGATATCTTTCAACACTATGTGAAATTCTTAATTTGAACTTCAGCTGCTCTTTATCTGTTTTCAGAATTGGAAATGTCACAATTTTCAGACTTACTTTTCCTTAAATGTAGGAATAAGAAGAAAAAAATTCCACTGATGAATGGAGAAGAAGTTGACATGGATCTTTCTGCAATGGAGTAAGTTAGTTACTTAAGTTTAAGGATATAACATTTTCTGCATTCTCATTTGTCTTGTAATATATTTACATCTAAAAGTATGTAAATGTCCTGAAATTAGTACATTTAATACTTTTAGAAGGCAATAAAAACCTTATGTTGAAAACAAATTTTAACATAAAATTATAATTAATCAAAGAGAGAAAAGTGAATCTAGCCTGGCCCAGGTGAAATTCAGAGGAAGTAGCCTTGAATTAGTTTTCTTGCTTCCCTCGTGGCCTCTAGAGCATTGCTTCTCAAACTGAAGTGCGTGTAAGTCACTTGGGGAATCTTCTTAAAATTCAGCTTCTGACCCAGCTCTTCACTAGTGGGTCGTGATAGTTTGCATTTCCAGTGAGTTCTCAGATGTTATTGGTTTTCTTTGTCTTTGGACAAAGCCCCAGGGCACTTTGAGACTTGCTATGTTTGCAAAAAACAATTTAAATATCATTGTAAAAATTTTGTGGTAATATTTATTGATTGACAGGCATTTTATTTTTAAATATAATGTAGCTCAGAGTTTATTTCGCCCATCCATATTGTGCCTGTGTAGTTTTTATAAAACATCTGTAATTATTTACTAACTTGGTTACCAAATATCACTTCTATTTATTACACAGTTTATATAATCTTTCCATATTAAGTCCTTGCCTGTAGTAAGTACCCAGTAGTATTTGTTGAATTGAGTTTATATTTCAGGTGGTGTTCTTTGATAAGAGTGTTAGACTAGATTTTTAGGCTGGTTGCTTTTCTCTTTTTTGGCCACGCCCCAGGCGGCATGAGAAATCTTAGTTCCCCAACCAGGGATCAAACCCGAGCCCTGTGCAGTGGAAGTGTGGAGTCTTAACCACTGGACCACCAGGGAAGTCTCTAGACTAGATTTTTAAAACTGTTCTTGTTACTTTGAGAGGTACATGAGGATAAATTTATGCTATACCTCTGAACTATGATTTCAGAACTTTGTTTGATAAAAATGATCATGAGTCTAGCATTTTTTAAAAAATAAGTCAGCTAAACAAATTAATTTAATAAATTAATAAGAAATAAGTTTATCTGGGACTACCCTGGTGGTCCAGTGGCTAAGACTCTGCACTTCCAATGCTGGAGGCCTGGGTTCGATCCCTGGTCAGAGAACTAGATCCCACATGCCACAACTAAGAGTTCGCATGCTGCAACTAAGAGTTTGCATGCTGCAAGTAAAGATCCCGCATGCCGCAACGAAGATCCCGTGTGCCACAGCTAAGACTGGATGCAGCCAAATAAATAAATTAGTTAATTAAGAAAAAAAAGAAATGTTTATTTTAGTTACAGATTGATGTCTCATAAAGAGTGATTTATAGCCATTGGCAAGTATTAGACTTCAGGAAGTAAAATGAAGAAATTTGGTCCAATTTCCCCTTTTCACATCATACAATCACTAATCAAAATCCCCAAATTAATATTTTCGGATGGATTTTTTTGTTTCAACAAGATCAATATAGGGCTACCCTGGTAGCGCAGTGGTTAAGAATCCGCCTGCCAATGCAGGGACACGGGTTCGAGCCCTGGTCTAGGAAGATCCCACATGCCGTGGAGCAACTAAGCCCGTGCGCCACAACTACTGAGCCTGAGCTCTAGAGCCCGCGAGCCACAACTACTGAAGCCCGCACCTAGAGCCCGCGCTCTGCAACAAGAGAAGCCACTGTGATAAGAGAAGCCTGCACACCGTAACGAAGAGTAGCCCCCGCTTGCTGCAACTAGAGAAAGCCCACGTGCAGCACCGAAGACCCAACACAGCCAAAAAAAAACACAAATATATAAATAAATTTATAAAAAAAAGGATCCATATAGATAGACATTGTGAGAAACTTGAAATTCATATTAAACATAATGAGAAAATTGTCAACGTGATCTTTAAAAACATGAACGCAGTAAAACTGCATGGAGAAGGGAATCTGGTTAATAAATGCTGTTTTTTATCAATATATGAAATTGAAAAAATAAATAAAAAAGAAAATTATATTTTCTTTCAGTGCTGATTCTCCTTTGCTGTGGATAAGGATAGACCCAGACATGTCGGTATTGAGGAAAGTAGAATTTGAGCAAGCAGATTTTATGTGGCAGTATCAGCTCCGCTATGAGAGGGATGTTGTGGCACAGCAAGAGTCCATTTTGGCCTTGGAAAAGTTCCCCACTCCAGCATCTCGGCTTGCCCTAACTGACATATTAGAACAGGAGCAGTGTTTCTACCGCGTGAGAATGTCAGCTTGCTTCTGCCTTGCAAAGGTGAGATTATGTACAGTAGAAAGAAAACAAGATGGCTGATGCATATTTTAAAAAAACAAAATTATCTCTAAAGGTGAATTAAAATTCACCGTAGTCTTTAATTTTACTTGGTGGTTGGTCTCTTGAAAGCTTTTGCCAAATGCTTTTAACAAGGCTGATTTGAAGAAACACGTTTTGACCTGAAAATAAATAATGCACTAAAATTTTATAGTTGTTAAACTGAAACTGAGAGTTTAAAACCAAAGAGAATTTTCCCATTTTACTGGATTGCCGACCAAAGAATTGTTAAAGCAAAGAATGTAAGAAATTCCTTGGTTTGAGTGATATTTTATATTGTAGTACATGAAATCAGTTCATCTTAATTATCCCACTGTGGTGGTGATTTCTTGTTGGTTTGAGCTTAGTAATCAATATTAGGGATATGGAATTTAAAATGATTGGTTCTATTATTTAATGTAATAGAAAAGTTAATTTATTAAGAAAACTACATATTTTTCTTTAGATACAAAAAAAACCCCTGAAGGTAGAACAAATGAAAGCCAGAAAATGCAGACAAATATTTGGCCAGAAATACTGGGTTCCAGGTATTTAAAAAGCATATTGGTACTAGGTTCATTCCCATATAGTAACTCTCTTGCCTTACTCCCTGCTAAATCCACTTGTCCAGCATTTCAACAGATCATAATGGTTTAGATTTGTTTTATCTCTAATGGTAACTAGTGAGCACTTTGATTCCTACATCTACTCAGATATATGAGGGAAAATGTGATTTTCTTTGATAATCATCTGCTAAGGATGTAATTTCATTGCTCCTATAAAGTTCTTCGTGATTCTCACATGCAAAATTCTTAGCAGATCTGTAAAATTATAGACTTATTTGAAGTTAATTATAATTTCATTCTTTTCAGACATGATTTTTATATACACTAAAAGTATCAATAGCAAGATGTGGATTTTTTTGTAAATTATTCTTACAGACTTAGGTGGTAGCACTGTACTTGCTTATTTTTAAATTAGGGTAGATTTAAAAGCCTTATTTAAAATCCATGGTGATGTTTCTATCTGATAAATTTAAAACTTTAGAACTGCATCTGCCTAAATGGACAAAACTTACTCAGAATAAAGTCTTTGCAAACAAGTTTTCTTAAAACATAAGAAGAGTGCTCCAGTTTAGAAACTAACTTGTTGAAAACAGTTACAAGTGTACATAAGAATTTTAGGGGAGGTAGAGTTTATATATATTTATAAATATATAAATGTATTTATATATATTTTCTTGGAAATGATCATGAGAAGCTAAAATGTATTAAATTTCTAAGAACTGAAATTGTTAAAAATGAATCCGATTGTATTGATAACTTTTAGAAAGCTATTTTATTTATTTAAAAATATGTTTTCCATGGTGGTCAAATTACTTCATTTTCTAATTACTTGCAGATTGCAAATTCAATGGTGAGCACATGGACAGGACCACCAGCCATGAAGTCACTCTTCACTAGGATGTTTTGTTGTAAAACTTGTCCAAACATTGTGAAAACAAACAACTTTATGAGCTTTCAAAGTTACTTTCTACAGAAGGTACAGTCTCCCTTCTAGTTTTCTTATGATTGTTTTTTGCCAATATCTGTATATCTCATTTTAACCTGGGGACTCTTCAAATATTATTTACTTTCTTATAAATGATTTTGTCTGTGTTCTCTTTTTGCTCCTAAAATGTTTTCCAAAGTTTCAGTTGTTCATTGATTTTATGAACTGTGTGCGAGTAAGTCACTGTCCATATTAATACTAAAGTAAGTAGAAATGGATAATTTGACTTTTTGGTTGGTTACATGGGGGATGGAGGTATGGGTGGGTCCTTCTGATGGCCATCCTTGTAGGATGTGGACAGCATTTCTGAGTCAGAGACAATACAGCACACAGCTCTAGTTTCAGTCCCAGCTCTGCTGCTCACTAGCAGTTTGCAAGAGGACAAGTTTCTTAACTCTCTAAGCCTCAGTTTACTCAACTGTAAATTTATCTTTTTTTAAAATTAAATAATATCAAGCATGTGAAGTGTTTCGTACTATATTCTTATCAAATAGCAAGTTTTTTACAAATGGTAATTTAGAAAGTGGTGGTGTGATAGAGCCACTGTTTTAGGAAGTGATGTGGGAATGGCAGGGTGGTCAGCATTTGGGCAATTTGGAAATCATTTGTAAAATATTTTGAGTAAGTTAGTAATGAAGGCCCAGATTAGATTAACTAGATTAACTAGAAGGAGGAGTAAAGTTGAAGTAGAAAAAAACTAATGAAGCCTATTCTTTCATGATTTGGTGTTGAAGAGTGTGAGAAAGGTGACAGGTTGAGGATAAAGCAAGGCTGAGAAAGGACATTTCAGGTTTTGTTTTGTATAGAGGGAGAAAAAGCTTGAGGCATGTTTGGCACAGAGAAAGGAACCAGTGGAGAAGCAGAGATGAAATATTCATCTCTTGGGAGCAAGTAAATATAAAAAACATAAGATAGAGCAAATTCTGAAGTTATTAGTAGTGGGTGGGGACATAGTTGTGAGGTTAATTTTAGAAAAGATAAGAACATTCCTTTTTCTGAGGCAGGTAGAAAGCAGATTAAAAGTAAATGAAATGATAGATGTTGAGGGGAATGTTAAGCAAGGTGAGATTTGTATGTGATGGAGAGAAATGTGAAAAGAATTACCCAGCCACATGCTGAGAGTGGAAGTCATGACATATTGATAGTGAATTTCATCAGCAGAACAGATTCAGGAGATCGAGTTTGGGAAAAGCCAATATTGGTGTGATCAAAGAAGTCTGAGGCATCCTGTTATTTTAAAGAACCGAGCATTTCATAGTACTTGAACATGTTGCTCAGCTCTCTATTGCCATTTCACTAATGTATGGTCTGAAAGCAAGTTAATTTTTTTGACTACCGAATGTGTCCCCTTCATTATGCCATTGTACTTCCATATACCTGAGATCAATATTCAGATTGGGAGTTGTGATCCATTAATGAGGGGGGTCATGAAATCAATTTGGAAGTTTTTTTTTTTAAATAAAAGAAAACAATAGGCAGTATCAGAATGCGACACATGAAATAAGGGTAGGTGTAAGGTTTTTTTTGTTTTATTTTTTACTTTGTATACATGACGTGTGTGTGTGTGTGTGAGGTTGGGATGTAAATGTATTTCTTACTGTGGGTTACAGTCAAAAAAATTGGAAAAGCAGTGCTTTTAGACTAGTTCACCTTTCACATAATACTTCTAGTGGCAGAAAAGAGAGAGAGAGGATTAGTGCTTAAATCAAATTTAAGTCCTATTTCTATGGGAAAAAAACTTTCCCTCAGTTCTTACAGCATTAATAGTAACTATTGTAGCACTGACCGTCCCCTTGCTTCTGGTCCTTCAAGCAAGCAAAGGAGTCCTGCTACTTTCTGTCCCCCAGCTTAGAGGGAATAGTTATTTTGAATCAGAAGACGGGGTAGTCCAAATCTCTCTGTGTACTGGGGACTGTGATGTCTATTTGTCTGTAGTTCTGCCTCGAGTTTGAATAGCTTGGTTTTACTGGTAGAGGTTACCACTGTGAGTCAGGCTTCTACTTCCTTAGAAAAGTTGCCTATGAAAATTTGGAGAGGAGAAAGTTAAGCTGGATTTTAGATAATTTACCATTTTTCCTTAGGCTGAGAATGGGGCAGTGGTACTGGAGAATCAATATCTTCTCAGACTGGTGATTGAACTCTACTGTCTGCCTGCCACATGCCTCCAGCCACTGTATCCATTAATCCTGAAAATGGTTGTGAGGAAACTAGACTCCTGCCCAGTAAGCAACTAGCTATAATAATCCATCTTAATAGGCAGTGGTGTAGAAGTTGAACAATGGTCTTATCTAATGTTAAAGCCCATACCTTGTCCCTTGTAAAACACGGAACTGAATTTGCATTACACATACCTCTTCTGACAAATGGGCTACAGAGTGTATCCAGTTATGCAGCTTTCCCCTTGGTTTCCTACTCAGTTCCTTTGTTAGCATGTTTGAGACATGTTCCCAGTGGGAGGGGTAGGAATCGGTGGGGGTTGGAGTCCATCCAGATACCTGTGTCAGCCCCAGAGTAACCCTGTTTCAGCATATACTTCATTGAATTGTAGTAATGAAAATTAAACAAAATTTTTTTTTTGTAGACTATGCCAGTTGCGATGGCTTTATTGAGAGATGTTCATAACCTTTGTCCCAAAGAAGTCTTAACATTTATTTTAGACTTAATCAAGTACAATGACAACAGAAAAAATAAGGTAAGATACCTTAGTATTATAAAAGTAGCCAGTGATATTTTGTTTTTAAAGAAATATTTAGACTGTGAAATCATTGTTGTGTCCATTGTACTTGAAATTTATAGAGAAAGAAATATACAAACATGATTTATTATAATCAGTACATGAAAACCAAGATTACTTGGTTTTTAAATGTTCCGTATGCTGTTATAACATGGAGATAGAAGTACATCAAATTTTGGGAACTCAGCTAACTTTTGTTTTGGTGACGTCTGACAGCTCAATTTTATTTTTATTCCTTTTTTCTTTTATCAAGTGATACCCAGAAAACAGTTCCTCTTGGGATAACTTGTTCATTGATGAATTTGACTTTTTTCTTTTTTACCATTATGTGTGTTTTATTCATTTATTTAGTAAATTGCTATTGAATGCCATGCTTCAAAAGTTATTTCACCTTACTTGTTATCATTCTAACCATCAGCAAGTGTTTTTGAGAATATATGCTATGCTAGGCGGTATACCACGTTACATAGAAAGAATGCATGGTAGTTGCCGTCTGGAATTTCATTTAAATTAAACGTCTATTGAAGAACTGCTGCATATCACAGTCTGATTCTGGGGCCTCAAGGATTCAGCCTAATGGGGAAATCAGATAGGTAAACAGGTTATTCATAACTGCTAAAGTGGAGGTATGTATACACAAATTTCTAGGGAGATTCGGAGGAAGTAGTGCCTTCTTCCAAGGGTATAGAGAGACACTCAGGGAAGTTTTGTACATAAGATGTGACCCTCGAACTGAGTCATAAACAATAGGATTTTCCCAGTCTGATTAGGGCCAGTCTAGGAAGGTTACTCGGAGCAGAAGGAACAGCACATATAATGACACATGTAACTTGTAGGATAAGTTGAATTCATGAGAAGTTTAATAAAACATTACAACAGTAAAAAAAAAAGTCACAAGTGGACCTCCCTGGTGGCGCAGTGGTTAAGAATCTCCCTGCCAGTGCAGGGGACATGGGTTCAAGCCCTTGTCCAGGAAGATCCCACACGCCGCGGAGCAACTAAGCCTGTGCACCACAACTACTGAGCCTGCGCTCTAGAGCCCGCGAGCTACAGCTACTGAGCCTGCGTGCCTAGAGCCCATGCTCCATGACAAGAGAAGCCAGTGCAGTGAGAAGCCCACTCACCATGACGAAGATTAGCCCCCACTTGCCGCAACTAGAGAAAGCCCATGCGCAGCAACGAAGAGCCAACGCAGCCAAAAATAAATAAATAAATTAAATTTTAAAAAGTCACAAGTGTTTTATTTACAAATGGTGATTTATAGTGAAAAATCAAGAAGGCAAAATTTTCCTCTTTAAGTCAGTAGAGTAACATTCAAATGATTTGAGAGTCCTTAAAAAAATTAGTTCTTTAAAGAATGCATTATAGCTGATACACTTTCTTTCCATTTTTGAATATTGTTAAAAAAGATTTTGTAAGATTCTTTCCTTCCTAATCTGCTGGCTTGTTTTGACTTTCACTTATAGTATTGCTTTCTTCACCGACACGTGAATTTCTTTTTTTGAAGATATAATTGTCTTCAATTAAGACTAGCATACATCTTAATCCCTGAAGATATTAAGGACAGAATAAATGCAAATAATAACAACAGTAATAATAGCTAGTTTTTTGTATGTTCCATGACCTGTACCAAAACTTGATTAATATGATCTTCATCAGACCTCTGAGATAGACACTATAATTATCTCAGTTTCTATTTGAGGAGATAGAAGCTAATAAAAGCTAACAGATTTACTCAAGGTCATATATGCGGTAGGGCCAGGAGCAAAACCTAGATTTGTCTGATGTCAAAACTTAAAAATTATTGTTGAGAGAAAAAGATTTTGTTGTTATTTAAAGATTTGCAGATTAATGGATTAAAACTGGAAGAAAAGATGTGATTGGATGGTGCCTAAGAATAGTTCATTGATTTTCTTATGTTTGTTTTTAAAGTACTTCACTTCCAACCACTAATCATTTGTCTCTGAGGGCTTTGGTTAAGCATATTTTTTAAAAAAGGTTCACTATATAAAGTGCATGAGAAGAAATGAAAGATTTTTCTGGGATTAAGATTAAATTAGAAATACAGAACATTAAATGCCAAAAAGAAGTTGGGATTTGGGGGTGGGGAGATATTTTTTAAAATTTTAACATCTCATGAATTGGGCAGGAGCGTTAAATTCAATATTCTAGATAACTTAGTTTTCAAGAAGACTAAAATTAAATCCCTTTCAAGCCTGGTTATTAGTCATTTTATATGAAAATCTTTTATATATACACATGAATTTCTAACATATTTCTAATAAATCATATATACATTTATGAAATTTGTCTTCTTAAATAAGTATGCAGAACATGGGTTGAACTATTCCTGATACCAAACGATCATTGTTAAAAACTTCAGTCAGCCTTTGCTGCAGTACGTTGACGTTGATGCCTTCAGTTGTTTTTTTTTTGTGGGAAGTTTTGCTGTATGTACTAAATGCCCCCACACCCCCCCAGTTGTGTTTCACAAATTATTTATTCTTCACTTGACTTCGGGGTGATCAGATAATCTAGCCTGTTCGATTAGGAGTATAGTGTCTGTGAGAATTGGATATGGTCTGAGGGGTAAATGTTAAATATTTTGGTTTTTGTACTTCATCCACATCCCTGTCTCATTTTTAATTTCTGAATTTATTCTGTGCTCTGAATACTTAGTTCAGAAACAATGGTTAAGTAAATGGTCTTTTGCTTTGTTAGCAAAGTAGTTATCAGAGGTAACAATGAAACTATAAAAATACTTGGAGAAAACCTATGAACATTATTTAAATGATCTCTGAATGCAAATGGCCTTTCTGAGTGTGAAACAAAACTTAGAAACCGTAGAGAAAAGGTTGACTGAAGTTATAGAGATTAATTTTTTTAATCATTAGAACAGTTTGAAAACAAAACTCGTCCATGGTGAATACTTGTGGAGTATTTTTTCTTTGGTTTTGTTTGTTTTTATGTGCCTTGTTTTTTTTCCTACCTGGTATTCGAACATAGGAATGTTTAGGGACTGTGCCATTATGTGTGTCAGTTGGAGGTTCTGGCTCCATGGTGGAAGTCAGAAGGGGCCAGATCTTCTTCCTTTGTCTCCTAGCAGTTTGTTTTGCCACAGCATAATCCCAACACTGCTGATAGAAGTAATTAATTTGTTTGCTCCATGTTCAGATTTCTAGGCTAGAGCATCTGAGTTGCTGAGTTTAAATCAAACCACACCCAGATTGCTTTCAATAAATTGCTTCTCTGGGAATTGACTGGGATATGGATTTAGGAATTTTTATTTGTTTTTTTGGATGGTTTCCTCCCTTTTCTCTGCTTCTCTTGCTAGAACTCCTATTATTTGTATGTCATGTGTTCTACACCAGCCTTCCAACTTCCTTGTGCTTTCTTTCCTATTTTTTATCTTTTTTTTTTTTTTGCTCAAAATTTTTGGAGTTTTTTTCAATTTTATATTCCAATTTAATTTTTATTCTTATTCTCTGCATATTTCTTTTTTAAAAAAATGTATTATCCTGTTGGAAGGGATATCATTGGTTACTTCTCAGACAATATTAATGGTCACTTTTGAATTTTTTTCCCTCTACTGGTTTTCTTTTCCTCGTATACTCTTATTTCCTCCAAGTCACTTTTCCCACTTTGTTCTGGTCTCTCTTTATGTTAATGCTTTCTTCAACTATCTGGTGACCCTTGGTTGGATGTTTTAGGTGAGAATAGAGCACTGAAATAGCTGATTTGAAGCTCTGTATTAACAGCAGGATTTGTGGACTGTGGTCTTCCTTTTAGAGGAATCTGGCTAGATTACTATGAGAGTGTCTTACATGTAGTAAACATTTGTCAAGTAAAGTAATGTATTTCTAATTAGTAGACCTCTTTCACTCTTTTTTCCACTGTGTGACTCTATACAAAGGATGGAATTGAATACTAACCTGAAAACTTGCTTATGTTTTCAGATGAATTATGTTTTTAAGTTATCATATTTTATTTTATTAACTTTTGAATAGACATGTAAATTCTGTTGTCTTCTCGTAATTATTTTTTGGCTTAGTTTTCAGATAACTATTATCGTGCAGAAATGATTGATGCCCTTGCCAACTCTGTTACGCCTGCAGTCAGTGTGAATAATGAAGTTCGAACTTTGGATAATTTAAATCCGGATGTGCGACTCATTCTTGAAGAAATCACTAGGTTTTTGAATATGGAAAAACTTCTTCCGAGTTATAGACACACCATCACTGTCAGGTATGATGATTCTTCGTATTTGTTTCTTAAAGTTATTTGCTTTCATAATTATAAGAGAAATTTATTTGCATAGAGAATTGGGAAATATAGTAAAGTAAAAGAAAATCTTATATGATTCTACCACCCATGGATAAATTATTGCTATTTTGGAGAATGGCCTTCTAAATTTTTTCCTCTGGTAACTATATAAATTTTAAATTATTTGCCATATTGTATATATAGTTTTTATATTCTGCTTATATCATAAACACTTTCTCATGTCATCAGAAATTCTTCATAAGCATTGTATTTGATGTCTGCATAATCTTTTATCCCATTGGATATAATTTAAACTCTATTATAGTTTATTGTTTATTATTGTATAATTATAATAGTTATATAATAATTATAATATTATTATATTATATTATTAGTTTATTGTTAGGCTTCTTTTACGGCTTCTGTCAACTTTGTATGTATGACTGTCGACAAGTTCTGTCTATTTCATGAGGAGTTCGCTAAAAAAAAGTTGATTTACCCATTCAACATTATGAACAGTTTCAACTTTCCATATATACTAGTGAATAAACTATATATGTATTACTAAAACTTTTGGAGAGAATACTTCATTTAAGTTATGTATTATGCTAAATACATTTTTCTGAAGTGTGTTCCAGTTAAAATACCTGAAACTGAATTTCCAAAGTTTTGAAATTAGTTTTCTTTTAATAGGGTTTTTTATTGTCATTGCAAAAATTAAATGTTAAAAAACTAAAAAGTGGATTCAGATTACGTTCATTTTTCAGCTTACTGTTACGGATTAATTTCTAATGCCTTGGAAACAAGTTTAAAAGAGTATTTAACTATAAATACATTTTCCTAGTTGTTTGAGAGCCATACGAGTGCTTCAGAAGAATGGCCATGTGCCAAGTGATCCAGCTCTTTTTAAATCTTACGCAGAATATGGCCACTTTGTGGACATCAGGATAGCAGCTTTGGAAGCAGTTGTTGACTATACTAAAGGTAATGTTTTAGAAATATATGCCCATAATCATTTTATCAATAGAAAGAATTGTTTACCATTTACTATTTAGTTATTAGGGTTTTCATATTATGTACAATACAGATATTTTGATTTTAAATTCTTGACTCACTGATTGAGAGTTTTTGGTAAATGTAGAATTCATATAAAAATTAGTAAATGAGGGAAAAGAAAAGAGTTATAGATAGATATCTTTGGTCTTTCTGAAAAGTTAGTGTATCATTTTATAGCTTTAATTACATGTTATTTTAAGAAATAGAAGGTTTGGGAGAAATTTCTAATTACATAAGGTTTCAAGAAAACATTTTGGGGCTTCCCTGGTGGCGCAGTGGTTGGGAGTCCGCCTGCCGATGCAGGGGACGCAGGTTCGTGCCCCGGTCTGGGAGGATCCCACATGCTGTGGAGTGGCTGGGCCTGTGAGCCATGGCCGCTGGGCCTGCGCGTCCGGAGCCTGTGCTCTGCAATGAGGGAGGCCATGGCAGTGAGAGACCCTCGTACCGCAAAAAAAAAAAAAAAAAAAAAGAAAACATTTTGTACCTGTCAAAACTGTTATCTGTGAAAGTAGAGCAAGAGATACAAGTAGGAACTTCAGGAGGGGGATTAGGCAAGGCTTTGTGAAGTTGAAAAAAAACATAAGGAAAAATATGAATAAGAGAACACTACATATTCAAAACATTTTCAGAAATACAGAGAAGAAAGTTAAGGAGATGAAAATATTTTTAAAAATTGTCATAACGGGCTTCCCTGGTGGCACAGTGGTTGAGAGTCCGCCTGCCGATGTAGGGGACACAGGTTCGTGCCCCGGTCCAGGAATATCCCACATGCCGCGGGGCGGCTGGGCCCGTGAGCCATGGCCGCTGAGCCTGCGCGTCCGGAGCCTGTGCTCCGCAACGGGAGAGGCCACAACAGTGAGAGGCCCTAGTACTGCAAAAAAAAAAAAAAAAAAAAATTGTCATAAAGAATAGAGCAGGTGGAAGAAAAGCAATAATCCCAGAAATAATAGAATACTTTGAAAGAGTGTAAATGAGACTGACCTAAGCTAGAGTCTGATGAAATTTAAAATTTTAAGGTTAAGGAAAAAAATGTATAAGTTCCTAGGAATATCAGAACCCAGTTATTGTACAAGGTGAAAAAATACTGTGGCCTGTAACTTCTTCAGAATAAGAAGAGTTCAAAAGACAGTGAACACAGGCTAACATAATGCTTAGGGAAAATTATGACCTAAGATTTTCTACTTTGCCAAGTTGTTGTTCCTATAGCCTTGAAGACTTAGAAGTACATTTCCTATGTAACATTTTAAAAAACAAAATTCTGAAAGATAATTTTCAGCTGACCTGTAAAGGAATCAAAATAATAACTCAAGATTGATGAAAGTGTGATATGAAAGGCCCAGTGACAAGCAACTATGCCTATAAAATAAAGAGCTAAGCTTAAATATTTGTTAACATGGTTGTAAAATTTAATGCAAATTTCAAAGAAATTCTTAAAAAATAACATGTCAGTATAAAAACTATGTAAATTAATCTAAAATTCCAGATTATACTAAAATATGGGAAGAATAAAGAAGTTATGATAACATTCTCATCTGAATGTAGAAAGAGAGGAATGGGTGAGGGAAATTCTTTAGTAGATACTGGTTAAGTTTCTCATGTTAAGTAGAGGAAAATATACTCAAATCCTTATAATTTTTTGTAAATTTCAATAGAAATACTGCTTCTAGAAAGACATTATAAAAGAGTAAGAACAATATAGTGTGTGTGTTATATGTGTTGGCCCAAGTTCAGAAAGGACTGTCATTTGTTCTTCCTTTTTGTTGAGGGTTAAAGTAGTCTTTCTTTTAAAAAATGCTGGTTAAAATAAGAACGTTTTTTCACGTATTTCTTAGCAAGAAAAAAAATGTAATCTTATGTCAGTTTTCAGTTTTATTTTGCCTTTTACCAATTTGTGAAATATGGAAATCTTGAGGTCTACCAAATATGCCATTATTCCCAGTCAAGTTATATGAATGATGTTCACTCACATAAATCATATAATATGAAGAATTCATGAATTAGTACTACCTGAAATCAAATAGAATGCTAATATTATGATTTCCAAAAAGAATGCTAAATTAATAAGTGTAATTTAATTGAGAGATGTTTAAGTGTGAACCATAAATCCAGTTCATTAGAAAATGAAAAAGTGGAAAATATTAGAAATAAAATTCTAAAAATAAAGCTTTTCAAATCATAAAAGCAATACTTTTTGAAAAGGTAAATGGAAATAGCTAATAAGTTATTTTGTTAAAGTTATTTATATTTATAGTACTAGTTTTGCAGTTGTTTCTTATGTTATAGTGAAAAGTTAAGGCTGCTCTTTTGTCTTAAATGAAAGAAACCACTTGGGCAGAAACAGTTTACCATACTGTATGATATAGTTGAGATACCATTGAGTATCGAACCTCTCTATAATTTGATTTAAGCATCTAGGAAAACAATTTAAACACATTTCCATTTAGAGTTAATCATCTCTAATTTAGAGCTCTTAATAAATTACAATTTGTTTTATGTTGTATTTACTGTTGATTTGCGCCTTAGTGGAAAATATACTCTTGGTCCTGTTTTATGTTTTGGCTACATATACAGCACAGTACTTGTAAAATTTGCCAAGTGGCCTGTTGCATTAAAACATGTAAGAAATCACCTACATCCTTCAACTCTGATTGGAAATACGGCTAAGGCAGAATCCTAAATATTAAAGGCAGAATCCTAAATATTAAGTATAAATTCCCTATTTGTCACTTGTTTAAATTTGTTATAATTAACAACAAAAGTATTTCTTTATTTTTATTTTCAGTGGACAGGAGTTATGAAGAATTGCAATGGCTACTTAATATGATTCAGAATGACCCTGTACCCTATGTAAGGTTAGTTTTTTTATGCTGTAATATTTTGTTTTTGTAAGTCCTAAAGTAAATAATTTCAGAGCATTATACTTGTTCCATGTATATGGAACATGTATATAATTTTTGAAAATATAGGAATATGTTATCCATTTACTCATGTCCTTTTTTATTTTATTTGCCTTTGGAAAGACATTTTTAAAAATACATTGATACTAAGGGTAATTCCCTGAATTTTACATGTGATTTCTATTGTAACTTAAAGAAAAGCTTGTGTATCCGTTTTTAGTGCACATGGAGGAAGAAAGCCCTTATCCTAAAACCTCTGTATCGATTGATTTAATCTATTTTAAAAGTAAATAAAAGCAGTGTTTTGATGTATCCCATTTGTTCCTTTCTATCTTATATAGAATCTTAATTTTTAATAAATGGACTTAGGATTTTAAAATGTAATATGACATTGTTAAAAATTTAGAAAATAAGGGATAATAAAAGAAAATCCTGGTCTTGACGTGGTAACTATTTTCATTTTTGTATTTTCTTCTTCATTTCTTTCATTTCTGCTGCTTTCTTTTGCAAAGTAGGATATTTATAGTGTATTCGTGCAGTATTAAAATTTTTACCATTTCTGCTGTCCTTTCTGTACACCTAGTAGACTCAAATTTGTGTTCACATGTTGTAATAATTCAGTCTCATAAAATGAAATTTGAAAGCTGGAAGATAATTTAGATTTTAGCTATTCCAACTAGAAATAAGAACACAGACCTAGAGACATTGTCTTCTTCAACTTTACACATCAGTTGGCAGATATTTTTCATCTAAAAAAGCATACAAATAAACTCTGCCTTTTTTTTTTTTTTTTTTTAAACTCTTCCTTTTAACTTCACTGAAATGCATCTGAGCATGGAGAATCCATGTAAGGGATTTCAGCTAACTGAAATCTATATTTCAAGTGTTTTAAATGATGCTTATTAAATAAATATTCTTTGTACAAAGTTCTTCTCTTTGTATTTCATAGTTCTTGATTTGTGATCTGAATTGTATTTTAAATAATTTGTCCTTGAATTGATGTGTACCAGGGGTAAGGTTGACGTGGACAAAAATCTCATAATCACACATTCTGAAGTAAATATTCATATAAAAGAGAATAGGCAGGAAACCAGCCTCATCTCTTTATCTGCCAGAGCTCATGCATTTGAAAGTTTATAATAAGATGCTGCTGATGACAAGTAGGGACAGAAAGTATAAATACAGTATAAATAAAGCTTATCATGTATTCATTTATGTTTTCAATTCACATCAAGAACTAACATCAAGGCACATATTTCTTTTTTTTTAATTAATTTACTTTTAACTTATTTTTGGCTGCATTGGGTCTTTGTTGTTATGCATGGGCTTTCTGTAGTTGAGACGAGCAAGGGCTACTCTTCCTTGTGGTGCACAGGCTTCTTGCTGTGGAACACAGGCTCTAGGCACGTGGGCTTCTGTAGTTGTGGTGCGTGGGCTCAGTAGTTGTGACTCACGGGCTCTAGAGCGCAGGCTCAATAGTTGTGGTGCACAGGGTTAGTTGCTCCGTGGCATGTGGGATCTTTCCGGACCAGAGCTCGAACCCGCGTCCCCTGCATTGGCAGACAGATTCTTAACTACTGCGTCACCAGGGAAGCCCCAAGGCATATATTTCTGAGATCTTAAAATTGTGTTTTGAGGATCATTTTCAGCAGATTATAATATTATATAATACTTGTAGTTATGTTTCTAAATTATATACTGTACAGTCTAAATGATTGCTTTTGAAATGTGGAGCTGTTAATGTCATTCAAATTTTAAGAGCACTGTTATTTACATTCTAAACTGAAAATCTGTATAAAGATATATTTCATGATTATATTTGATGTGTTTACTTCATAAGTGATGTGATTCATTTATATCACGAATAGGGAACCTCTTAGGCTTTACTTAATGTCATCTAGCCCATAGTTATAGTTAAAAAAAGTTCAACACATCTTAAAGAAAGTCTTTAATGGCAGTGAATGGTCACAGGATAGGAGTGTTATTACCACATCAACAGTTATTGTATGTGTGTATTATTTGGTGTCTTGGGATATCTGTCTCTATTTTTGTGGGGTTTTTTTTTTTTGTCTATTTTTTATGCTTTGAATAGGAACTCTGTCCTTTTCTCTTTGTCCCCATCATTACCTTTTCTTTTCCTTCCTCCCTTCCTATCTATTTATATTGAGGTGTAATTGACATATTAGTTTCAGGTGTGTAGCATATTGATTCCATATTTCTATGTTTTAGAAAATGATCACCACTATAAGTCTGGTTAACATCCATTACCATACATAGTTACAGATTATTTTCTTTTGATAAGAACTTCTAAGATCTATTCTCTTAGCAACTTTCAAATATGCAACACAGTATTACTAACCATAGTCACCATGCTATATATTACCTCCCCATGACTTATTTATCTTATAACTTGGAAGTTTGTACCCTTTGACCCCATTCACCCATTTCACCACTACCCAGCTCCTGCTTCTGGCAACCACCAGTCTGTTCTGTTACTTTTTCTTAAACTCGTTGAGTAGCCATCATATAGAACTGCTATATTCTGCTGTGTTAATTGGATAGAATTCTTAATCTTAAAGGTAGGTAAACGTTTCTGTTTCTGTCTGTCTTAAAATCAGTGACATTCGTCTCTCCTGCCCCCAAAAAAGCGTTTTATTTTTATGGCTTTTGGTTGATTTTTAAACTCCTAATAGTAAGATGGTCATTAATAAGAAATTTTTCTTAGCTGTTGATTTAAAAAATTTCTGTATTATTATGTATATCACAATTGCTGATTTTTTTAGAGTTAGATAAAGCTCTGAAGAATTTGGGGGCTGAAACCTTAAAATTTAGAGGAAAGAAATTAGTTACTTGTAATTACTCCTGTACACTTTAAAGCTAAATTTGAACACCATTTCTACAAGGATACTTTCTTGACTACCTGCACTAGGTCAGGTCCCTCAAGTCATAATTGCCCATAAAATCCTACAGTTGTTCCTTTACTCAAGTACATACATAGTTCCTATGTATGTGTATTATTATAGTTTGATTTTTTTTGTTACTGCTGTCTCCCCCATGAGAGTATAAGTTTTAAAAAGACAGGGACCTTGTCTCCTTTTGCCACTGTATGTCTGGCACATAGCATGATGCTTTGCATATAGGTAATTAAATACATGTTAAACAAGTGGTTGAATATAATTTTTCCCCCTCTAATCATATATATGTTTAACTTAATTCATATGTTAAAGAAAAGTGATTTTATCTCTGTAGTGACAACTGTATGTAGAAAAAAACCTTAAGCTGTTTAATTATTTTTAAATGTTTGGGAAAGTTCTTGGTCTTTTATTTGGGTTTGATGTTTTATATGTAATAATAGGGTTGTTGGCTTTCCTTGTATAGTCTTCTCTCAATAGAAGATTTTCAGGACTTCCCTGGTAGCCAGTGGTTAAGAATCCGCCTGCCAATGCGAGAGACACGGGTTCGAGCCCTGGTCCGGGAAGATCCCACATGCCGCGGAGCAACTAAGCCCGTGCGCCACAACTACTGAGCCTGAGCTCTAGAGCCCATGCTCCACAACAAGAGGAGCCAGCGCAATGAGAATCCCTTGCACTGCAACGAAGAGTAGACCCTGCTCACCACAAATAGAGAAAACCTGTGCGCAGCAACAAAGACCCAATGCAGCCAAAAATAAATAAATAAATGAAAGATTTTCAGATTGTAAATCAGTTCTTTATTAGGATATCTTAAGAATTTAAGTAAGTGTGCTTTGGTGCATTGTTTTTAAAACAAATTTACATTTTTGAAAATTACAGTTTCCTTTCAATGGAAATAACTTAAAATGCTCATTCAGATTTGCAAAAATATAAACTCACATTAAGAAGACAACTTAAAAATAGCGTATAATTATTTCAACCAGAGCAATAATTCTTAACATTTTGGATTATTCCTTTCCGTTCATTTCTATGCATGTATATTACTTTTTACATTAATAAGAAGAACTTATTAAATATATTTACTTTAGATTTGGGTAGGATTATTTTAAAGATGACATGGAATTATCTTCTCATGTTGGAATCAAGCATGCATATATGATCACAATATATCATTTCCTCAAGGGACACACTTACACTGAATGCCTTTTCTCCAGAGAGATTTTGAACATTTTTCTGGTTTCGATTTGACTGCATTTCTTATAGATAGTGATTGGCAATGGGATTGGACTAGTCCACCAAGAAATTTGTCAGTTGTTTAGGGAAATAATGTGTTGTTTTTGCTACCATGAACATGGCATAAGCCCATGATTTTCTCAGCATTTGCTTCAGGTCTGTTTCGTATATCTGAAGTGTATGCTTATTGTGAATTTTGTTTAATCTCTTAAAAATTAAGCATAAGATTCTCATTTTCTGCCCTTAAACTTTATCTCCTCTGAGTATTGCGTTGAGTGTTTAGTCAGTTATAAATACTTCCTTGTGAAAGCCTTTCTTCTATCATCTAAACTTTAAAGAAAAATAACTTTTGAAAAAATGCTTAATTTACTAAAAGTAGTACACATAATAATCATTATTGCTCTTTTAATTATAATTTCAGAGCTATCCCCAGAGTACCATTTACAATTCATTGGCATGGCTGTAAGGAGTTTGTAATGATCTGAGTAAATACCATGAAGTTTTATTTGTTGGGCCCTACGGTGTTTGGGGTAATTGGGGAAGCAGCCGGATAGAAACTTAACTTTTCTTCTTCATGCAAATTAAAAGTATTAACATCTTCTAAAGAAAAATCCATCCACGTTTTAAACGGTGTTATTTACCTGTAATACCGATCTATTCTTACAAACAGAAATTGCTCATAAAGATATGAAAATATCTTTACTCATAAAGATATGAAAATATGGATATGAAATATCCATAAGGTATGTATCCCCTTTCGTATTACCTATGTATAAATTGCATCTATAACCACATTTCACGTTTGGTTCTCGTAGCCTTTCAACAGTCTTCAGTCTTAAAATGTCAAATCACAAAAGTATGTTAACAGTGAAAGTCACATCTTTCAGTTTTACAGACAAGATATTGAAGCCAAAAGGGGTTAAGTGACTTAAACTACAGCCTTGCAGTTCTACTTTCCTCCCATCTTTTTTTCAAGTACAAATCCAATTTGATCTCTTGCCACTAAACATAAAAGTTTCCCAGGGTCAACTTCTTTAAGGTCTTGCTAACCTCAACAAATATAATGACCTAAGTTTCTTTCTTCCTTAGTTATACCCAAGCCTTCCATTATTCTGAGATCTTGAATTTCTCAGACCTAGTCCTAGACCTGGCTTTTATCCTGAATGCTAGACTACTGCCGTGGCTTCCTTGCTTCTCCTTTTCTTTCTCTATTCTTTTTTTATGGTGTCTCCTGCTCGTAGCATTGGGCATTTGTTTTTCAAATTTTGTATTGGTCACATTGTCCTATTTTTCAGAAGACTCCATAATGTGTTTGGGTAGCCTTTCATGTAAGATAAAAACTTCCAGTAGTGGAGTTTAACTCCTATCCTCTGTGAGGATACTTTTCTTAATTGACTCTCTTAAGCTTCCGCTTATTTTGAGGAAACTTTTTTGCAATCTCCATATTTAAAATAGTGCTGCACATTTTTATGCTTTGCAAAGTTACTATAATAATAAAGTTTATATTGTCTCAAATGTAGACTTCTTGGCCTACATGTGATTTTTTTTTTTGCCTCATTTTAAGATTTTTATATTTACTAACCAGTCTTTTTTGTAAACTTTTCTAAGAAGAGTAAAATGTTCATTTTAGAAGTGGGATAGGAAATGTTGGTTAGGAATATATAGAGTCAGGTTTTAGAAGACGTCATTGTACCCTAAGGCACTTTTAGAGAGAACAAATCCACCAGAATTTTTTAGTAAAAAAACAATAGTAAATGTTTAGAATGCAACATAATGTCTTTTGAAATGGAACTAAAACGCAAAGCTAGATCTCAGAAGAGAGACGATAAAATAGGAAGGAGGAACTGCAGATAATTTTCAAAAGTTTTTATTTAATGGTTAGCAAAAATTTAATTTTTCTTTATCTTTCAGACATAAGATTCTAAACATGTTAACTAAGAACCCACCATTTACTAAGAACATGGAGTCTCCCTTATGCAATGAAGCTTTGGTAGATCAACTTTGGAAACTTATGAATTCTGGTAAGAGCAATGGCTTTAAAAATTTTTTTTATTATTGGGGTATTTTCATTTTATAACAGGTTATCCATACTAAAGAACTGTGGTTAATTTTTGTCCTTTTTTTTTTTTTTTTTAAGGAGAATACTTACCTTCACAGTAGTGGCTGTGATTATATTTGCTAAGGACATAGACACTCACTTTGCCCCACAGGGTGGTTGAGGAAACAAAAATATTAATTTATGGGAAATTGTCCCAAATGTTTAAAGAGCTGTAGACATGAATTTGCAAATATTATTATTTTTATTTCAGAAGGTTACAGAGGGTTGAAAAAATGGCTTCTCACCTCTTTTCCCTAGCCTCCTAGTGGCCTTTCCCAGAGGTAACCAATTTCTTGTGTATCCTTTTCAGAGCAGTGCATATTGTTACTGTTCTGCACCTTGGAGATCATGGTATCTCATCACAGTTTTAATTTCCATTATTTAAGTGAAGTCAAGAGGCGGTTAGTGCTCCCAAGCATGAGCTCTGGAGCTAGTTTGCTGAGGGTTAAGTCTCAGCTGGATGACTTACTCTCAATGTGACTTGTCTAAGCCTATCGTTTTTCATTTTTAAAATGCAGGTGGTGATGGTACCTACTTCTGCAAACTGAAAATTAAATGAGTTCATATTTGTAAAGCACAGTAACTAGTTCATATTATGTGCTCAAAAATGTTGTTATACTAACATAGTAATGATATCATTATACTTCTCATATATGTCAGCTATTTGTAGTTCCTTTCATGTAAGTCATTCATATTCTTTGCCATTTTTATTTAATTGAATTATTGGTCTTTTCCTATTGACTTCTAACTGTAGTATATATGTAAAAAAAATTTGCCTTATGTCTCTGATATGTTGAAATTGTAATACTGGTTTTGATTTAAAATTCACTGGTTTTGATTTAAAATTCAATCAAAAGCTAGGCTGAAAAGTGTTTTGCTTAAAGACAAGTTGTTACAGATAGACGGTGAGGGAGCAGTGGGTATTCGTTCTAATAAATATGTCACTTTACCTTCTTTCTAGAATATTGGAAAATAACTTGCCCTGCCTATCTTATTAGTGACTGCTTCACTGAATCACAACTAAATACCAAGTTCTGATTCTTTTTCAAAAATTATTTAATTTACTATCACTGAGATGTTGTGGTTGTATAACTTCTGTCCCTCAGTTTCATAGTCATAGTCCAATAACCCCAAGTAAAGGCACCATAGTAGATATTTCATTGAAATTTAATAAAATTGAAAATAGAATGGCCCTTGTCCTCAAAATATTCAGAAAACAACACATAATCCAGTTTATGTCGATATTGCCAAATTATTATTCTCATATTTTCCCTAATACCTAGAAGAATAAGTGCTACTGTTTACATGTTTTATATTTTGCTACTGGTGGTTACCTTAAAGAATGTTGTGATTACTGTCATTTAGATCCAGGGGATGAGGACACAAGTTCACAAACTTGTAAAGGATCATTCAGCAGTTAATATGTGGCACAAACTGTACTGTGTTGAATATATTCTTAGTAAGAATGCATGATTCCATGGTTGTGATGGATTACAACTTTGAGGAAGGCATAATGAAGTACAAAGAATTCTCATATCGCCTTCTAGGGAAGATTTCATGGACAAAATAAATGTGTGTTTAAGATTAATGAGACAATCTCTGTAAAACATTTGAAGCCCATTGGAAGATTGTGGTTATACAAACTCAAGGTCTGATTGATGTTTAGTATTTATTTTTGATAGTGTTCAGTATAAAGTACAGTTACTGCTTCAGTTTGGAATTCTCTGTGCCAATAATCTAAACAGAACAGATCAGTGAGGCCATGGTCATAAGCAGTTTTTTGCTTGGTTCTTCAGATAAATAACTGGGAGCAATATGAACAGTGGGAGTGGCACAAATAATTGGGAGGGTTTTTTGGTTTTGTTTTTCTTTTTAATGTTTTTGGAGAACATTGGGCATTAGGGAAGATTGATTAGAAGGTTGCCCATTTCCCTTCCAAGCCTGGGCCTCTGGGATACATAAATGAATCTGATCTAAGAAATTCCTTTAAAGTTTTTTTTTCCAATAATAAGTAGTATCATGTTGCAGAGTTTGTCTGCACAAAATAACATAAAAGGAAAATACCATATAATTTCATTATATCTCCACTGTTCAGATTTGAGTGTATTTGGTCTTTAGGGAAAAAAATTGCTTTTTGTGTATATGTGTATGGACATAGTTGTAGTGAAGTTTTTAAATTGCATTTTATCATGAGAATTTTTCACATTGCTATATTATCTTCTTAACAGTTACTGTTTTAAGAAATGTTAATGAGAACTCACTTGTAACAAAAGGAGCTAGAGCATCATCTAAGTCCCTAAATCCTTTGGAACTCTGCCTGCCCCTTACTCTTTATTGGGGTTCCTGGGTTATCACGTCACTTGAGATAAGCATTATCTTGATTTACATATGGAGAACAAATAAATTGTGGGCGATAGGGATTTAATTATATTTAATTCATTTATTTTTGTCCTGTTCCAAGGTGGATTTGAAAGGTGTTGACTTTGCTTAGTTATAAAATTTTTGAACTCATTTGAAATATATGGAGACGTATCATGGCAGTTAAGGAAGGATCATCTTATGAGATGGTCATCAGGTACTCCTGAGGAATCAAAGTTTCTTTGCTTAGCTGGTTTCAGAAACTTTTCAATAAGAGATTAATTGCAGTAGGATACATAGAAACAGGATTTAGAAAATTGAAATTAGTTTGAAAGTAAGATGAACTAAGAAATCACATTTGTGCTTTTTAAAAAATTGATATATCATTCAATGACTATTAGTAATACTCTTTTTAGAAATGTACCGGGGGGATTTTAATGGCTATGTGCCAGAAGGAGTGTTCTCAGACTTCTACTCTCAAGATGCCAGGACTGCCTGGTATCTGCACTCTGCCTGCTGTGTGGTAGCTCCACTTATCCTTGAGTTTTGGGCGCTACTCAAGTATCTTCCTAACAGTTTTTGCTGTGAAAACACACACACACACACACACACAACTATAGATGTATGTACACGTGCATACTCATATTAGATATCTTAACTCATTCACTGGTTTAATTTTCCCATATAACATTTTCTCCCCACCATTTTGTTTCTAAAATTTTCAAAGCTTAGAAAAATTTAAAAAATGGTATAAAGAATAACCATATATTGAATATTTTCAGCTCTGTTAACTAGTTGTTAACATTTTACCATATTTACTTTCTCTCTTTTCACTCTCTGTGTATATGTTACAAACCCTCTTTTTCTGAATCATTTGAAAATAAGTTGCCTCATGATACTTTTCCCAAAATACTAAGCATATATTCCTAAGAATAAGGACATTCTCCTGCATCTACACAATACCATTATCATATATATCCCATATTCAGGTTTCCTCAGTTGTCCCCAAAAATGTCCTTATAGTTCCCATACAGCTTTTAAAGTAATAATCCTCCACAGAAAGTAACACATTTTTAAAGAGAAACATCTTTCACATTATATAGTCTTCATCCCTCGTTGCTTAAGAATCTTAAATAGTTTTATTTTTAGTTAAAAATATTACATTGTCCAGGGGCAATTCTTTTTAAGGGTTTCAAGTATTAATTTATTCATCAGTTATTTCTTGAGCACCTCCTGTTTGCCATTGTGCTATGTTTTTTGTTTTTTGTTTTTTTGTGCGGTACGCGGACCTCTCACTGCTGTGGCCTCTCCCGTTGCGGAGCACAGGTTCCGGACGCGCAGGCTCAGCGGCCATGGCTCATGGGCCCAGCCGCTCCGCGGCATGTGGGATCTTCCCAGACCGGGGCACGAACCCGCATCCCCCACATTGGCAGGTGGACTCCCAACCACTGTGCCACCAGGGAAGCCCCTGTGCTATGTTTTTGCATACAAAGATGCCTTTTCCATTAACTTAGTATAATGGAAAGAGAGAGATAGGAACAGATAGACCATAATACAAACAGGTAGTTGCTAAAATAAAGAGAAGAGCAAAATACCCTGGTAACCTGAAGAACAGAACCGTGAGCCCTGCCTGGAATGCTGGACTATTCATGGAGTGGTGATATTTGAGCCAGCTCTTGAGGAATGGAAAAGAGTTTATCAGGAGAAAGACATTTTAGGTAAGAGAATTAAGTATATGTAAAACCTTTGAGTTCTGAAAGGATATTTGGAAAATAGTGAGTGTTAATCTGGAAAGATAGATTAGGATCCAAAAGCAAAGGGCCTCAGGAATTTGTGTTTTATCCTGTAGGCAGCGAGGAGCAGGTGGAATTATGACCTGTCTGACTTCTGTTAGCTGTATGTATTTTTTTGCACACTGAAAAAAATCGTTTTCCTTTCCCAAAGAAAAATGTTTCAAAATTCAAAATATATGAGATCCTACTTTTTGTAGCTTTTAGGTAAAGTACTGGATTATAGCTCAACATGACAGTAATTTAAAAAATTCATTTAAAAAATAAAAACCTAAGAATCAGAAATTTTTATTGGTGCTTTTTTTTTTAAGTCAGTATAGTGTTTATTTCCCAGTTATAACAACTGCAACAGGTGTAAAGTCATTCTTTATAAAATTCACAAATCAAATTACTGAACATAAAATACAAAATTCAAAATTGTAATCACAGTAATAAAAAATGTTAACTAATTATAATATAGTAATTTGTTTAAAATAATTACACATCATTTTTCCATGGCAAATAAATTTATTACAGCAATTCCAGTATTTATTTGTAACTGTGTCTTATTCTATAGAAATGGCCACTGGACTAGACTACATTTTTTGTAATACTGTAGACCTTAAATCATGTTTAATAAATTTTCAGTTTGAGAATAAATTCTCCACTGGCGCTGATATTGACAGAGTTACATGTAAACTGACAGCCAGATAAGTGTTTGGAACTGTGTGCAGTAAATTAATGCTGCATGATGATGTCCCATCAATATGTTATTCATTAGCATGTTCATCAGTAAATTTCAGTTGTAAATTTTTATGTACTTGTACTAATTCATTTCTACAGATTTCAAAGTATATATGTCATCTAGAGCAGAGGTCAGCTAACAGTGGCTCTAGGGCCAGATCTGACCCACCGTCTGTTTTTGTACAGCCCATAAGTTAAGAATGGCTTTTACATTTTTAAATGATTGGAAAAAATGTTAATAGTGTCTCATGACACCTGAAAGTTTTATGAAATTAAAATGTCAGCATCCACCAATAAAATTTTATTGGAACACAGTCCTGCTCATTTGCTTACGTATTGTCTATGGCAACTTTTACACTACAGCATCACAGCTGAGTAATTGAACAGAGACCAAAAGGCCCACAATGTCTAAAATACTATATTTTAAAATGTAACTACTTTCTCTGGTCTTGCCTGCTTAACAATGCTTTTTTTCCCCCTTAAGATAATAAGCATTCATTGAAGAGATACTATATCATCATGAAGGAAATTTTAGCCCTTACTCACAAGCTGCTCTTCATTGTTTGGCACTTCACTGTAAGAATGACATAAAAACATTTATGTAATTATTCAGAACATTGAAGGCTGTTTATTTACATCATAACTTTTAATGTTTGAAAGTTTACGGCTGTGCTCTAGAGGGTAGAATGAAGGACTACTTAAAATTCAGTTCAGTAGGATTTGCCAGGTTTCGGAATAAGAAAATAAACAATTTTGATATTAACATCAGATTTCAAAGTTCCGCCCCTCTGTTTCTCTCTCTCCCAAACCCTTCCTCTTAGAAATAGGAATGGTGGAAGAAAATTAAAACATTTTTATTAGATGTAATTCATTTTTTTGTCAGAAATTATATATGTAAATGCTCACATGAATATATATGAAATTTGCTGAGTTTTTTTACTTTAGTGTAAGATAGACAGAAAGATCAGGACAGAACTACCATATGGCAGTCATACTTGTGTGGCCTAGCTGTACAAATTTTTAAGCTTCTGTCATCAATAAGGAGTGCTGGGTTTATTGAAAAATGTCCTGGGGAATTCCCGGGCAGTCCAATGCTTAGGACTCTGCACTTCCACTGCAGGGGGCACGGGTTTGATCCCTGGTTGGGGAACTAGGATCCCACAAGCCACAGGGCGCAGCCAGAAAAAGAAAAATGTCCTGAAAATGGTGGCTTTTAAAGTGAGCTTTCTTCTTAGCAGCTTTTTGGCTTGATCAGCTTTAACGTCAATTACTTCAGAAAATGAAGTGATGATCTTTTTTAAGATCAGATTTGTTATTTGGAGGATTTGTCTTTAGATACTTTCTGATTTGAATAGAGAACATCAACACTGAGCATTGTTCTTCTGATTCAGGTAAGCAGGGCTTGTCCCAAAGTATAACTGCTAATGAGACCAGAATGGACAGCATTTTTACCTGAGAGGAAAAAATAATGACTTGTTTTTCCATATATATGGGCATTCCTTGCCATATAAGTGATTGTGTTGGGAGGGGTAGCTAGAAGATTAAAGAAGGGTCTTCAGAATGCTATCACTGAGGGTAGAAATCAGGAGCTCTTCCAGGGCTTATTTCTCATAGAATTGGTTGATTTGGAATCATGGAATTTTAGACCTGAGAGGACCTTAAAGATTAAATTAATTGTTCTCATTTTATGGCCTGGGCAGCTGAATTGCCCAAAATCACAGAGCTGACTAGTAAGTAAGCAGAGTGTTTTTTCCGACTGTATTCCACTATAAAGTGACAACCATTTTAAGATGTTATGCCATGATTTTGAAACATGATGTTCTCATTTTTTTTCTGTCTTATAATTTTAACAGAAGCGCTGCTTATTTTTTTAGCTCCCTCTTATCAGCCTTAAATTGTAATATTTATAAGTCAGTTTTTTGTGGGAAAAAAACATTTAATCAAGGACTTCCCCCAGGAACAGAAGAATAATGCTCATTCCTCCCTACCAATTGAAGGTCTACCAAAACCTTTACAAATCCAAAACCAAAAAGCCCACATAGAAATAAAAAGTAACAAAAACCATATTCTAGAGGTTCAGTGCTTTTAGCAGCTTTCATTCACTGTGCTGCCTAACCATCCTTAGCTGACTTTCAAAAAACAAAACAACACCCTAGCTCATCAAAATATACATTATCTACTTGCTTTTTAAAATTAATTTTTTAAGAAACTTTTAGTAATTCATACTCAGTTGCCTGACTTGTTTCAATGTCATCTACATTGTATAAAGATTCCAGGATCATTATTTGCAGTGGACATAATTGGGCAATACTGCTCTTCAAGGTTAAGTTTTATTCCAGTGTAAATGCACCCTAAGCCATTCTAGCTTCTTTACTGATAAAGTGCCTGAGATTCACTTCTTTTCTTGCTATAGCCATGAATAAATAGATAGATACAGGGCTAGCTGCTCTGGCCGGATTCCCTCCCTTTCCTGAGAGGGTTGAGCCCCTCCAGCCTTTGTAATAAAAGGCCCAGGAATCTGATACCTATCCTTTGTGGAACATTTACATATGTAAAATTCTTTGAGAAGAATAATGAGTGCCTACAAAAAACTAGGCAATGTCAGTCCATTAAAGTATCCAAATATGGATATTCCAGAGAAGAAATGGATTTCCAGTATAAAATCCTTACTTTCACTCTGTACTGTTCTTCCGATTTCTGGTTTCTCTGTAGTTTTTATGATATAAAAACTCATACTTCTCGAGCTCCTGCCTCTTTCTCTTGCTTTCAGCAGTGTTATGTATCTGTTACCTTATCACACAGTAGCAAAACTGAAGATGTCTCAAATAGGATTGATAGCTGTTTAATGGCATGCATATTGCCAAGCAAGTGTGTAGTATATAGTAAGAACTCTGTAAATTAAAATTATAAATCCATGTGGATGTTCTTTGCACATAGTTAATATAATAGTTACCTATCTGTCAGAGTAAATCTTATCAAAATCGTACTTGCTTACAATGTATTTACTTATTCTAATATTTGTTGTTGAAAACCACAAAGCTTAATATTTATGCTGTCTAAAGTTTGCTGTAGCAACTTCTTTCCTTTTTGTTTCTCCTTTTTAAAACATTATGGTACCTGTTTGAAACCACATTTCTTGGCCAAAATTAAGTATTTATATGGTTTATTTTTCTTATCCAGAAGAATATTTCTTATTCTCACATGTTTTAAATTCTCTAGGTCATTTTAGATTCTGCCTAGAAACCATAGAAATTATCTAAACCTAGATGATAATTTCACCTTGACAGTTCTGTTTGGTGGCAGTATCTACCTGGCGTGTTCCACTGGGGAAAAGAAGGCAAGTGAGGAAGAGTTCTGATGTCACTGTGCTCTGGTCTTTTATTGCTATAGGGTAAGGTATAATCTGAGACCAAAACCCTTATTTTGGAGATGAAGACACTGAGACTCATCAGAGAACTTGGAAAGTGTCTCTACTTTAAACTGAATTTCTACAGATGCAGTTTTCTTCTGGTTAATACATGTTTTATGACCTGTTGCCATCTCCGGGGTTTGCTTATTTTTGTTTTTTGGTTTTTTAAAATAAATACCTACTAGAACAACACAAATATGAAGGTGTTTAGCAAAATAGTTTACTTCTCTAAAATAAGTCAAAGTTTAGAATTGTGTTATTTCAAATAGTTGTAGGGTTTCTTACTGTATTTAAAACCTGAAAGTAATAAATTTGAGGGTTAGGAGAATTTGTTTCCAGTGGTAGAGTTCATGAAGGCTCTTGGTGTGCTGTCTTCCTAACAAGCTATTCAAGAAGAAAATCAGACAAGATAAACAGAATGAATGAATGTGGAGCAGTTACCAAGGAGGAGGAACTAAAAGGAGGATTTAGGGCTTCCCTGGCGGCACAGTGGTTGAGAGTCCGCCTGCCGATGTAGGGGACGCAGGTTCGTGCCCCGGTCCGGGAAGATCCCACATGCCGTGGTGCGGTTGGGCCCGTGAGCCACAGCCGCTGAGCCTGCGCGTCCGGAGCCTGTGCTCCGCAACGAGAGAGGCCACAACAGTGAGAGGCCCGTGTATAGCAAAAAAAAATAAATAAAAGGATTTAGAGCCAGAAAAAACACTGTTTTGGGAATATTAGATTTATGCTAGGTGTCTGATTTTTATTTTGTAGGAAGAATGAAAGAATAAAATATTTCCAGTTGTAAGATTCATGATTGCATTTGAACATTTATTGTTTCTGTAGCAGTTGTAGGTTCCCGTGTTATAAGAAGCGTCTTTAGAGTGGAGGGTTTGCCATTGGGGCCTAGGTCAATAGGTGGCTCCTTTAGGTATCATAACCCTCTCATCCCTTCCCTCTGTACAGGTTCTGGAGCATTTGAAAAATGTATGGATAAACGTGTATGTTGACTTTTTATTATTACTGTTATTTACTTCCTAGGTACTTCACATGACTGGCGGTTACGGTGTGGTGCTGTGGACTTGTACTTCACACTGTTTGGCCTCAGTAGACCTTCCTGCTTACCCTTGCCAGAACTTGGCTTGGTCCTTAATCTGAAAGAGAAAAAAGCTGTCTTGAATCCAACCATAATTCCAGAGGCCATAGCAGGCAACCAAGAAGCTGCGGTTAATCCAAGTAGTCACACACAGCTAGTTGGATTTCAGAACCCTGTAAGAATCACATGTGTTATAGAAGGTGTAGTTTTATTATGTAGAGCTCTGAAGAAGAGAATTGTTTCTTTTGAACTGGTGAATTTTAAAGCCACTAACAGCTTCTTGTGCCATTTAGAAAACTGCTAGCTGACATTAGTTTAGCACTCACAATTTATAAAGTACTACTGACAGCTATTGATACAGAGCTGCACATAACAAATGATGTGCTGCTAGTCCATTTACTCCTTTTTTTGTGATGACAATGATTTTTTTGTACTTGAGCATAGAATTTCTACTTTGAGTAGTAGAATACTGAAATGAATATTTAACCTATTACATATTAACCTATCTTGTCCATATATTGTAATGGCAAGCTGTTTGAACACAGGGCCTTGACTTTTTTTTTTGCTACTTTGCATAATAGCACAATTCTAAACATATGAAGGGTGCCTGGAAAATGCTTATTGAATCAAATAAATAACAATGAATGGTCAGGTAAAAGCGTAATCTGATTTTGGGAGGAGAGTATGCATTATATTTTTAAATTTACATATATGTGTATGTATGCTTTTAGAAAAGCTTTTATTTCCAACTATGCATTATGAAATTACCAAACTTTTTGTAGAAAGACCTTTAGGGTCATATCAATTATTTTACTGTAATTTAAAGAAAGTTTTCCAGAAATGATTTTCTTATTGATGACAAAATGTCCCCAGTACTTGAAGCTTCATTTTTCACCAATATTTAGACCAGATTACTTGCCTGGCAATTCCCTGCTGGTGTTTTGACACTTTAAAACTCAAATTTCTCTTTATGCTAGTTAGTAATAGTCATTTAAAAGTACTTATCCACCTAGATTTTCTGAAATATAACCATACTTATTTGTTATAAATTTAAAATATATCCTAGAGTTTGGGTTATGAAGAAGTAAGACACATCTTTTAATAGAAAAAAAAGGAGTCTCATTAAAGACCTCTTTTATATCTGAATATTTAGAAACCAGTGGAAATGAATATGTTTATAATTCTTGCCCATGTATATTAAGTTATCCACTTTCATACTTGGAGTCTTTAGGATAAAAGAAGAAAATGACACCAAAAGATATATGCTTTGGGGAAAGCTTTAAAAGTTCACTTTACTGTCTCCCTTCTCCCCCCAAAAAAGACCAGCAGATAGGAAAAGGTGAGATTTATTTTAAGCCCATTGCTGATTACTTTTAGGCACTGGGCATGCTCTAATCTGCATGGTTGCTATAGGTATTAGTTTTCAGCTATAACATGAGCTACTTGTCTTCAGAAATCTAATTTTGATCTTGAATATTGCCACAGGAAGATGATCACCTTGCCAAGGAAGCATCATGTAATATATCAGCTCATCAGCAGGGAGTGAAGAGGAAGGCTGATACACCACTGGGGTCCCCACTAGAACCTGGTCAAATACTGGAGAAGAATGAGGATAGCAGTAAAGTCAAACTCAAAATCAGAGTAAGAAATACAGGTTAAACCTGTATTAACAGTGTAGGATATTCACCTTCTTGTAAATCTTTTTGAATACTTGCAATGGTTTTTCCTTAGCAGGAACAGTTGGGACAGACTGAACCATAAAAGAACTCAAATGTCCATCTAAGACATTCCAACTGATTGTTAAACTTCTATTATCACATACTTCTCTGTTTGGAGGAGGAACTGTGTGTGCACAATCTACCACAGCTCACTATTTCTTCCCACAACATAGGAACAGATTTTAGTTGCTATTATATTTCCTGTAATTTCCAATCAGCTTCTTTTGGAGGCTGAACCAAATAATCTTTTCTTTCTCTTAATACTTTTTGAGAAAAAAACTACTTTTCCTTTTAAGATTTTTTGGGGGTATATCCTGTGGCCTTTCTGCTACCTTTCTTAAGAGCAAAAATCCAAACATAAAGTGATATAATGGCTCTTTTGCTCCTTTGTTTTGTATGTGTGTGTTTTAGTTTTCAAGCTCTCAAGATGAGGAGGAGATTGATATGGATACTGTTCATGATAGCCAGGCGTTCATTTCCCATCATTTAAACATGCTTGAAAGGCCGTCAACTCCAGGTAAGATATATTGCATTCACTCGGGTTGATGGAGAAAGTTCACGCGATATCACTATTTTAAGGTGTGTTGCTTTATTTTGAAGAGAACAACTATAAAGTTTAGAAGTAGCCAGTATAAAATACTAGATTGTATCAGATTATAACACATGTCAGCAAAGGAATAGAGTTTTTCAAAGTATTTCATTTGATTTTTACTTTATTATGGTCCTTTTTAAATATTCGGCTTACTTCTAGATTTGTTTTTTCAAAAATCCATGCATCAGATTCCTTCCAATAGCTTTCATTTCTTTTTTTTGTTTTGTTTTTTGTAGTAGGCTTAACCTCAAAATAAAATACTAAATTTGTTTTTTATAAATAATGTAACCATAATTATATACAAAACTTCTTGACTACAGTAAATGCAGCCTGTAACACAACTACTTTCTCTTCTTGACTGCCTGTTCCACATAATATTATATCATATCATAGATTTTTGCATGCATCTCTCAAACATCATAATCATTTCTTTTGAAAATGTTACCTGAGGCGGTATTGAATTGATACACTTGAATTTACCTTATTATTTCCCTGTGGGCAGGCATTTGTTTCCAATTTTAATTTTTTGCAAATAATTCTCTCTGAATATCTTCATACAAAAGGTTTTGTTTTTGTCAAATTATGCTCTTAGGGTAAATTCCCCAAAATATATTTTTGGTGATTTTTTAGCTTTATTGTAAGATACTTATCTTTAGAAGATTTTCATAGCTCTTGATATTATTGCCATAATGCCCTTTGAAGAGATTATACCTAGTTCATGTCATCAGCGTTTTTAAATTTTCAGGAATAAAGCTTTGATGTAACTTGCATGTAAGTTGTGAAATACAGTAATAAAACAAATATTGGTGAACCTGCCACCCACCTTAACATGTATATTATACTCCATGCCGTGGCCATTCCCTTTATGCTTCTTCCCTGATTCTGTTCACCTGTCTTTGCATTACAAGTAAATAAATACTGTCTTGAATTTTTTTTCTTTTTCTTAATCATTCTGTTGCTTTTCTTTACAGTATACCACATATATATATGATCTATATGTTCACTTGCCCTTAGTTTTTGAATTATATGAAAATGGTATGATGCTCAGTATGACTTGGTCTTCTTCACTCAACCTTTTGCTGCCCAAATTCATCCATCTTGATCCATAGGTGTAATTCATTAATATTTATCATTTTTGTATCTCATGGTACTATTTTATTGTCAGTGTAATAACTTAAAAGATATTTATTAACTATAAAATGATCATTAAGTTTATAATGCATTTCTTTTATTATGAATATGACTATTTTTCTTTTTTGCGGGGGAGGTCCTGTTCCTGTTTCTTTTTACTGGAAAATCCTATTTATACTTCATGCTGCTTGTGGTTATATTTTATGATCTTTACATTTGAATGAGGTTTGTTTTTTTTTTTTAACATGCTGTATTTGTGCAAGTCTCCCTTACCTACCTTGGTCTGCTTTTTGTTTGTTTGGCTTTTTGTTTAATTTTATTTGTGAGACCTAAGGTACTTTTTACTATCTAGTAATCTAGGATGAGCTAGTAGAAAACTGGCATCAGGTAGAATATGAACCTAATTATCTTTGAAAACTGACAGGTCGTGAATTCTTTGGCTTTTATACTTGTAAGAGGTCTTAACAGTTATTTATCTATTCTGTCAATTTTACAGACAAGGAAATTTAAGCAGAGAGATATTAAATGATTTACCCTAAACGACACACCCAAGTAATAGCCAACTCAGTGCTAGACCCAAATCCTTGAACTTTTCCATGTGACAAATGAAATTGAGGCACAAAAAAATAAATGTCTTACCTGGACTGTATATCTAATTTGTGGATAATTTGGAATTAGAACCTGGGTCTCCTGATACTACAGTGCTGTTCACGTTATCCCATTAAAATGTTCCTGTTTTAAATATCTTCTGTAATCCCTAAATTATTTTGATCTATTTGTTGAGTAAATATTATAATAGAATTTATTAATAAGTTTTGGGGGGAGCAGGCATGCTTTACTATATGCAAAGTTCCACATAAATAATAAAAAACATGACATGGTTCTGCCCCAGAATGTAGACTCCAATTTAGATGTTCAGCAGTCCAGTCAGGTATACTGTCTTTCTTGAATGTGTATTTTTCTCAGACTTAAGTATATTGGAACCATGACAAAGAAGTAAATCAAATGGGGGATCTTCAGTACTTTAAAAAAGTAGTATTCTTTTTATTATTGGAATTTTACTGTTGAACTGATTCTGGCTTTAAGGTTAATTTATAAAAACCTTCAGACTGTTTTCTTCTTTGGGGAAACAAAGAAATAAATCCCTGTTTTCGCTCTTCTTTGGCATTTTAGGGCTCTCTAAATACCGGCCAGCCAGCTCCCGATCTGCTTTAATCCCCCAGCACTCATCAGGTTCTGATGGCACACCCATCACAAAACCCCAGTGGAATATGGAACTTGCACGAAAGGGAACAGGTGAAATTATTATTATCATTGCTGTTGTTTTGCTCAAGAACGAATCTATTAACTTCGTAAAGTTTCTTTATCAACTTAAAGAATACATTAAAAACGACAGATCTCAGGACTTGCTTTTCTTGTAACACATTGACTCTATATTATCTGACATAAAGACTTTTTTTTCAAATGTAAGCTACATATATTATTATTTTTTATTGAAGTATAGTTGATTTACAATGTGTTAGTTTCTGATATTACAACACAGTGATTCAGTTATACATATGTGTATATATATTCTTTTTCAGATCCTTTTCCTTTATAGGTTATTACAAAATATTGAGTATAGTTCCCTGTGCTATACAGTAGGTCCTTGCCGGTTATCTATTTTATGTATTATAGTGTGTATATGTTAATCTCAACCTCCTAATTTATGCCTTCCCCCCTTTTCCCCTTTGGTAACTGTAAGTTTGTTTTCTTTGTGGGTCTATTTCTGTTTTGTAAGTAAGTTAATTTGTTTTTTTTTTTTTTAGATTCCACATATAAACAAATATCATATGATATTTGTCTTTCTTTGTCTGGCCTTCTTCACTTAGTATGATAATCTCTAGGTCCATCCATGTTGCTGCAAATGGCATCATTTCATTCTTTTTTATGGATGAATATATACAGTATTCCATTGTATATATACACCACACCTTCTTTATCCATTCATCTGTCGCTGGTCATTTAGGTTGCTTCCGTGTCTTGGCTATTGTATTTAAATAGTGCCACTATGAACATTGGAGTGCATGTATCTTTTTGAATTATGTTTTTCTCTGGATAAAGGCCCAGGAGTGGGATGGCTGGATCGTATGGTAACTTGATATTTTTAGTTTTCTAAGGAATGTTCATAGTGTATTTCTTAGTGGCTGCACCAATTTACATTCTTATCAGCAGTGTAGGAGGGTTCCTTTTTCTCCACACCCTCCAGCATTATTATTTGTAGACTTTTTGATGATGGCCATTCTGACTGGAGTGAAGTGATACCTCATTGTAGTTTTGATTTATATTTCTCTAATAATTAGTGATGTTAAGCATCTTTTCATGTGCCTGTTGGCCATCTGTATGTTTCTTGGGGGAAGTGTCTATTTAGATCTTCTGCCCATTTTTTGATTGGGTTGTTTACGTTTTTGATATTGAGCTGTATGAGCTGTTTGTGTATTTTGGAACTTAATCCCTTGTCAGTCTCATAGTTTGCAAATATTTTCTCCCATTCTGTAGGTTGTCTTTTCATTTTGTTTATGGTTTCCTTTGCTGTGCAAAAGCTTTTAAGTTTCATTAGGTCCCATTTGTTTGTTTTTGTTTTTATTTCCATTACTCTAGGAGACAGATCCAAAAAGATATTGCTACGATTTATATCAAACAGTGTTCTGCCTATGTTTTCTTCTAGGAGTTTTATAGTATCCAGTCTTACATTTAGGTCTTTAATCCATTTTGAGTTTATTTTTGTATATGGTGTTAGAGAATGTTCTGATTTCATTCTTTTACATGTAGCTGTCCAGTTTTTCCAGCACCATTTATTGAAGAGACTGTCTTTTCTCCATTGCGTATTCTTTCCTCATTTGTCATAGATTAATTGACCATAGGTGCATGGGTTTGTTTCTGGGCTTTCTGTCCTGTTCCATTGGTCTATGTTTCTGTTTTTGTGTCAGTACCATACTGTTTTGATGACTATAGCTTTGAAGTGTGGCCTGAAGTCACAGAGCCTGATTCCTCCAGCTTCGTTTTTCTTTCTTAATATTGCTTTGGCTTAAAGACTTTTAAATTAGGCGTTTTGCTATTTCAAAAGTAATATACTCCTATTGTATAAAACTTTGAAATAACAGAAAAGTAGAAAGGAGAGAAAAAAAGCATCCCGTATTTAATGCCATTTAAAGATACTCATTATATTAACATTTTGATCTTTTCTTGCAGTGCTTTTTCTAAGAATACGGTAATATGAAAATGTCAGCCTCAGTAGCAAGTGTGAAATCTAAAGCTTCATACTTTTATAAAATATAAAAATCAACTACTTACTTCCCTCTCAGCCTCCCCCTGACAGGTTTACAATTGGTCATTCATGGTCAATCGTGAAGACTTGATGCTATATATACCTAGAAAACTAACATAATTGTCTTTTAAATTTATTTCATACTAATTGGACTTAAGTTTATGAAAGATAATTCAGTTCAGATGTGGCTATTACCTGTTTTACTATTGTACATTGTCTTCTACTTACCCTGTTCTTCTTTTGCTTAGAAGACTATAATCCAAATAAAGAGTAAACTTGTGATGCTGATGAACAAAGATTCAGTTTTCAAGTTTTGGAGGGACAGGGCGTGAAAAACAAGATACATAAGCAAAATCATTTTTAAAGAATACTTCTTCCAGAAGTCATTAGTCAGGCTTTAAAATTCCAACTGATGGATTTTGTTTATATAAACCATGTTTTTATCATATAAACGAAAGAGTAACTGTTTAATGATTTGAGGAGCTTAGGGATCAGCTGTGATTAGTAGGAGACTGAACAAAAGCAACACCTCAAAATATTTTGGTATTGAGACCCCAGACTGTTGGTTGCTTGTATCTCTTTGTGTGTTTTATGCATTTATTGTAACAGATTCTCACAAAATATATTTCAGAAAGAAGTCAGCTGGAGACTTTAGCACTTAACTTTAATAAGTGAATTTTGACATTTCTCGGCCCTTGCCGATTTTGTATTCTCTGTTTTTGCTTTGGGATTTGGTGTAAATTTGCTTTATTATCATTATACTTATTAAAACTTTTTCAGACACGAAAAGTTTTCTACATCTTTTAAAATTATGAAGCATAGGGCATATCAAACCTCTTGATATAGTTTGAGAGTGATGCTTCTGCCTATCTTCCATGCCTTTAAAAAAAAGTAAATTCTGTCTAAATTCCAGCAGTCAGATAAATTCTTGTTCCAGTAAAAATTCTGAGTATGTTTGTTTGGTTTATCCTAGTGATGTGGCATGCTAACATATGAATAGAAACAAATCTTAACACCTTTTTGTGCCCACCAGTGTGCCTTTGTTTCATATTGCTTTAAAAATTACATTTTTACTTTTTTTGGAATCTCTTTACAGTCTTATATTTCTCATGGCATCTTATGGGAAGACTAGAGAGGAGATAAAGGGGTAGTGGTAGGGAATAGGAAAACATTAACATTTTAGCTTTGGTTGCTTCAGTGTAGGGCCCTTTTATGTCACGAAGTAAATTGTATACCAGTATATTATATAGACTGATCTGTAAAACTTAATTTTGAATATATTCTTTAATGTGCCTTTGTAATTTCCCTTAAATGTAATTATGCTGTCCAGTACCCTACGACCACTGAGCAAGTCTTAAAATTCAACAGTGTCATTATTAGAATTTAGAAAACATTTGTTTTACCAATGGTAGTGTTCCAAAAGTTTATTTATACATGTATTTATTTTGGAATTCTAAAAACAGTTTTCCCGTAGACATATTGTTATATTTGATAAGTAGCTTTCCTGAACTAGCCAACAAAAACCCTTTTTAACTTATACTGAAGAATAGAAGTATCAAACCTAACCACTGTGTCACAGTATTTCTAAGAGAAAGGGTACTAAGAGCTCTATATTTTGGGCTGTTGGAAGCACAACTTTAACCTAACCCAGGTAAAGTTGGCAGTAAAACGGGAACAGAAGCTGGGATCTCCTACTGTGGTAGCTACCTTGGCCTGGGGTTGAGAGTTGGGGGTTCTGGAGAAGAGGCACAGAATAGTGGTAAGGGAAGCTGTGATCTCTCTTAAATCTCTAGGGATTCTAGATTAAAGTTAACAGGTGGGTTTGAGGGGCCTTATTGAAGCTTATCCAACTGAGGCATCTTTTATTTGGCTATAGAATTCTTACAAACATTTTTGAAGTAGTTGACTAAAAATGAAGAGACTGCAAATAAAGATTTGGATTTCCAGCTTCTCTTGAAAAAGAGTTAACTGAGAGGCCCTCTTAGGCAGGGATGTGCTTTCCATTCCATTGATTCCTTCTGTGTTTGCACCCGGTAGTCTGCTTACTCATTTATGCTGTCTACTTAGGTTGAAGGCTTTTGAGTTTGAGACCCCTGGTGTTTTTTTTCATGTGCTGAGATGAAGTCCGAGATGGCTGCCTCAGAGCCAGCGTGCCAGATGGCAGTTGAGAACTGGAATGTGTTGCAGACGTCATCTGGAAGGGGTGGACACTGTTAAGTAGAGGATAGGTCGTGGTTTACTTTCTAACACCCCACCAGTTTTCTCTTTCCTTGCATATGATAGTGAGGGGCATATTTTAGGGTAGGGATGATATGTGTTTGGTAGGTTAAGCCATTTGGGGTAAGAAAGGAGAAGCGGCAGGGATGTTTTCCTTCATTGCTTAACTTTCTCCTTCTCCTGAGTTAAGGAAGGGAATCCGGGGAAAGGGCTGCGTGGGTCGCATGGTGTGATGGGTTGAGCATACCACGTCCTCTCCTCTCCCACCGCTGCAGCGCCTGAGGCCGCTGGTCTGTCTCCCAGGTTGCTGCGGGGATTGCAGTGATGAGGAGCGGAGGGAAGTCCCTGGTGGTTTCTGTAGGGAAGAAAAGAAGAGTTGCTGCAGTTGCCTAGCCAGGGCTGCTGTACTATGTGACAAATTCTTGCCTAAGTCAGAAAAGCACTATTCTGGTATAGAAATCCGTTTAAAAAAAAAAAAAAGCTAGAGTTCTTTCTTTTGAAAGTCTAATATGAAAAAGACTTTGATATTTTTCTTTAAATTATAATGATATAATTCTACACTTTACTTTTTTGATCTAAAGAAACTGAAGAACAGACTTCACACATTTCCTAATAGAAACTGCAGGTTTTGTGTTAAATTTAAATGTATACCTAGTGCGATAAATTTAATAGAATTAGCAGGTTACTCACTGTTACCAGCACTTTTATCAGATGGGCCCGAAAGCTTCCACCTTAGGTGTGTATTAAGTACCCCTTTCTGTTTGTTTTGCATTTGTTAAATTGACTGCAGCTAACCCTTATCCATAGTGAATTCAGTAGGTCTCTAGGAAAGATTTTATGTTAGATAGAACAACAAAACTGAACATGTTTTTTTCTTTCCCTATAACATGAAATAGGCAAATCATAATATTGTGAATTATTTTTATCTCTTTTTCTTGGTATATCTCCTATCTGCAATAGAGACATATATTTTGTGTCACTAAAAGTGCTTTCATTAGTTTTATTTTTAATTTTTTTAAAATTTTGTTTTATATTGGAGTTTAGTTGATTTACGGTGTTAGTTTCAGATGTACAGCAAAGCGGTTTAATTATAAAAGGGCTTTCATTAGCCTTAAAATGAGTGGCACCGAACCTTGGGTGGGCCTCAAGTTCCCAGGCATCTTGTAAACCCCTAAAATGATATGTGGGATTATGCATTGTGTCACAGGGATGGTAATGTATGCATTTTTCTCAATAGAGATTCTATAGTTGACCTCATTATGCTAGTGTGAAAGTAAGCTCGTATGTGTCCCAAATCTTACTGTTATACAGGTCCACATGAGAGGGAAATTGTACTTTCTTATCACCTTGAATTAGACCTGGTAAAAATTATTCAGGAAAGAAATTAAACAAATAAAAAATATATATTGTCTATAATAAATGAAAACTTACGAGCTAAAGGTTAGTGGTGATGCTAGGGTAACATTAGGTTTTATTAGATGTTCTGTTGTTAGAAACACTATTCTAATGAATATTTCTGTATATATTTCTTTGCACTTATGCATGAGCACGTTTGTGGGATATGTTTCTAGAAATGAACTTTCTAATTTAAAAAATATGAGCATTGAACATTTTCACGAATAGTGCCAATTTGCCTTAACTTCTCCTTTTTAAAAAACACTTTTATTATAGAAAACTGTGAAGTAGTCAGACTAGTATAATGAACCCCCATGTATCCATTACTCAGATGCAGAAATGATCAATCAGTTCATGGTCAGCTTTGTTTTTTATCTATACCCTTTCCCATTTCCACCTTTCTGAATTATTTTGAAACAAATCCCACATATCATTTTATGCATAGGTAATTTTGTGTGTATCTCTAAAAGATAAGGACTTTAAAAAGTCATAACCACAATAATATTCTTGTACTTTAAAAAATAAATGACTTTTTCATATCATTAAATATACAGTCACTGTTTACATTTCAGTTGAATCATAAATGCCATTATTTTTATTTTTAACAATTTATTTGTTTGGATCACTGTCCACATAGGGTCTACACATTGCAGTTGGCTGATATATCCTTTACATCTTTTAAAATTAAAAGTTTCCAGTCCATTGTTTTTTCCCCTTTACAGTGTTATAAACTCCAGGGTTTTGATCTGTAGTTTTCAAGTCTGTATTTTGCTAATTGTATACCTGTGGTGTAATTAACATGTTAGAGTCCTCTGTATTTCCTTTAAATTTGTAATTATATCTAGAAACTTAATTGGATTCAGGGTTATAGATGGTAGTGTGTTCTTCCATCTGGAAGCATACAATGTCTGGTTGATTTTTTGTGAGGTTAGCCACTAAGGTGTTCAAGGCCTGGATCCATTAATTCATTAAGGGTTACAAGATGGTGATATTCTAATTCATCTTTCTGTTTTTATTTATAAGCTGATTATTTCTATAAAGCTAACTTGCCCCTCACCTGCTGTTAGCCATTGGTATAGATCATATAGCAAAAGAAAGATAAAGACTTGATTCTCTCTATGTATTTAATAATTTTCAAAATAATAATTTGGCTAGCATCCTCCAATGGTGATCAATTAGTTCTAGTCCATTACAGAATATTATCAATTATCAATTATCAATTACAGAATATTATCAATATTCAGATTTTCCCAGCTTCGATTGGTGAGAACTCTTGACTCTTGAGTTCTTGAGAAGGCTTTAAACTTCCTTTCTATTATTATACCAGATGTTTCAGGCTCATCTTGTAAATATTCTAGCCAGACCTGGAATCAGCCATTTGTCCTAGGAGTCCTGGTTTCTAACACCTTTATCCTTGGATCTAGCTAATCCATTGTCTTCTTAATAGACTTCATACAAATCAAGAGAAATGCAAGAATTCTAATCAGTATATCTTGAATGCAAAGTGTAAGATTGCTAGACAAGAGATTGAATTTACTTTTGAAGTGGCTATTAGTATTCCTTGGAAAAGAGTACACTCAGTTGTATACTTGGCAGTTGCCTCTACTGGGAAGTACAGTTTCTAGTATAATCGTTGGCTTTTCTGCAATCCAAGTAGGTGTTTAGGATTAGATGATGAAACTTCTCTCGGTGCAGAAAAGGACCTCAGACTCCCAGTAGTGCAGACAGCCAATTGGAAAGCTGCAAAGTCTCTTGATGTAGACTGACTAAATAATGAGATAGGAGTTAAAGGAATTTGTTTATGAAGCTCTATTACTCCTTCTTGTCACTTGGCTATACTCTGTTAGGTAGGGACCTATATTCCCGTATTTATAGAATCGAGAATATATTTATATAGTTCATTTAAAATATAAATTAAAATTATATAGTGGCATATTTAACTTAACTATAAATCAGATATCTCTCAAATTTTTTCTTTTTCTGAAGAATATCTGGGCACCAATTATTGCAAAAGATAGAGTCCCCAAACTAGCTTATATATATAACCTCGCTCTCTCTCTTTTTTTTTTTTTTTTGCGGTACGCGGGCCTCTCACTGTTGTGGCCT